TCTATGTCTATATCTATGTCTATGTCTATATCTATGTCTATGTCTATATCTATGTCTATGTCTATCTGCTCATACCCGGCACGCTTGGACAAACTTCATCGAAGAGGCGAGAAGCGATTGGAAGAATACTTTTGCTCTATTAATGGGGCCTGGGGTTCCCGAAGCTCAAGCTTGACTAAATAGATATCAGAGGACAAGGAAGGCTGGAAACAGTAACCAAACTTAAGTTTGATTGCGTTCTCTCGTAGCTCTCGCACCGCCAGCACCAGCACCAGTACCGGCACCAAGTCTGTGTTCCTCTTTGGCCTAGATTAATGGGTGAGGCCGGCATCGGTGATTTCCTTGACGTATTTGAGATAGGTGTTGGTAGAGGCTACACGCAGGCGTTTGCCGTACTTGATGAAGATGAGCGGGGTCAGGACCTGGGCGAGACCGGCAAAGGCGGCGACGATGAAGGCGTTCTGGTATCCCATGTTCTCGACCCACGGGGTCAGGCCGTAGCCGATGGCGAAGGACATGGTGTTGCGGATGATGATTACGGTGATCATGGTCTCGCCCGCCAGGTCGCGGTAGCTGTCGACACTGTAGCTGATGCTGAGCTGCAAACCGATGGTGTTGGTGTAGGCGATGACGCCCATGGCAAAGACCAGGCCAAACCAGTGCACGTGGTGCGCCGCGCCCACCCCCCACAGGATGAGCCCGAGGGGGATGGCGAACCACGAGGCTACGAACAGCCACAGCCGATGTTCGGACTCCATGATGCCACCGTGCCTTCGCGCGAACCGAAGGATGAACCAATCGCCGAAATAGCCGGTGTAGGCAGCGCCGACACATACGCCGAGGAGGGGACTATGAAGTTCAGTTAGAGAGAGCACGTGGTGGTTGGTGAGAGACATGGTTGACTGGGGGCCAAGTCAAGTTTCCTGCACTTACGCCACGTAGCTGACTCCGACCATGGAAGCGGCGAAGTTGTAGGGAGTGCCCGAAAGTATCAAAGACGCGGTACCGTTGAGCACGTTGAACCAAACCTAGATCGAGGACGCTGTTAGACTCGCGCCAATCTCAAACGGTGGGGGTGGATAAATGCAAAAGTCGATCGGCACTCACAAGACTGCTTCCGTAGGAAAATCCAGCGTATGCCACGACGGGGAAGGTGATCATGTACTTGAGCGGTCGGGTCATCATGCCAATGAGCTCATTCTTCTTGGAGAAGACGCCGGGTTGGAAGAGCTTCAACTTCTGCAGATATGTCTTCTTGGGCAGGTTGATGACTCCGAGACCCTCCTCGGTGGGCGGTAAGGATGCTCCAAGAACAGCCTTCTCGTCTGGTGTGGCTCCTTTCTCTGGCTGAACCGTCTCGGGCGTCAGCGTCCCGCTCTCCTCCTTGTCCTCTTGCCCTGCAATTGTCTTTCGGGAGTAGTTGGTCTCCTCCATGAAGAGAAAGCAGTAAATGAAGCCAATGCCGTTGAAGATAGCTGCCCAGAAGAGAACCCATTTCCATCCCATGGCATCGGCGATGAAACCGGAAATGATGGGAGCAAAGTAGTTGGAGCCCGCCAGGAAAAGACCGTAGATGGCGATATAGAAGCCACGCTCGTGGGTGAACTGCAAAGTGACGTCAGTTAGTGTGATCTGAGCAGGGTGCGTTCTCTCATGGGTGGACCGAAGTTGATCATGGCAACACTGAGGCGATTGCCTCATGATAGATAGAGGGACCGTGGCATAAAGGACGGACTTACGTAGACGTCAGTGACTGATATCTCACAGAGTGACTCGACCGGCGCGCCGAAGAAGCCCTGAAGAATCTTGTTCGCAATCCATTGTCCGTTTGTCTTCGTATAGCCGGCCCAGACCTGAGTGCAGAGGGTGGCGATCAAAGAGAGAAGGTAGATGGGTCGTTTGCCGTATTGAAGGGCCAGTGGCTGCCAGACAAGGCAACCCCAACCGAAAAACAAGAACCTGTTGGGGTGTCAGGGAAGGCAGAATGCGAGAGAAGAGCAAGGTTGGGGCTTACATGTAGCCCGTGCCAGAGTTGAGGTCTCCCAGCGTCATACCAGTTGCCTCACTGATGGGGACCAGGACGGAATAAATCGCGGCAGATGCAATGCCCACCTACAGCCAGGGTCAGTCAATGATGGGCGGCCACTGGATGTGCCTGAGACTCACCATCAATGTGTACACGCACATGCAGGATGTCGAGAGCAATTTGCGACGCGGGCTCCAGTTCAGGGGATCGTCGGGATCGTTGCTCGGGGCGGGGACCAGGACGATATCCTTCTGGCCTTTGGAGGCATGCTTTGCCCGCATGGTACCCTCCAAGTCGACCAGATGGACAGTGCCAGGCACAAAGGGCCTGGCGTGGCTCGTTTCGCCTTCTTGGGAAACCATCTTGGATGTGTCTGGAAGATGGGGGGATAGAAGTCAAGTCGCTTCAGTCTTGGGCGAGAGATTGTGGTGGTCCAGGGATCCAAAGACCAGGGGTAGGGCCCTCTATATGTACCTGGACGACAGCAGCGTCTGTATGATCGCGCAGACGTTATCAGGACGTCTAGGGGTACGAGGCCAATTGCCATGCATACCACATGGCGAAGAAATGGTATATCATACCTACTGATAGGGCAGGGGCGAATCAGAGATGATTGCGCGCAGCCCTGAGTATCTCGAACTGGCTAGTCTTGGAACCTGACGGCCAGCCATCCCTCCTGATTGCCTTAGGGCGAGGTTCGACCGGGGGATCTCCAGCCAGGGAGAAAGTAGCGACCGGCCAGGGTGAGTCCTTGTTCGGGGCCAATGTGGTCACTAGGTACTAATAGTAGTAGTACGGAGTAGTACTCCGTAGATAACTCGACATAAACCCAGCCCGATTGTCCGAAAGGCGGTTTCGTCTGGGATTGGTCTGTCAGCGTAGTTGGTTTCATCCTCGTTGATCATGCATGGCTCAACGATTGGGCCGTGATGCGTGGTGCAACGCTCATGTCCGTTGCTCGGCCACTTGAGTCCGAGGCAAGACTAGTGGCACGAGCCTCGCGCCTAGGGAGCGAGGTGGCGGTTGCTGACTAGGCTGGGTTATCAGTTATCAAGGTGAATTAGCGCTGCCATGAGAATCCCCGGGAAAACTCCAGGCTCGGTGGGAAAGGCATAGCCATGGTGGTGGTGAGACGAAAGAGAAAAGTGAAAAGTCCAGACGCGGCGTTTGGGTCGGAATGGAAGACATCACAAGACGATTGGCGACGATATCCGCGTCGTGACGTGCTCGTTCAGCCGGCCCGGATGCGAGCGGCTGCCCATGTCTCGTGTTGCAGCCTCTGATCGGTCTGCGAGGCTTTGTGAAATTGCCTCTATCAACGCGCGCGCCCTCAACAGCCCTCGACAGCCCTCGACAGCCCTCAAAAGCTAACTTGAAGCGTGCATCGCGTGAAAAGCCCCATCATGGCATCGTCCGTCCCCCGCGTCTTGGTCCTGGGAGGCCACGGAAAAGTCTCTCTTCTCCTGCAGCCAATTCTGCTGGCGAAGAAGTGGCATGTCACTAGTGTGGTGCGAAACCCGGACCACGAGGCGGAAATCCTCGCCCTAGGACAGGGCCAGCCTGGGAAGATCGATGTGGTGGTCGACAGCCTGGACGAGGTGCAGGACCCGTCGCAAGCGCAGCGCGTGCTAGACAAGGTCCAACCCGACATTGTGGTTTGGTCTGCTGGTAGGACGACCGGACACCCCTCAACCTCTCTCGCACAGCTTTTAACTGGGCCACAGGCGCTGGCGGCAAGGGGGCCCCTTCGCGCACCCGAGCGGTAGACGAGATTGCAGCCAAGGCATATATCACCGCTGCGGTCGGCACGCCCAGCGTCAGCAAATTCCTCATGGTCTCGTACATTGCCTCGCGCCGTGGCTATCCGCCGTGGTGGACAGAGGAGGACAGGAAGTCGGCCGACCATGTCAACCACAAGGTCCTTCCGCACTACTTCCAGGCCAAGGTCGAGGCGGACGAGCACCTGGAGGCTCTGGCACAGAAGCGACGTGACGGCGGCGACAAGGTCTTTCAGGCCATCAACCTGCGCCCGGGGTCGCTGACGGACACTCCGGGGACGGGCAGAGTCACCTTGGGGAAAACGTCGGCTCGTGGCAACGTGCCTCGTGCAGATGTGGCCGCGGTGGCCGCCGCCCTCCTGTCCAGAAATGACACGCGGGGATGGTTTGATCTCCTCGAGGGCGAAGTGCCCATCGATGAGGCCATTGACCAGCTGGTCCAGAATGGCCATGACGGATTGGAGGGAGAAGACCTGCAGCGCATCCATGCAAGAGCGGTCTAGATTCGGATGAGCTGGAGCTGGTTTGGCCAGGTTTGCCTGAGTTGTGCGGCGCAGCACATTGCAAATGAGACATGTTGGGGAGGAAGGATGTAGCAGCAGTCCTACTAGGAGTACTACTCTTACTCTACGACAGGAAGGGTGCATACAGTACGTGCATCTACTGCCCAGGATGTCTGAGTTCTGAGACTGGGCCGAGTTGGCAGGTACACTTGCCACAAAAATCCGATATATAATATATCCAACTAGGCGTAATCTCCTTCTCCTTCTCCTTCTACTCTTCCTCCTCCTGCTCCTCCTCCTCCTCCTCCTCCTCTCCAGTAGGTGGATGATTGTACTCTGTATAAACAACAAACACTTGCTGACGCCTGAGCCCTACAAAACCCCACACGCCGAAACCCCGCCTTTGCCACAGCTACAGTATCCAATTCTGATTCCTCCCCGATTCCTCACCAATTCCCCTACGAGAGATATATTGCCGTTCGGTCTGTCCGCAAACGTGTAACGCGCAACTACCAACATGGCCTCGTCTCATCCCGATGCCGACGTCTATCCAAAAGCCACCGGCGCCGCAGCTCGCATTGTCGCTGAGCACCAGGAAGACGCTCCGATCACCTTGTACTCCGGCTGGTTCTGCCCTTTTGTGCAACGGGTTTGGATCACACTGGAGGAGAAGGAAATCCCCTACAAATATGTCGAAATCAATCCTTATAACAAGGAACCAAGGTACAGCAAGCTGTGCCTCCTTCGATCAAGTCTTGACTGACCCTCAAAGCTTTCTCAAGCTCAATCCACGAGGCCTCGTGCCAACCCTGGGCGCGCCGCAAAAGGACGGATCGCAGAAGCCATTGATCGAATCCAACATCATCTCGGAATACCTGGACGAGTCGTTTCCCAACCAAACGCCGCTTTTCCCCAGGGACCCTTATGAAAAGGCTCGGCTGAAGGTCTGGGTCGACCACGTCACCACCAGAATCCTGCCCGCCTTCCACCGCTTCTTGCAGCACACCCAACGGAGCCCACACCCCCTGGAGAAGGTGCGGTCGGAATTTCTGGACGCGCTCAAAACGTGGATCCGGGAGGCTGATCCCGAAGGCCCCTACTTTCTCGGCAAGGAGTTTAGCTATGCAGATGTTTGCCTCGCCCCATGGGCCCTGAGATTGTGGGTGTTGGACCACTTCAAGCAAGGGGGACTCGGAATCCCTCCTGTCGGTGAAGGCGGCGAGGACGAGCCAGTGTGGGATCGATGGCGCAAATGGGCCGAGGCCATCGAAGCAAGGAAGTCGGTGGTCGAGACAATGAGTGACCGGGAGCATTACATGCCCATCTATCAGCGCTATGCCGAAGATAGGGCGCAGAGCGAGTTGGCCAAGGCTACGCGAGACGGCAGAGGCGTGCCGTGACTGTGAGCGTGAGCGTGCGACGAACTTGAAGCCTAAAGTCAACCCTTCTGCGATGGCCGTGGGCCAATTGCTAGTTGCCAATGGTCTGAGAAGACGCCAATTAGGCTGGTAGTCAAAACCTTGCTGTACCACTCATCCCTGTGCTTCTTTCTCTTTCTCTTTCTCGCCTCAGTGGCCGGACTTCCCGGTGCCGGGCGCATCTTCATCACCATCAGAATTGCACGTAAACCAATGCTTGTTCCGGCATCTAGATTAGATCTACAAGGCAAGGTCACTTCTTTCTGTCATCAGGTGAAGGTTAATTGTCACTGAGCACATACTATTACCAGACTTGCCCTCCAATTGTTCCTCGTTAGGGGATTTAGACTATACTCATTCCAACTACGAGACCTGAAAGAGCCCCCGTATCAGTATTTATTGTCACTACCTCCCCGTGTCGGGATTGGGTAATTTGCGCGCCTGCTGCCTTCCTTGGATGTGGTAGCCGTTTCTCAGGCTCCCTCTCCGGAATAGAACCCTAATTCCCCGTCACCCGTTAAGACCATTGTAAGCCTCTATCTTACAATCATAAAACTGAAAACGTTACTGCTATCCTGAGGGAAATAAGACCATTGTAAGCCTCTATCTTACAATCGAAAGTTGATAGGGCAGAAATTCCAGAACCCTGCCCTCATGAAACGGGGACTTGAACAATACCCCTTACCCCATGAAACAGGGGCCTGGCCGATAAATACCACGAAAGGCACGGCGGATGACGCCTATGCTGGACACATACTCCGTTGTACAATCGGATCGGATTGGGCTTACAAATAAATCAAATGCATACTGTATAATCGGACTGGATTGATGGCTTAAATAAATGCATACTGACCTTGATCGTGTCGAAGGTTGAAATGTTCCTTGTTCTCTATCAAAGGGGTATGGGGAGTCCCCTGACTACACAGGCGTACCTATACCAGCCTTTTGGTTAAAGGGCAAGGCTGGGGATGCCTAAGTTAGTGCCTACAGTCAGTTTGACAGGACAGATCGAACCACCCTCGCGGTATAAAGTGCGGTGCTCGCACCTGCTCGCTGCCGTACCACGCACGTCATGGTAGCTATGCAATCTATATACAGCCTTGTTTGTGTTTCGCATCTCTGTCCTTTTAATGCTCGCAATTCCCCTCTACCTCCACCTCCACCTTGGTCCAGGCACCCAGCTGGTGGACAGACAGTATGGACAGACAGTTCGTCAATGCTTGCAAGGCAATGCAAGGCAAGGCAAGGCAAGCTAAGCTAAGCAACTTGAATTGAAGTCCGCTTGCCCTCCCCGACAGTGATGGTCTCAGCTGCCGGTGCAGCTCCAGCTCCAGGCACATCTTGCAGGTCCAAACCATCGTGCTTGAGTTCTTCGACCACGTGTACGGGAATGACAACACCCTCCTCGCCCACCAGATATTGAGTGGGCGTGATGTGATAGGCGGCAAAGTAGGTGAAGATCAGCAACCCGCTAAAGTAAAAGGCGAAAAGAACGCCAGCCTCCTTGATGAAGGGAACGCCGATCGAGTCGACCCCGAAACAGATGGCCTCTCCGCCGGCCATGAAGGTACGGAAGGCTCCCTAGGCGTTTGGGTCAGAAACAAGAGAGAAGGGAGAAAAAATAGGGAAGGGAAAAAGCGCCAGGCACAAGTGACTCCAAAGCTTACCGCATAGTTGGACGCTGTGCGAGGAGAGTTGGTCATGGAGCTGAGGAAATAGAGGATGAGACATTGGAACAATGCGCATGACACCCAGTTCAGGCAGAACAACACGAAGATGGCTCCGAAGTTGGGGTCGCTCCAGTCCAGTGGCTTAGTGGGCAGCTCGCTGCGGTCGTAGTTGCGAACCCGCGCCATCTCCCAGATCCAGGCGGCCGTCTAGAAGAGCAGGGTTGAAAGTCAGTATGTCGGCAATTGGCATTCTGCTTCCAAATTCCAAAGAAGGGGAGAAGATTGAACATAGAACAGAGTCGGACAGAGACAGAACAGACAGCTCGTCAGACCGAAGAACCGTCTGTGGCTCCTCGACCTTCAAAGGCCTTCTGTCTCCCTGCCACATGCCACACGACTGCCGCAGACGCACACAAAACGTACCATGGGAATTCCAACTGCGGCGAGACCAATGAAGGCTCTCTTGCGCCGGGTCCATGTTTTATGGTCCAAGATCTTCTGCAGTCCGTAACCGGCGGGGATTTGCAACATGACCGAGCAAAAAGACAAGAGCGATCTCGCTCTCAAGTCGTTGTGGTAAGCATTGACCGAGCCGTTGTACACCAGGTAGCATTCCGAAGGAAGAAAGGCCGGAATCATAAGTAAGAGCTTCCAGTCCTTGAAGATAAGCATGTTGGCTTTCAGCTCCTCGACATAGCCGCGAGAATGAATCGTAGCCACCTGGGTACCATCCTCTCGTATGACCTTCGCCGCCGGCCGGAGGCCTAGAGCCAGTACACAGGCAAAACCCATGAGTGCGATAATACTGATGTAGACGGCAATCGGCACACCGGCGGCTTCTTGCGACTTGCGGTTGATGATCAGAGGAATAATACCTCCGATAGCCATACCCACGCCCTGTAGGTTAAACGTGATGGTAATAAATGACCCTCGCTCTTGTTCCTCTGAGTATGACATGGAGATGGACGACATGGTGACAACGATAAGACCGGCCGAGAGCTGGGATTTGCCATCTTCGTTAGCAAAATGCTGGGGAACCATTCAGATATAGAATATAGAATATACTGCACGTACCCCGATAAGGACGGCAGCCAAGATGGGAAACCATTCATTGCCAGTACGGTCAAAGTACCATAGACTGCCGACATAGACGGCATAGCCAACAATGCCTAATAGAGCCGTAATGCAAGGCCCGATCGTGTTCAACACGCTGCCCGCAAAGGCCGAAGACAGGGCAAAGACCGCACAGAGCGTCGCGTTCACGGTTTGCACGGTCTGAGCCGAGTTGGGACGCCCTCCACCAGCTCCGAGGAGGTTGATGGCCCCGTACAGGCCGGCCGTCAAGCCGAGAATGCAGCCTATGAGCCAACTATGACAAGCAACGTTGGGTCAGCCACGTTCCCTTACCACCACTGGAGCCTGGAGTCAGAAGTCAGGAGTCAGGCGCCACTTACTTCTGCCAGAAAGGCGAATGCAGCCGCAGAGGCGGGAATAAGGGAATCTTGATGGCCATTTTAGACTTGGATCCGTCTGTATCTTGTTGTACTGGGATGAAAGGGCCGAAATCTTTGACAGTGCAAAGACACAAGACACAGAAAGAAGCCGGTGATCCAGCGACCTGCCTCTTTCTTTAATAGATGCAGACGAAGCTGTTCGAGTACCGAGGGAGCCATGTCCCCCGCAGAGATAGGCGTTCGCATAGCCTCACGTGTTGGCTGAGGCCCAGATCTGTTATCCAATCCCACCCACCTCCCCCTTACCACAGGTTGTTGGTGGTGGTGGTGGTGGCGTGCCTTCTGCCATATTGGCCGTGGAGTTGTCCAGTGGACTGTGTGAGCTCCGCGCTGGGACCCGCCACCTCCCGGGGATGGTATCTGTCTGGATCGTCTCTGAGACTTATCGAGATTGCTACTAGTTTCGCAGATTCCCGAATCCAATTGCAGCCTGACGGTTAACGCCGTTGAGACGTACTACAGTATTTGGGTGCCAGTGCAGGGGATAATGCGATTGATATTGATAGGCTCAAGGGCAAAGACTCACCGTTATCAACTTATCTGTGATACGCAGTCCTGGGATCAAAAGGACCGAGACTATGGCTAATCTTAGCCAGTGATATGTTGTAGGTATGTATATGTTGTAGATACTGTAGCCAAGTACCTAGCGTTGCTTCACTTGGCTGCTCTGTATCTCTGTCCTATATCTGGGTGGGACGCCATCAAATCATTTGCTGACAGTATCGCATGAATTGAATCGGCGAGGAACCGAAGCCGCGGCTCTGATATTAATATCCTCCCAGGTCTCTGAGAACATTACCATGGCAATACTCCTCCCTCATAATGGTTGAAAGACGTTGTTTTGTCCCAACCAGGCACGTGGATATCAAAGAATTTCCCCGTATCAGCCTTGGTGATACCTTTCAGAATTTCTAGAATGCCATTCGCTCCCTCCTCAACAGATAGGTCGGCTTGGTCGGTGCCCAGGTCTGTTCTGAGCCACTGATAGATGATAGATCATGTCAGCATCGAACAAACGGCTTACCGGCCAGGTTTTTGTCAAGGCCACTTCACTTACTCCGGGGCTTGCCGCGACAACAGTGAAGTCAGACTTCGACAGGTCCAATGACCACTGGACGGTCAATGCGTTGAGGGCCGCCTTCGAAACCTTGTAGGTCGAAACCGGGAAAACTGCGAATCGAGGGAAAAGTTCGATGGAGCCCAAGACGCTGCTTCTGCAAAAGACCATCAGGAATTTGTGACCTACAACTGAAGGAAGAGGAAGGCTTTTCCACATACATGTTGAAGATGAGTTTCTGCGAACCGAGGCGTAACAGCGGCAAGAAAGCAGCCGACACCAGTTGGACGCCGTTGACATTGACGTTGAGGACATGCATAAGGTCCGTCCTACACCCAGAGTCAGAGTCCGAACTGGTTGATGATAATGGAGGCCTCATACGCTTCGAAGATCCCGCTTGGATTGAATGGCATTATGCCTGCATTGTTGATCAAGATGTCGATCCCGCCATTACTACTTGGGCCCAAGACTTGTTTCACCTTGACCACCGCCGCGTCGATACTCTCTTGGCTTGTCACTTCAAGTTCGACGAAAGCGATGCGACTGGGATACTTGTTGATGAGCGCCTCGAGAGCGGGAGTCTTGGTTCTGGCAGCAGCGACGATGAAGCGAACTTGGTCTTCCGGCCTGGCTGCAAGAATAGTCGCAAGAGTCAACCCCAGACCACGGGAGGTCCCAGTGATGAGATATGATGCCATTTTGATGTGAATGCTGTTGCTGGGTGGGAGTCAATAGAGTTGAAGTTCTATTGAAAATAAAGTATGGCAGGCCTGGTGAATGGTGAAAAGGAAGTCGGGAGGAGGAGGTGTCAAGGCCTTTTCGTGAGGTTGGAGCCTTGCCCAACTTTATACTACTCCATTCCTTCATCAACTAATTAACGAGGACTCCGTTCACCGTGAAGTTCGCGCGAGGAGAATCGGGAAATCCTAACTTTGTTGCCGTGCCGAACCCCATGTCTGAATTGTCTTCATGATATTCTTGGAGGTTCCCGTTCCCGCTGATAAATCAGTAAAGCAAAGGTGAATAGGAGACATACGACATAGGAACTTATGCCTTGGAGTCCAAGTTTTGCCTTGAGTACCGGGTATCGTGTCGATGGGGGTGGATGCTTGATTTCTGATTTCTAAGAATGCCGTCAATCTCAACCATCTCATTACCATCTCGCGACCTTGGGCTCAGGCTTCCGAAAGAGGAATTGCCGAGGGCGCATACCCCATTAAGTTAGTCTGCTTTCAACTATCGACATACCCCAGTCGCACCAGAAGGTGACAGCGACCGCGATAGTTAGGCAGATGATTACGTGGACAGTTATAGTACCTTGCGTGCCGAGTCACAGAGCACGGAGTATCCGTAATTACTCTGGAGTCTTGTATGGAGTATCAAGTATCAATACTCCACTGGTGCCACTCCACACTTGCTTAGAAATCCTGGCCAAATCTGGTCTACCAGACCCTTCCTCCAGTATTCAGTGCCTAATCTACAGAGGAAATGAATGCATCACCTGAACCAGCCTCAGCAGCTGCTGACAATCTTGCATACATAGACATACATCAGGTGTTTTTCTGATCCCTCGCTTCCTTTCTGCTTTAGGTACCCAGTACCCAGCATGGCGGGTCCCCCCGGCTTTTACAATAAATTCCGCATCCAGACCTCCAATGGACGCGACAACCATGCTGATGCATCTACCGAGACCGATAGGTTCAATCGAGACCAGCCCCGGACTTCAAATGCTCGCTCCGCAAAAGCCTGTCTGTTCTGCCGTCATCGCAAGGTGCGTTGCGATGCTCTCGCGCGTAAACCGCAGCCTTGCACAAACTGCACCTTGGATAGGCTGCAGTGCAAGCTGACGCCTCGAACGTAAGTAGCATGGATGGACAACGCTTACCGAAAGATTACCCCGCGATCGAAAATTCAAATTCTAATACAACTCATAGGAAGTCTTCGGGCCGTCGGAACACTTCACTTGCTACTGTCCGCCATGGTGCGATGTCGATACAGCCCGGTCCAGAGTCCCCCACGTTGCCCAAATCTCATTTGACACAAAGTCGCGGCCCATTCTGGAATGAGAATGACAGTGCTCAAGATCTAGCATCTTCCGGATCTCTAAGCACAAGCACAGACCAGACATGGCTGCAACCACAGTTACCGCCTCAACGGGACCAAGACACAGGCCAAAACGACTTATCCCTGATGCAAGATCCCAAGCCCTTGGATCGTACCACCATCGAAGATTGGGATGTTGGTCTCTTGCCTACTGCAGAATGGAACCAAAATGCTTTGTTTTTCAGTGCCAGTGCCGGTGCCAGTGCCAGTGCCAGTAACTTGACATCTCAAACCTCGATGGGCTCGCTCCCGCACGACCATGATCTGGGGTTTGCAGACTTGGACCTCGAATTCACAGACGCCGCAATACTGGAGCCGTACTTGCATCATGTAGACGTACTCGATCCGTCCACAACCGAGTTTCTAAGCATTGACCATAACCCCACACTTTCAGCAGCACACGACGGAGCCTATACTTTCAAGTCGCCCTTGCCCTGGGTTGCAGACTGGTCGATCGAAGACCACAGAAATGATAGCCGCTATGCTGAAGTAGTTGAACAAAGAGTGTTCAATTTGCCCGAGTTATCAAAGATCGACATCTTGTTACAGCTTTACTTTAGTCGTGCCCATCACCGGCTTCCGGTCCTGAACGAACGCTACTTCTTTCTTCTAACACAAGGGCAAGGGCACCATGGACAGGCGCAAGATGTGTCGCTACCTCCTATCAGCTTGGCGCTCATGTATGCCATTATGTTCTCTGCATGTCCAGTAAGTCTCGGGAGCAATTTTGAGAAAGAGATCATCATATACTAAGACAATCCCAGTTCTTGCGGACCGAAGGCATGGACCCTGCTCGTATTCGGACTATTCGATCAATGCGATGTGAATACTACTCAAGAGCCGCTGTATGCTGATGTCCACGCCTCGATGACTCGACTAACCAGTTCTTCTGCCATAGTTGCTCTTCAAACTAGGGTGTGAGAGTGATAGTCTCCGAAAGGTCCAGATTTGTCTCATTCTTAGTACGTTCAGAAACTACCCTGGTAATTTCTACGAGAATGAGCGCTGGACCATCAAGGCGTACCGACTTCTTGAAACTGCCGGCGTGCTACCGAACACCAACACCAACCGAAGCCAGGGCTTTGTTGAGAATCCCGACTGGAGACGAGTCTCTGCCTGTTGGCTACACCGATTTACCAGCTCTTTCATGGGCCTCAAATGGACCAGTAGTCCGGAACTGATGGAAGCTGTCATGTTTCCATGGCACCAGATCACCCTCGCCGACTTTGAGGAGGACTTTGGTTTTTCCTGGTATCTGAGTGCCGAAACTAAAGAGCAACTGACCCGGATCTTTGTGGCCAGGATCAGTCTGCAAGTTACCATCGGCCATCTCAACAAGATTTTGTGGAAACAGACGGTCTCTGAAATGAGTGCCATTGGAGGGAAACCGGAAATCGCAGCTCCGCAACTGACACTGACCGATTCACTTCCCATTGAAGAGATCGACGTTCGATTACAGAGGTGGAAGCTCGAGAACGAAGACTCTCTGCCCATGGCAGCATCGGTGTACGGGGCATGTCCAGAAAAGCGCCTGCTGTATGCCGAGCACATCTTGACCAGCATGGCGTACGAGTAAGTACCGATCGTGACCTGTTTGTTGCAATGTGTTGGGCAGCCTGGTCCATGTTCCTTGGAGTGCTGCAGCTAATAAGTGTATATGTCCATTCGTGTCAGATACGCCATGGTTAATCTGTACCAAAACACTCTTATTGTCGACCGAAGGCCCATGACAAAATGGTCTGCAGGAATGACGGAGTTGTCCCGCTCTGCTGTTTGGGATTCAATCACCTCCTTGGTCGCCATCTTCAAAGAGGTCTTGGACGGGAAACTAGTGGCTCTGATTCCCCCTGCCATGTAGGTTTGATCTTGCCTGTCCCTCTCCAATCAGTGAAGACTTTCTTGACAATAGACAGTACTGACCAACCTGTGTGTGTCAGGCTGATTGTAGTATTGGTTCCTTTGACGCTCTACTCACTTCACCTGCAGAAGGTCCTCGTCTACGACCCCTCCGCCATCCAGAATCTATCAATCTGCTCTCAGTTGGCGGATAAATTGACCGATGCCCATGACGGCGCCAGTTTCTACATCTCCCTACTCAACAATACACTCATTCTTGCTGACAGATACAACCGAGCATCAAATCCAGGTCCAGGTCAACCGCAGCGGACGCGGGCACCGACAAAGCCTGCGGGTTCATCAGATCGGTATCGGACCGAGGCAGAAACCGTACTTCCTGACCCTCAGCTTCACTCTTTGGTACTGCGCTTCCAGGTGTTGGCCCTTGCACTGGGTCGTCTCCCGGCGACTGCGGCTGTTTTATAGGTGATGAACATGTAGACTCACCGACAGTTTGTCACATATGGCTTCTGCCTGCAACTGCGTCGCTGGTTTGTGCAAGATAGGCGGAAAATAGGACCTCCTTGTTGACCAGACTCGGGCATTATGGTGAGGATACCGAGGCTCTCAGGACCTCACAAGTAGTGGCTATTCTCGCTCGCCATATTTCCTCCAGCGCCTCCCTGTCAGGATAGTGGGTAGTGGTGGTGGTGGTCGCTGGTGTGGGAGGCGCAGCTGCGGTCGTGGTTGAATTCGTCTGTAGTGCTGGTGCAGGTCGCGCTCTGCCAATGTGAATCGCCGTTTCATCTCGACATGCTGATGAGTGCCGTTCCGGGAGAGATGACAGATGGTCGGAAATTCAGGTGAACTCATTCCGAGAGCTCTGTTCAGGTATAACGGATACTTGGGGATAGTCAACCGAGATACGGGGGAATCGAAGTGGGAGGCGCCCTGGCCGTTTCATCCCCAGCATTTCCTCCCTCCCCACCTCTTCCCCATGGGGATCTCTTCTCCAGTACCTCCTCCCTCCTCTCTTCTCTTCACAGTGTCCTCACCAGGACATCCTCTTGAGCGCATGAAACACCGGCCAATGTTGATCTCCATAGCAATCCCACGCACACCACACTCTACGCCTTGAACATGTCGGTAGCAGGAAATGGAGCCATTAATAAGAGCAAGGGCCAGAGCAAGACCAAGATTCTGGCGGCCAAAAAGAAGCCGGCCTCGGCAGATCAGGCCCAAAGCCACAACTTAAAGGCGGCTCGAAAGCGAACGCAGAACCGCATCTCTCAGAAATGTCTCCGTGAGAAGCAGCTTGCACAGATGCAACATCTGAATTCATTCCTGGACATGATCCAAGCCAGTCGAACTGGTGGCGACGACAACAACACGGCCTTGATGAAGGCTCACCTGAAGCTGCTCGAGGAGAACCAGCAGATGAAGGCGGTGCTGCTCCGGATGAGAAAGAAACTTCTCAGCCTTAGCAACAGCACCTCCAATGCCGCAGGTACGCTGATGCTGTTCTAACTTCCAAATTCTCCTGTGTGTTTTGGCAAGATCACTGAGCCCTTGGTAGATGATGACATTTTCGACCACATTTTGGGCCAGGCCGAGGCCAACGATGTAGAACTAGATACCTCGACGCAAAGAAAACAGATCAACCAAACACCAAAAACCAAGGTATCTTCACAGGGCCTCATAGTAAACGAAGACTATGACGAAGCAGCCGTCGATTATGGTAACAGTGCTTGGTCTGGGCGTGCGCACTCAGATAGTCCGGCCCATCGAGTTTCCAGAGGCGGAGGCACAAGCGAGAGGAGTCCCAATGAGGCTGAAATACTACACAACAATGAGGATAGTCCGCCATTCCCAAGTTTCGAGGACCATCGAGCCGATTTCAGGGCCAACCTCCGCGACGAACTGCAATGGACACCTATGATGGAAAGTGTCGATTTCAGCAATATGCCGGACATGCTCAACCCCGTGCCAGAGCCGACATTTGATTTAGCCCTCTCCCTGGATTCGACGGAGGCCAGATTTCTGCACTACACCAGCCAGACGATGCTGGGTGACACAGTAAATCTGTCTGGGAAGGCAATGGCCGATCTGGTGGAACGGGCATGCATCATTTATGCCTTGCAGATTCTAAACATGCCGGTCGATGCAGATGGGCCCGAGGGGCCGCAGGTTCTTGCCGCGCTCAAGCAGCAATATGCCCATAGGGTTCCTGACCAAGTTGTCGAAGATCTGGCCCGGGTTGCGACCAACATCCTCACCGTATTCGCAGGGATTGATGCATACGCGTACGGCATAGTAAGTCTTGCGTACCCCGAGTGTCAGGCAGTCATCTCACCGTGATATTACAGGGAGCGAGCGAGATCATGGAACGCATCCTCCGTTGGCGCCTCAAGCCGACGACAACAAATCGATTGGCGATCCCCGAGCCACTTCGTCCCACTCCGCTCCAGTCCGCAGATGGTGTTTCTCACCCTCTGGTCATTGACTTGATCGCCTGGCCCAAACTCCGCGACCAGTTGATTCTTCTGAGTCGGCAATCAGACGTCGACTATGTCATTGGAGACATTGTTCTGCACACCGTGGTTGAAGTCCCTCAAATACACATGTCGCTGAGTGTGCTCGACCTTTTCCACAACAGGGTCTTTCCCAACATGAACTGGTCGGCGGACACATCCATGCAGCAGAAGGACGGGGTACCCCCCACCTTGATGGCAGGTCCAGACAACAAAGCCATCCGGTCGATTCGTAGCGAGATAGGGCTCCGAATGGCTCAAATGACGGCCGACAATGCCACCGGTAGAGAACCTGCCGGTTCGAATGCAAATGACAATAGCTATTCCGCCTTCAACGAACGTCCACTTTCACATCCACATCCCCCACGGCCCAAGAAACACCCGCTGTCGGCGAAGGATGGGATCGACAAGCTCTCCCGCTGGAAGATCAGTCTGGAATTCGCCGACAAGTATCCTTCCCTGGACTGTTCAGATCGTAAGTGCTTTCTTTCCCTTTAGGAAGTCGAATCCAAAAACACCCTTATCTTTGAGGCGGACTTGGCTAACTGGAGAAATACACTTGGAAGTGGTGGCAGCTTTCCCGATCAAGTCCTGCAGCAGCGGCCTATGAAAGATGAGATTGGTCTGAACTGAAGAGCTGGGGTTGAAAGCGCGTCGAAAGCGCGCATATAACCAATCGGCTGGGATTGTTCCTGGTGTAGACTTGTTGGCTGGCTTTTTGCGACGCTTGTCATCCAAGTTGAGCCGCACGGCAGGGGATGCTATGAAACGGGAGAATTTAACGCTTGGGGTGAACGACAGGACCCCAGGTCCACACAGGTCGCCGGTATTATCTATTATCCTACAGAGTCGTTGGCGGTTATAATATGCTTACAGTAAATGGACATCCTCCTGCTGTCAAAGGTTGCAAGATTCTTTGTTGTCTATCAAAGGGGTATGGGGAGAGCCCAGATTATATAGGCGTGCCTATACCAGCCTTCTGGTCAAAGGGCAAGGCTAAGAATGCCTAAGCTAGTGCCAAAGTTAGGCACCTGCATCTTCTCCCAGTCCTTCTACAGTAGATATCTATTGATTCAGCCTCGCATCAGGTCCACCCCTGACTTGCCCGGCCCTCGTGATCTCTGAAGGGGCCACATGTCTTCTCCTTCCAATCTCAAACTGTTGGCTAACACCGCAAGACTGCTCAGGCTCATGCCCAACGCCGCGTGCAGCGGTGACATGTCCCATGTCAGCCCGATCAACCGCCCCAATCCAGAGCTAAGAAATAATACAACCGTGTTGTAGCACAACGCCCACAGAACATTTTGTTGGATGATATGGGAGGTGCGGGCTAAGAGGGATATGATGAAGAGAACTCGCGGCAGTGATGACGAATGATCATCATGTTCCTGCCGAGACCCTTGAATTGTGTGGGACACAGAAGGAGATGATGGAGAATTCAGGATCAGTGCGTCGGCAACACCGTCAGGCAATTGGAAGGCGTCGGTGGCGACGGCAATGCTGAGGTCGGCGGCGGAGAGTGCCGGGATGTCATTCATGTTATCGCCTACCATTGCCACACAGCCTTTGGGGGAGGAGTATCTTTCTTTCAAACCGGAGATGATGCGTGCCTTGTCGTGGGGAAGGCATGAAGCCCAGACACGCGAGCGGGGGATGGAAAGCGAAGCAGCCACAGGCACGACGGAGGAGAGAGTATCGCCCGTCAGGATCCCGACGGAGAGGGCGAGGGAGTGGGCCGTGGAGACAAATCTGGACGCCGAAGGTTCGAGTGGGTCGGTCAGTTGGATAGTGCAGATGACGGTGCTGTCGAGGGCGATATAGACGCTGCCGGGGCTGAAAGCGCCAACGGGTGATGGAGATGGCCCTGGTTCGCGTTCAATACAGTACTCGAGGTCGGGTGCCGGTGTGCAATGGGACCACTGCATGTATCTGAGACTCCCGATGCGAATGGTCGCTGGATCAGGTTGGGGAGGGAGGTTGACGAGGGCCGAGACTCCCAGTCCATGGTGGGTGTGGACTGAGTGCACCTGACTCCTCAGCCCGGCGGCATGATCTTCTGCACACAACATGGCACAGTACTGTCGTAGAGCTGTGGCGATGGGATGTTGAGACCCGATTTCTGCCTGGAAGATGACCTTGAAGATAAGAGGATGGAGAGCTGGAGGGACCGTGCTAGACATGTGATGCTCTTTGACCTTGACGTTGCCTCGAGTCAGAGTCCCAGTCTTATCCAACATGATCATCCTTAATGTTGTAGCAGCCTGCAGACACGACGGGCGAGGGCTCATCAAGACCCCATGCCTTGCCGCCACACCAGTTGCTACCATGATGCATGATGGGACGCTGAGACCAAGTGTGCAAGGGCAGGCCGATAGGAGGATCAAGCAAGCCCTGTGCAGAACAGATGACATGTCCGTGAAGTGGTAGTATGCTTCGAGTGAGCAGGCGGCAAGCATGACAGAGAAGACCACGAGCACGAAATACTCGGCTGCGGTCTCGGAGAGGGCCTGAACAGACGATTTGTTTCTGGTAGCACTCAGCGTCGTTTCCAAGGCCTTTTCGAGCCATGTGTCCTTTCCTGCCCGAGTTACCTGGATCTTGAGGGTTTGGCGTAGGTTGACGCAGCCTGTAAAGACCGGGTCTCCAGCTCGCTTGGGTCGGGGCACCGTTCCACCGTTCAGGCAAGCCTCGAGCATCTCGCTGCTCCCTGTGACGACGTCGCCATCGCACGGGGCGGCAGTGTTGGGATGGACAAGGACAACATCTCCAACCCTCAACATTGACGGAGGTATATGTCTGACGGCACTGACACCGGCACCGACCTCCCCTTCCCCCTCCCCCTCCCCCTCATCCTCAGCCACGACGAGAGCTTCCGAAGGCAGTAATGCGGCAAGTGATGCCGTTGCTGCAAATGTATGCTGTGACAAGAGAGCCTTGGCATACCGGCCCCCCAGGAGGACGGTTGCGAGGAGGGTGAGCGAGTCAAAGGCTGCGCTGTCCCAAGGGCTGGAGCTGGCGCTGGAGCTGCGATATGCGCGGATGACGCTGTCAAGCAGTCCTACCTGGAGGGCACAAGAGGTCAGAAGAGACATGTTGGTGCGTCTGCTGCGCACCGCAGCCCATGCTTCACGGTGTATTGGGGCACAGCACAGCAAGCTCCCCAGAAGGCAGGCAACAGAACTGGCTGCGCTCCAGCACCAAGAGATTGACTGACCAGGAGCAGGAGCTGCTCTAAAAGTAACCCAACTCGATGCAGCAGCTACTCCGGTGGCGACTAATGACCAAGCGAGTGCCCTTTGCAGCTTCAGCAAAGCCACTTGGTGTTGCACTGTCGCAGCTGCGCATGCGGTAGCCAGGCCCTCGGTCTCAGCAACCTCCTCTGCCTGAAACCCACAATCTTCGATGGCGCTTTGCAACCCCGAAACCGCAGTCCCCGTCCCCGATCCCGTCCCCGATTTCTCAAAGGCAACGCGAGCAAGATTCAGTGGCAATGAAACATCGGCTCTTAATACGCCTGGACGGCTCTCGAGCGCTTTGGTGATGGAGGATGTACACGATGCACATGTCATACCCGATACCCGAAAGGTTACTGTAGCAAAGCCATCTTCCTCCTTGTTTGGTAACAGCTCTACACCGGCGGTCTGTTTGCCAGTGACCCGACCAAATGCACTGCTTCGAAATTCTTGGACTTTCTGGTGAACACTGATGATACTATAAATGATGTATGCTGCCGCAGCACAGCAGGCCATGACCGCCGTCGAGATACGCTCTGCCAAGTTCCAAATTCAAACAAGATGGTGGCAGTGACGGTGATGGTGGAGGCTCTGGGTGGTATGCGTTCGGACTCGGATATCGCTCTGTCAACTACATGTGTGTCGATAAGAATAGAATCCTTTAGTGACGGTGAGGACAACGATGCAGTCGAAGCCACGCCATCGCTCCGACTGGATTCGTCAACGATCAGCGACACGCGACACAGCTGATCTGAATCTGAGTCCTTGGTCCTGATGTGGTGGGATTCTCTTGCGTGATAGCTGGGGCCCCGCGATAAGAGAGACAGCTGTGGAGCAACTATGAAAGCCGCTGGAATTTTCTGACCAAGAAAATTCCGAACTTCCGGGGATCATTCTCGTTAAAGTCTGTTGTCGATCCAGGTTACAGTACACTTCACGCTTCTACATGGGTGGGCGTGGTACCCTTGAGATGCTATGGCCGATTTTTGTTCGCGGCCCATGTGCCCCTCAGAAATGCACTCCTGTTTTTGGTTGTGTGGGCAAGGTTCATCTCAAAGCGACAGGAACACGAGGACTCGGCCACCTCTGTATGATGCCGGGAAAGCGTTCCCAGCAACTCTATTGCTTCCAGAGCTCTGTCCCTGGCACCGGCACACACTGGGTGTAGCCGTGTAGACGACTGACACGTCAGAAATCTCTGACGAGGTTCTTGACTGCGGCAGTTGAGGAATCTACACGTGATTTTCTCCCTTTTCTCGAGAACAGACTATAGCCTTATTGCACTCAAGTTCAACCACGGCTTCCTTCTGTATATTCCCAATCTTTGGTATGTGTGGTAAGGCTACCTCCATGATGACGGCCCTACGTGAGAGTACCAGGATTGTCCCTACAAAGACGAGCAGCTATACTACTAGCTATGCTGACGAGAAAAAAGGCCTAGGTTCGTCTGCCGGTAATTTGAGGATACCCATCTAATGTGCAATTAGCCCAGCCCGAACTCATACCAGACAGCGCCAGCACTGGAAAGGTACGTCAATCAGTGCAAAACAGGACTGTGGGTTGGTGGATTGTCTCAGCCATCGCTGGACTCCTTCTATTCAACAACAATGTCGTCCACCTTCCACCCAAGGCGAGAGCTGCAGCCGTCACACTGGTCTTTCCAGGTGCAGGCTATATTGCTGCTGCGAATTGGCCAGCGGGCCTGTTGCTCCTCCTGACATACCTGCTCCTACCGCTCTGTCTCTTTGCTTGGTTTGGAGCCGGTGGTGTTGCATTCCCTGTGGCCCTTTGGATTCTCTCCGCTGGGGGTGCCTACGTTATGGCTGGCTCTGAGCTGTTCGTCCATGCTGGCACTGTCGATGTGATAATTTTAGCAGCATTTCTGCTTTACTTCAATCGCACATCGGCCAGCGCTAGGATCATCGCAATTAACAAGAGGAGGGCGCGGAATACATTCATTCCAACCACGTTAGCCACCCTTGACGCCGGTGCGATCTCTCCCGCGCCTCGAGACGAGCGTGAGCTCGGATTAAGTGAGCTCAGAGATGTTCAATGGGCAGTCGATCAGAGCCTCTTACCACTTGATGATTGGTCCAATTTCAATATCATCGACCAATTCCAGACGTCTGCCCTTCGCTACCAGCTCTACGAGATGATGTTTGTCTTAGGCGCTTACCAGGGCATTTATTGTCCCAACTTCCACGGATATGTCAACAAAGCCTACCAGAATATCATTGAAAAATCTCTAACGCCAAAGGTTCTAAACTTTTGGAAGTGGGAGACCTTGTGGGGGAAATTCTCCACCGACTTCGATCCCGTAAAGAAGGACAACATTATGGTAACCGGTATTCTACTTCAAGGAATCGCTCTATACATCGCCAATACTGGAGATCAGCGTTACACCAAGCCTGGATCGTTAAAATTCCAAGTCACCGACAGGCAGGTGTATGAGTACGATATACACTCGCTGGCTAGAGTGTTAGTGAAACAGTGGGCCGAGGACGCATATTGCCTTTTCGCATGCGAGCCTACTTGGATCTACACACCGTGCAACCTACAGGGGTTAACAGGTATGGTCGTTTACGATCGTGTATATGGCACGCACTACGCCAAGGACCTTCTACCTCGCTTCGAGGAGTCCCTGGTGACGAACTTCACCGAGCCAGACGGAAGTATACTGCCTATCCGAAGTTCTCTTATCGGGTTTACTGTACCCGGAATCAGCGGAGCGCTCATGGACCTGGTCAACGCTATGCTGTGCAGGGGACACCTGGATCATATTGCACGGAGAATGTGGGCTATCTTCAGAACAGAAAACATTGATTACGACGACGAAACGGGCAAACTAAGATTAAAGGGGCTGGGTGCCGCTGATATAATGGACCCAGGCCTCTACAAACCCAATGAGTATTGTCTCTTCCCGATTCTGGCTTACGTGGCGGGCGAATACGGCGATGAGAAAGTTCGGAAAGCCGCCATCGATCAATGTGTTTCAGGAGTTGGAAAGTACACGACCAGGACTGGTGCTACTGCCCTCAAGGGGATGAGTAACAGCATCAACAGCTGTATGGCGAGAGCTTCACTATTGCATAGAGAAGACTGGAAACGGCTCATTTCCGAGGTATGAATGGTTCTTTCTGTCCACATCCTGGCTGACTGCGTTCACAGGGCCCTTCAAAAACTACTCTAGCAGGACCGATCCTGGATTCAGCACCTTACCCGGGCGTGCTTGTCGCAAGAGCTTACTCACGCACGTCCAAGGACCTTGATCTTGTTTTATATCCTTCCTGTGCGAGCGGGAAATTTGAATTAGGGCTGAAGAGACTCCAGCCAGGCGTTGTTTATCGCTTCGCCGAGAGAAGTGTCGTGGCAGACACTGAGGGAGAGGCTAAGATCGACGTTTATGTTGATGGTAGGACGGTGTTGAAGATTGAGCCGATGGAATAAGAGGAAGGGTATATTCTGCCCTCTCGTGACGAAATGAGGAGCACGGAAGGCCAGTGTTCGGTTGTGTTTGACCGGGGATGTGAAAGTATGTTGTCGGTGTAGGTGCAGAAGTAGAGCAATCGTACTTGTATGGCCGGCAAAGACACTGACAACTCACTGGATTTGAAAACAGTCAATCTCAATGTTGCTTGCTCCGCGTGCACAGCAGGGAAGCCTACCTGGTAGACTGCATCGGAGAAGCTTGGACCGGGAGCGAGATGGCCAGCCGCAGAGCTGGCCATTTACCATTGGATGAGCGCAGGGAGCATGAAAATGTACTGCGAGAAAAGGATGACAAGTTGAGGAGGGGATGGCTCCTGAGACACGAGACACGAGACACGACCTGCCCAGGACCGCCAATTCGAGCACTGATGAAGGCGAGGCGCGCAACAGCACGTTCGAGGCATCTGGCTTTCGGTAATAGCCGCTACCATATATTTGAGAGGGCTCCTTGCCTCTGCTGAACTGACTTGAAGATGGGTGAAATTCTTCTATAGGGCGCGGCCAATCTCTCTTTCATTATCACTACAGCTACACGATTCACCCAAAATGGGGCCGACTTCGAATTTCCACGTCATCGTCATCGGCGGCAGTGTTTCAGGCCTTACAATGGCCTTGATGCTTGAGCAGATGGGAGTCAGTTACACCCTTCTCGAACAAGGGCCTGCCATTGCCTTTGCTGGAGGGGCAAGCATTGGTCTCCAGCCCCATGCACTGCGCATCATGGATCAACTCGGCTTATATGAGGACATCTTGAAAACCACGGTTCCCATGGTGCAGCACTACCATCGACGGCCGGGTGGGAAAATGTTTTCCACTTCTAATTTCTCCCGACATATCGAAGCAAGGTGAGCAAGACATCAGAAATCACCTCTAAACCTAAAGGTCAAGGTTATACTAATTGGCATGGCATCAGGCACGGTTATCCGATCCTGTTCTTCGAGCGAGAAGAATTACTTCACATCCTATACGGCCACCTCAAAGACAAGCGAAATGTCCTGACGTCGAAGAAGGTGGTGAAGCTTGAGTCCAACATAGGTGGAGTAAGAGCCGTGACTGCTGACGGGTCCATCTTCGTGGGCGACATGGTTGTTGGGGCCGACGGCGTCCACAGCTTCACGAGAAGGACCATGTGGCATATCATGAGTGAAACAGAGCCGGAACTGGCAGAGAAGGAGTCCAAAGGTGGGTGTGCATTAGAAGATCGTCTCGGCATACTCAGCCTCTGAGCTGACTCCAACCATTGCAGCAATGACTTGCGAATATGCATGTGCATTCGGGGTTTCGATATACGAGAGTGATGATCCAGACTTCATTCCGGGCCATGCTCACTTGACTTACAACGAAAAGATCTCCAGCATTGTTATCTTGTCAACACGCAACAAGATATTTTGGTTTCTGATTTTCAAGCACGACAAGAAATACGTTGCGCCCAACATCCCTCGATACTCAACCAAGGATGCGGAGGCCGCCATTAAGGCGCATGCTGGTTGGCAAGTGACGGAGACGACGACCATCCAAAAGCTCTGGGACCATAAAACCAAGTTCACAATGGTCTCGCTCGAGGAGGTCGTGTTCGAAAGATGGCATCAAGATAGGCTGGTTCTGCTCGGCGACTCGGCATTCAAGGTGACTCCCAACGCCGGACATGGTGGGAATACTGCAATTGAAAGCGCCGTCACGTTGGCAAACTTGCTCTACCAGGCGAGGAATGGAACAGGCCCGCACAGACTCGACCACCAGGGCATCCTCTCCATTTTCGCCGAATATGAGCGGACCAGGCGAAAGAGAATGCAACAGGCCTTCCAGGTTTCGGTGCTTGCCACACGTCTTCACGCAATGGACAACTCCCTTTTCCGACTGCTCGGACTACACATTCTCCCCCTTTTCGGGGAAGAGCTGGAAGCAAACGCTGCTACAGAACTGATTCTTGGTGGTGTCCCCATGGACTTCATCGAGTATAAAGGAAAGACCGGCACAATCCCGTGGGATGGTTGGTCCTTGCACCAAAAAGACCTAGACCGGTCCGGCTCACAAAGACTGTTCAGCAGAGTCGTGAGAACTGCCAACTGGATCACCGCAGCACTATTGGTCGCCGGGGTCGTAAGGAATACGAACACCTCCACGTCTGTGAGCCATAAGTTGCCCTTCTCATTTGTCCACCGACAGAGTGACGCTTACATTCATCCGTGGGGTCTTGTTTCAGCTTGTATGGACCTTCTTCCAATCGCAGTCATCATTGCGGTGGAAGGTCAGCGGAGATCGAACGCTAGAAAATTACCGATACTGTGAGTTCAAAATCAGACATGATGGATATTGTTGGTGGTTCATACTCACCCCTACGCAGTCCCCTCCTCGCCGCCATCTCACTCCTCTCTGGAGGCCTTAAAGTTCTCGGTGGCCTGTTTCTGCTGGTTTATTTGGTCGACCTTGCGGTCATGCCGGTCAAAAACCCGTATTCTTTCGTGGTCCCTCCAACGATCTCTGAAAACCTACCTTCTGCGGTTGTCCTTTGCGCCCTTGTCACTGGTTGCCTCCCGGTCGCAGCACCGCTATTTGCTTACCTGCACAGGAGCTCGGCTTATCAGTCGCTCCTCTCGGCATATATTCAACTCTTCCCGCTTATGGTCCTTGGTTTCAGCGAGATCTTCTCAAAGCTAAACGCTTCGGTCAGTGTCTCAGAGTCGTTAGTGCAGGCACATCTGGACCTCAACTACCTCAAAAAGGCATACATCCTTGCCATGGCTGTTGCGTCCACATCACGGGTTGTAACCAACATATTGGGCCTGGCACATCTCATCAGAGATTCAAAGCTATCTTCCCGCATCGCACTAACACCATCACCGTCACCGTCACCAATTCTCCATTTCATTCTCGGCGGATCCTCGCTGCCATCCGACCTCGGTACAGCGTTTGTACTGTTCATGCTTGCCGCCATGATTTTCGTCGTCTCCTCGGCGGTTGCCGTGTTGCCTTCGCGATCGCGAGATGGCAAGACAATATCCAAGGTGGCCGCCGCAATGTGGATTGCCACCGTACTTCTAGGACCTGGTTTTACTGTCTCCTTGCTTTGGATTTGGCGAGAAGACAAAGTGAGATGCGACCAACTGGTGACTTTGGAAGGAGCCAAGTCGGCAGGAGTAACTGTGATTTGAGCATAGCTGTTGGGACCCGAAAGATGGTGAACTATGCCTGAATAGGGTGAAGCCAGAGGAAACTCTGGTGGAGGCTCGCAGCGGTTCTGACGTGCAAATCGATCGTCAAATTTGGGCATAGGGTAAGCAACCTCCCCATTCCAGTACGATCCCAGTAGGTGCCAGTGAACATTTTAACTAACAAACATTTTCTACAGGGCGAAAGACTAATCGAACCATTGGAAAAGCTACTAGGTGGTTAAGTGTAACCTCAAAGTGGTTGCAAATGCCTGATTCTGGCGCGACACTGTCCAATTGGGGGGACACCCTAAAATCAGACGACCGCAATCCTTAATTAGGGTCCCCCTTAATTAATTACTTTAGGTGTTATAGTAATAGTTAATACGCGTCGGAGATCTGCTAGGTAGAATTCGGCCTAGACTCTTTTCTAGTAAAGTTGTTCTCTCCCCTGCTTAATCAACATCCTTCGAGTACGCGCCCCCCTCTGTTCCCAAACTAGGTTATATGCTGCCGACGAGGTTGACAGGTTCGTTTCCCCCCAGAGGCGTCTAAACAGGCGTAGAAAAGCGGTATGAGCGCACAGGCTTCCCAACCCGTGAGGTGGTCCCCCGGGTGGTACCCACCCAAGCCAGTCAACGCCGACGAGCAAGTGATCTGGGCTGTGAGATACCGCGATCAATTCTCAAAGAGTCTGAAGGAGGAGTCGGTACGCGCCGACATCGTCAAATGGTGCATATCCAACGTCGGGTTCTTCCGTACCGGTTCCTTGGTCGGGTGGGAAGAGAAACTCCGTCTCTTTATGAACATCACGCTCGAGAAAGAGAATAAGCGGCCGCGGACCCTTCTCGGTCCCAACGGTCGGTGGGTGGAGGATTGGGCCAAGGTTCGTGAGGCGGAGAAGGTCTCTGGCAGGAGATCGAGAGACGGCGATTATGCTCGGGCGATGGATCAATGGTTGGTGTTTGTGGGAGAGAAGGTTGATCAACTACGGAGGGCGAAGAAGCCGGGGATAGTCAAGACGGCAAAGACGGCAAAGACAACAACAGCACGTCCTGCGCAGTACAGTGAGGAGTATGAGAGGCGGTTCTGCGAAAACCTCTCCTTAAGACGGCGAGATCGGCTCCCTCTAGAGTCTGTCAACAGTGGTAGTGGCGGACCTGCTCTGGCAAGCGAATCGACGCCGACGCTCCCTGTTGCAACACCGGCACCCACTCCTACGCTTCAAGGTTCCGTTACTACGCTTCAAGACTCTGTTCCTACGCTTCGAGGATCTGTTCCTACGCTTCGAGGATCTGTTCCTACGCTTCGAGGCTCTGTTCCTACGCTTCGAGGCTCTGTTCGTCGTGACCGTGGCCGGGGCACTTCACGGTCCACGTTAGGATCACCAACTCGGTACCGAAGAAAGGTGGATCCTTATCAAGGGTTGATCAAAGCTCTCACCAGATTCAGTCAGAACATCGGAGAAGGCCTGAAGGCCATCGCGGCGACGAGCGCTGTCAACCGCGACGTGGAAGAGAGGCTGTTGGCGATCAGGAGGCATCAGCAGGAGGCGCAATTAAGAAAGAAAGCGTTTGTCGAACGACTCGATAAGCTGTTGGAGCATCAACAGGAGGCGCAATTGAGAGCGAAAGCGTTTGACGAACGACTCGATAAGGCGTTGGCTCTCATCGAGGCGTTGCACGATAAATCATAAGCCTTTCTTTGGGAGCTTCTGGTACAACATATCTCCCGTTAGGTGTGATGATAGCCTGAGACCTGAAATTTCACGCCGTAACACTTCTACTATGGCGCTATAAAGAAGTCGCTGATCTTCCATAGGCTTCAGTTCGCTGTCTTGATTATCGTACCGTCGACCCAGCCCCGGACTCTTCCTCCTTTACCTCCTCCTGGTCCTGATTCATTGATCGCGCCGGAGAAGGTCTACAGGGTATCAAGCGTTAAACAGCGACTATCCCAGAATAGCTTATCTCCGAAAAGGGACTTCAGTACGTCGCGACATTGTTGAATATTTATACTCGGTTACATGTACGTTTGAGAATGGCTAAACCAGGCAGGCACTCAGGTTAGCGAGACGCGCAAGGAGGACTGAGAAAGCCTTCTCAGGCGTCGGTCTATACCTATCATCATGCACCACGATGTTGAGATCAATTCATCACGCCAGAGATCGAGCGTGAATTCGAAGTATGGGAACGGCACAGCCTTATGGTACCTCGGGACGAGGTCGGGGACGAGTTTGTCGGGGACGAGCTTGTCGGGGACGAGCTTGTCGGGGACGAGGTCGACGACGACGACTACGACCTCTTTCACCAGATCTAGCTGTAGAGACTAGTCAATCATCCATGTATAACCACCCAGGACCACCGAGCGCCATACCCACAGCATCAGCGCGATACGCGCCTTCTTCGTGCGCAACAGCCAAAACGACCGCCGCTATAGCTGCAAACGCGCCGGTTACTGCTATAGCCGCAGCCTCGTATATGATATCGTTGCGGCGGGCGTCCATATTGGTACGATGTTGTTGCCGTCGAGCTGTTTATCTATAGGACCCCGATTGACTACCTATACCTTTCACGCCCAAATGTGGTGTAGAAGGTACCGTCCGTAAACGCGTGTCACGCTACGAACCATTCCAGTACGGCACCGGGTACATCCCCCGACGCCAGTAGGCGCCATTGAGCAACTAAGTGAGATTCGGTAGAGTCACGCACGACTTGCTAAAGATGAGACTCCACCCAAATGCAAGTGATTACTCCGTAGAGCAAGCAACAAGTAACACTCTTCCTGCATCTCTTCTTCGCCTGTGTACTCCGCCAACTGCCGTTAATGGCGAATCTTTATTTCAGGAAGCGCCTGCCGAATACTACCCGACTTATACGGCGGGACTCGAGATATCAGGGAGGCAAGGCCAGTCTCTATTGATTGCCAGAAGACGAACCGTTCTAACGGATCGAGCAAGAGATGCACGTAATAGAGTACCTAAATTGTAGAACGAAAGACCTGTAAGGAATCATGGAGGCGGTAAGGTGCTGGTTATGCACACCGAGCGTGTGATTGTACGGAGGACTTGTCATTGATCAATGAGGGAGATAGGTACCTAGGTAGGTACTTCGTAGACTGTACGACGCGCCTTTACAACACTCGGCACAGTGCCTGGCACCCGTTTAGTCACACGATCGGTGGCAACTGAGGGCCACTAAACGCCGTCCCCTGAGCGCTACGGTACGCCGTGTCGTCTTCTGTAAAAGGTGTGCCTGAAGCGTAATGTGGCATCGAGTCTGTTGCTGTGGTCCTGCAAGTATCTGAGTAAGAAACTCAATAGGTGCGCACGTTTTGCACCAAACCTGCTTCGTCCATGACTGTTCTCTCCAGTTCAAGTGCTGTCAACTGGTCTGCGGCGACATCTTCTTTAACATCTTCTTTAACATCTCCCTGCTCCTACTGTTGCTCTTCACGTTCGTGCTGTCGGACGGTCTCCTTACATCGCAGGATGCTCTCGTAGAGAGCTTTCCGAGTAGGCGGCTTCCATGAAGGGTTCAACGCAGTAAGGAAGGCAATCATGGAAGGGTCTTCAAACAAGGTGAAGGGGAGGTTATCTTCAAGGATAGCGCGCGCCGCGAGCTCGGTGAAGTGATCGTTCATGTCAGGATTCGTCCAAAATGTCTCCAGAGTCGATTGTCTAGAAGGTGACTCCGTACGAGGCCTCTTCGCTGTTGAGATAAACTGTAGTCGACCGAAAGGATTGCGAGACCTCAACGCCTGTTGGTAAGCGCTACAGGTCTCGAGATGGCGACGCTGTCGAGTCACGTTCTGACTCGACGTCTCACCACAGTGCTTGCAACGAACGCGAGGACACGCCTGTCCTGGTGTAGGCGGAGATTTCTCAAACTCCTTATGAGTACTATAGTCTGTCCGACGAGTCATTCTACAGACTGGAGTCGATTAAGACGAAGTCGTTGAGCGAGATCGAGTCGAATACGGAGCGAGATGGTTGAGAGACCCTGACAGAGTTCGACGAGACGTGGTATACCGAGACCTTCACTCTCGACGGATAACGCGACCTTCTCCCGACGCGCCTTTAGTGCATACAGGGCTGGCGGCCTCCTAACACGCGACGCGATAGCTAGTAAGGGCGTTGATTGGCTATTAACAGTATTTCGGTCAGGAACCCATCTCTGCCGTATTCCGTACTCCGTTCCCCGTGCCTGTCACAATAATTGGACATCACTTTGTCCCGTTCCCTGCGACTGCAACTGCGTTGCTTTCGATTGTGTGGTGCATGTCAGAGGCATGGCAGAGCCTCCTTTTCCGATCGACGCTGGTTGAAGTAGACCAGAAAAGTCTCTTCTGCCCAGCATGCCCCGAGCACCTCGACGAGCAGCGCACCCAACGCTCAATGCCACGACGACCACACCGACGCGCCCAACAGCCACGAATGCAATCACCGCAGCAATCCCACCTTTTATGCTCGAAACCCCTCCACATGCTCCATTCGTGACCACGCCGCTACCTCCGTCGAACAACCCAGGAAACTCGATTGTGCCCGATGTCAACGCCCCTCGGCGCCAACAGGGCCGCACCCAACAGACTCCGACTGGGAATGCAAATGCCCAAAACGAGGCTCCCGAAACCTCCCAGGTGTCACACAACGCGGTGGGCTCGACTGCGTCCGAGACCGGCCATGTAGATGAACAGTCGTACCTCGACTCGATCCATCACGACGCCGAAGATGCTAAGCAACTTAAGGGGCTGCGAGACATCTCCGCGTTGGCTACATGGACGCTGTCGTCTGCAAAACCAGGGTGTGCCCTGGGGCAGCTTCGGAATCCAAGCCCGGCGCTGTTCTGGCAAAGCGATGGTCCACAGCCACATACCCTCACCCTGCATTTCTTCAAGTTGGTGGCAATCGTCAAGATGAGGATCTACTTGGACTTCGAGCTGGATGAGTCATATACTCCAACCAAGATGAAGTTCTTTGCCGGAATGTCCGAGGGCAGCTTGGTCGAGTTTGGATCCTGGGAAGTGACGGAGACCACTGATCCAGAGACCGGCGAAACGCACAGTAGCGTCGAGGGAGTCCGGGGATGGATTGATGTGCCGTTGAAAGGAGTTGGGGGCAGGGACACTCATTCTTACGAGGATGAATCAGCTCTGGATGGTCAGGTCGAGTCTACCCTCTATCCGCTGCAAATGGACTCGCGCGAACCTTTCGGTGGAGACGTGCTCAAAGCCATGATAGTACAAGTCCGCATCTGCGAGAATCACCAAAACGGCAAGGACACGCATGTTCGTGGTTTCCAGGTGTTTGCCCGAGATCATACCAATGCGGGAGAGGTGAGGACTAGCGGGAAGAAAGAGAAGCTGAGCCAAAAAGCGGCCGAGGGCGAACAAGAAGCGGACAAGGTCGTCGGGCTTCGGCCAGCAGACTGGATGGGTGAAGCGGTTCTACGATAATGACTTATTGATCAGGTTGGCCAATCCACCGGGGCAGGTGTGATACGAGGAGCTTACTGCCAGTGCAGGAGGATGATAGAAACGAGCAACACGGGGACTGTAGATGGGTACTAGATACCACCCACCTACCACCTAGGTACCTAGGTACCTACCTAAGGTATGAACGCCCGTCTGGCCTGGTGGATGCGCTGGTGCATCTCCGCTCCGCCGTAAACACGCTCCGCCTTGTACAACACAGAAAACGGCCGATCAAGGTGCACTCGGGACTTTTGGACTTTGCGTATAGCATAGTATTTTAGCCATTGACTGCATCGAATGGTGACCGTACTGTACGTGCAACTTAGGTATGAAAACCCCTTCCCAGATCGAGACCCTAAGTCGTGATTTCAGGCCAATTGCACGTCAGCATCGTGCCGAACTCGGAAGTCGGCTTGTGCTTCTCCAATCACCTTCAGACCTCCACTCTGGTTTCCACAAGCAAGGCCGATCGATGGTGGTGAAGAATGAAGAACGGGCTCCAACGCGGAGAAGCACGCTGCTCCAAGCTCTCCAAAAGTCGTGAGTAATGAATCGACTACTCGTTGAATGGGTTCACGCTCAGGCTGGAGAGGCGCGCACATGTTATTGTCGAGTCTTCGCTGCCACGGTCATGGCATCGGGTGGTGTCCGGCATTGTCTGAGCAGAGGGTGCCGTGATTTTAAAGCCCATAAACAGCATATTAGCAGTGGCGGCAGTATAGTACGGATACAATGGCTCCGCGTTTGTTGGAGGATCTGATGTGATTTGAGATGGACTCCACCCACGTTGACCCCCGTTATTACTCACCTTGCTGAAATTTCACTTCTTTGAGACCTGGATGCGCGGCACTTTTCCATGGATATGAGCGAGGCAGGGAGTATGAATTCGTCCTCTGGGCCTCTCGTCCAGCCTTCATTTAACTGACCAAAACCGTCCGATTGGTATACCATGGTCGAGGTCGAGACCAAAGATGCGGGCGCATCGGCTGTTCCTATTGCGCCCGCAACACCCGCCGACACATACGATGCCTCTGTCGAACCTCCGTACGGGTGGGTGGTCTGCATTGCCATGCATCTGATCAACGGTTTCACTTGGGGCATCCTTGCAGTATGCATTTGACCCCGTCTCCCCCATCTCCGGAAGATGGAAGATCGAAGATTGCTGATTCTCCCGGCAGTCGTACGGAGTCTATCTATCTTACTATATCAACCATGAGACGTTCGCCGGAGCATCGGACCTGGATTTTGCATTCGTTGGTGGCGTTAACTTCGCTACGGCGCTGCTCTGTGCGCCCGTCGTCAACATGATCATTCGTGCGTTTGGGACCAAGGTCCCCATGTTTTGCGGCTGCTTTCTTTTCTCAGGGGGCTTTGTGGCAGCCTCCTTCGCCACCAAATTCTGGCACCTTATTTTGAGCCAGGGCATTCTTGTTGGGCTGGGAGTCGGGTTTGTTTGGCTGCCTTCCATTCCCCTCGTGTCTGCGTGGTTCAACAGAAATCGAAGCCTGGCACAGGGCATTGCCGCCGCTGGGTCGGGAATTGGTGGCACAATCTTCTCTTCAGCCACCACCCCAATGATCAAGAACTTGTCCTTGGCCTGGTCCCTGCGGATCACGGGCATCGCTGCGTTTGCCGTCTTGTTTGTTGCCTCGGTGCTCATGCGAGACCGAAACGCCACGATCCGACCGCGAATAAAGGCCTTTGACGTGGTCTTGCTGAAGAGGTATCGAGTTTGGCTCCTGATCGGATACAGCTTCTTTTCTATTCTCGGATACATTGTCTGCACCTACTCCATGTCGGCATTCGCGCTGTCACTTGGTCTTTCCCAGCATCAGGGTGGCATTGTCATCACAGTACTCAATGTCGGAGCCGCGGTTGGAAGGCCTTTTGTCGGGGTTCTTAGCGATCGGTTCGGCAGAATGACTGTTGCGTGTGGCTTGACTGCCGTCAATACACTCATGGTGTTCGCAGTCTGGATCCCGACAACTTCATATGGCCTGCTTATCTTCCTGTCGTTTGTGCTAGGAATAACGAGTGGAATATACTGGGGGGTAGGCTTCGACAGTTCCCACACCGCAATCAAGTGCTAACACAACGATAGACAATTGCGCCTCTTTGCGCAGAAGTCGTCGACCTCAAAGAACTTCCCTCGACGCTTGGGTTGATGTGGCTATCCGCTTCCATGCCTGCTTTGTGTAAGTTGATATGAGGACCTTCTCCCCTATCCGATCGTTAATGATTTTGCCCAGTTTCGGAGGCAATTGCACTCGGAATCCGCCAGCCAGACTCTCACAGGCCTTACCTGTGGCCACAAATTTATACCGGCTTGGCCTTCATGATTGCGAGCTTGTTTTTGTTAGAGCTTCGGAGACAAAAATGGGGCTTGCTAGCCAGGGAAAAGCATCGATAATGTGGTCGAATCAACACCCAGCGATTTCTGTCAGCCATCTTTGGCTAGAGTGGTTGTAGGAACCGGCAGCTTAAGATCGGCCGCCGAACTTTTGAGCCGATGGCGAGAGACATTACATGGCAGACTGGCGCTTGTGACTGACCGTCTGTTGGTTGTACTGCGACCTTCCGTGCTCCTAGTGATGTTCACATACTTGTCCCAGATGAAATGTTGACGAGGAAACTAGGTAGAGATTAGGACACATTTTGGGGAAGCTTCAGTGAAGTTTGAACCCATGTCAAAGTTTGAACGAGCATCTGATGTACAGTATCCGTACAGATATGCAGCCTTGGATCAGTTGGCAAGGCTGGCTGAGAACCTCGGCTAAAGCACTTGGCCTGGACGGACTTCGACGATGCCTGTCCATCTACCTAGTAATAATAGTCCGTATTTGTTTTTGGCACGCGTCTCATTATTTCTCTGTCGTCAGCCGGTCTGTAGCGTTGCGAGGCGCGTTGCACTTTATTCTTTGCTTGAAGATGTGCTAGAGTACTACTACTAGTAGAGAGAATGCCCGTTACCGAGATCTTGCTGTTGCGACATGGCCATCGCCTTGCATGGACACTGAACCCCGTCACAGGAGAATATGGTTCAAATCATCCTTACCCGACAGGCCTGCCGGCAGATCCTCCCTTGGCCTCGCATGGCGTGCAGCAGGCTCGAGAAACGGCGAAACATCTCGGCAACGTGCTGGCTGATGTCGCCAGGTCAGACCGACTCAGGATATATTCCAGCCTTTTCTACAGATGTCTAGAAACCCTGCGACCGACGGCCGAGACACTCCTCGAGATTAGCCCTCCAGACTCACTCGCGAGAGAACGACTAAAAGTACGAGGTGAGAGAGGCATTGGGGAATGGTTCGGTCGTGCATGGTTTGTCCAACCCAAGCCTGCAGAGCCTTCCAGACTGCGCAAGGAGTTCTTTCACTGGCTGGACGATCTGTACCACTCCAGGGTTATTCCGCCAGAACACGGCGAAAGAATCGAGCCCTTGCACGATCGTGTTGCCCGAGCACTGGCCCAGATAGTGCAAGACGTGGATGAAGAATACGTTAACGCCGGACGTGGCGATGAAGAGGTCACACTGCTACTCTGTGGACACGCCGCCCAGATCATAGCCAGCGGCAGGGCTTTGACGGGCCAAGTGCCGGATGACCTGGACGAGGAGGATTTCAAGTGCTTTACATGTGGTCTCAGCAAGTTTGTCCGCAGGCAGGGTCCCGTTGCAGGTGAGCCATATTACGACGATGACTGGCGCAACAGTGGAGGCGTCGCCGGCGGATGGGACTGCATTCTCAACAGCGACTGTAGTCACTTGTCGCAAGGGGAAGAACGGGGCTGGCATTTCCATGGCGATGAGAGTTTCGATTCCTATGAGGCGTCCGGTGGGATAGGAATCAAGACCTCCAATGGAGAGCGTTCGTCAAAATTATGAGGGAGGGCTTGTTGTTCTATCTCAATTATCTACAAGAGAAATATATACCTATGTTGGATACAAAGAGATCATCTTTCTGCTTTCTGCTGGCTGAAGCACGGTGAAACAACATGGGCTAAAACTACACCGTACATGTATGTAAGAATGGGGTTCGTAAGCTAAGTGCTGGCCTTAAGGCTCTGAAGGTCGTTGGCGAGCTCGCCGTATTTCCGCCGATTGACTACAGATGTTCTCCCCCACGCATTTCAGGTCGACCACCTCGAAGCTTGACATTCGTCCCCATCTATCCCTCCGTTGTGTTCTGAGAATGAAATGCCTGGCTCTGTTTTCCAGAGAACCTTCGACGTAATACTATGGCCAGCTTGACCAGAGCTGTCCTCAGCCATGGCCTACGGCAATCGAGTGCTGCGGCTTTCGACCGAATGCTATTATGGTACTTCTGTTCCTGCTCTAAGCTATTGTCTCTAACCGAAGCCAGACCTCCTATCTACCTTCATCCGACAGACACGTCCGCAGACGCAGACGAGGATCTGCATTCCTTCGCAACGGCGCCGGTTTCACGACTATTTCGTCACCCATTTGCCCTCCTCATCACTCCATCCCGATTCCCGCTCCTTGACAGGCCTTGCCCATAAGTTTTCCCGCAAGGACTCCGCTCCACATACACCGGATGGGAAGTCTGCTCCGGCCGCACACCCCTCGGTTTTGAGAGACACGACGGTTGTGCGAATACCTCTCAAAAGCGCGAAGCATCATTACGGTGCTTCGGTGTCTCGAGGCAGTCGGCCCTACAATGAAGACTCGCATCAGGCCGGAATCATCGAGCTTCCGGCATTTGCGAAAAGACCACCTGTGTCAATAACGGTCAATCCCAAGTCTGGTGAGGGAACATCGGCAGATAGCGCCTCTGGCGACCCCCAGGTTTTCTACTTTGCTGTCTTTGACGGTCACGGTGGGGCGGAGTGCAGCGATTTTCTCAGGGAGAGACTGCATGAATACATCGAAAAATCGGCCAAATCCTTCGGGTTCCGCTCCAGCTTACAGAAACACGACCTGGAAAGAGAAAGAAAGAAAGTGGCCCCAGGGGCCTATGAGGGTGACGCCGAACAACAGAAACAAAGCAAGACAGCATTAGAGTCGGTTGAAATCAGCACTGATGAACGCCCCAAGGAGGTTCGTTCCAGTGAGGAAAATGCACCAGGATCTGCAGCGGCCACGCAACCTGCTTATCCCGGAGATCCGCCATTGATCCAGGGTGCAACTAAAGAGAAGATCAAGGCATTAGAAGAGGAGCTGACCCAGAAGTGGAAGCATCTTGTTGGCGGCTATTTTCGACGGTTTAGACCTGCTTATTTCTCCATATACGACGGATATCCAAGAACTGGGGAAGAATCCGTTTCGATGAGAGAAGGTGGCAAGGATGTGGATTCTGGTGCTGCTATCGAAGAAGTTGTCACCTATGCTTTTTTGAAAGCAGATTACGACTTCGTCGCCGCACAGGCTGCGAAGGATTCGGAGACCAGGGACAACACTCGGGCAGAGAGGCCATTGAATGAGGAGGATGTCTTAGGTGAACCCAGCAAGCTTGCCTCTCACATTGGCGGACCTGTACGGTTTAAGGGAGGCAGTACCTGCAGTGTGGTCTTGGTCTCGACTCCTTCGCCGACGCCGTTCTGGAATCCTGCTACGACATGCTCGATGCTGGTTGCCCACGTCGGAGACACGAGGATTCTGCTTTGCTCGACAGCTACTGGCGCGGCAATACCTCTCACCACGAATCATCATCCCTCATCACCCGTGGAAAGCACTAGACTGAGGAGGTACGCTGCAACCTTTGTGACCGATTCATTTGGTGAGGAGAGGATCTCTGGCCTTGCCAACACACGATCATTCGGCGACATTGCGTCTAAGCGCATTGGGGTCAGCGCCGAACCAGAAATCAAGAGGGTTGAACTGGGACCTGCGGAATATTCTTTCATGGTCCTGATGTCCGATGGCGTTTCTGGAACACTGGACGACCAAGAGGTGGTCGATATTGTGAAAGAGGCCAGGACTCCGGAGCAGGCGGCCAGAGATGTCGTCAACTTTGCTACGGAGGTGTCGACGGAAGGCGATAATGCCACTTGCCTAGTTGTGCGCTTGGGAGGATGGGAACGACGACAGGAGGGAGGTCATGGAAGCCTCCGTACGAAGGAGAGCCGTGACTACAAACGACAAAGTGCGGCAGATCCTCGGACTAGGCGGCAGTAATTGTGCTAGGGATAGGGACACTGTTGCATGGCGTCGTCGAGGCCAAGAAGGTCACGACTACCGGAATATATGACCAGCAATGCAGTTATTGCAGACGATTGAGATAGTGTTGACCTGCGGCACTGAGGTACATATATTGGCTGCCTTTGAATGAGAACTGGCAGCGCAGTGCAAAATCCGGGGCGAGGAATGATTCGTCCAAAGCAGATCCGCCGTTCCGGACTGGAGCAGACCCTTGGAGCCTGCTCTTCCTAGATGAATAAATAATACAACACTCTTTTCCCTTTCTTCAACTGTGCCTCCTCCTCCTCTACGTTCGCTAGCCTGCGATAAAACCACTCGATTACCGCCTAGTCATTCCGTCTCACGCCAAATAACGAGCGAAAGCCCTCCAGCTGTGGCGCGCAGAAGTTCCACCGTCGAGATACGAGCGCCAGGAGTGTCCTTTATCAGTGCCTCAGCTCCTTATCAGCCTGCCTGCTGCGAGACCCGTTTTCTGGGCCTTGATCTTGCGACCACAGCCTCCCGCGTCCCTACTCCTGACACAGTGTTCCTTGGGGAATATCCAAGCGCCTCGTGGCATACACCTCATTTCTGAATCACTCTGCAGCTTGAGTCCCCCTCGAGGCGGACACGGAACCATGGTGAAGGAGCAGGATGGTAACGGGCACTTGCTGGCCAACGGTCATGCAAAGGTAAATGCCGCGTTGGAAAAGATTGAAGCAGAGATCGTCGAAGAGGAGAACATTTTTCTTTTCATTCCAAACATTATTGGTATGCGCATATGTACCTGTGCATGCACCTGGCCGCGCATCCAACTGACCGTCCGCAGGCTACACGCGAGTCGTTCTCGCGATTGCTTCCCTCTATTACATGCCCCTCCATCCGCGGACATGCTCAGGCCTCTACAGTATCTCTTGTATTCTGGACGCTGCCGACGGACTGGCGGCCCGGCGGTATAACCAGTCCACGACGTTCGGCGCCGTACTGGACATGGTCACCGATCGGTGCACCACATCTTGCCTGCTGGTGAACTTGGCCTCGGCCTTTCCAAGATGGGCTATTGTCTTTCAAGGACTGATCAGTCTTGATCTCGCCAGCCACTATATCCACATGTACGCCACCCTGGCCATGGGTGCGAGCGGGCAGAGTCACAAGAAGGTGGAAGCAAGCAGAAGTTATATCCTCCACCTTTACTACACGAATAGGGTATGTTGGGCTCGACGAATTCTTACACAAAGATCCGACTAACGCTGGCGTAGACCGTCCTGTTCCTGTTCTGTGCACTCAACGAACTTTTCTTCATCGCCCTCTACCTCCTCTCCTTCTCCTCGCCTCTTCTCTCCCCGTCACTGTTGGTGACCGCCAACACCGGGCCTTTATCAACACAGCCTGGGTCCCCGGCACATCCGAAGCCGAGCACTTTGTTCGCCAACCAATGGAGCGCTGGAGCACTGGAAATGGCTCGTGCCAATAAAATGGACAGCACAATACCGTGGATATTGGCTGGCATCAGCTTTCCAGTCATGTTCGGCAAGCAGATAATCAACGTGATCCAGCTGGTGAAAGCGAGCAAATGGTTGGGAGAGGGTGATTTGGCAGCGAGGAGAAAAGCTGGGATTACGGCGGGGAAGAAGAGGGCATGAAGAGCCGAGTCTCGTGGAGATCTTTGATCAATCTCCACACATCTGTACCATGAGCGAAGACGGGGTACATGTCCCTTCCGAACGGGTCTCAAACAACTGGTAGGCTTCGATGGCAGAAGCGAGCGGGCAACTTGATCAGCATTGGTGTTTCTGGCGCGACATTACTGGCTAAGTGTTGGTTTGTTGAGAGCACTCTAAATAACTGACTGACTCCTTGTGTTCCATCTGTTGAAAATGGATGCGGAAACCATGTCCCTCGGAATCATGTTTGCACATGGCGTCAGGGTTTGTAAGGGTTCGTCTTGGATGTGGTTTATATGGACTTTACTACATTATATCTACTAATGATTGTATTCTATGAATATTAGACTAGACTAGAGTCCAGCATGATCTCTGAACTGTGCACAGCATTTAATATAGCTGGTCCAATATCTGAGGGGCTGTACATTGCATTGCCCATGTTCACGCTCGCTATAGTATAGCACTTAATTTCTTACGGACAATAGGCTGATAAATGCTCTGCTCTACTCTGGTATGCTCAGCTCAACTCAGCTCCTCAGTCCATCTTGTAGATATAGCTACGTCGGCTCATCTATATCCAGCCTCGTGGATCCCAGCCTTGCTGACTAATCAAGGTGTTTGTGTGCTCGACTGTAACTCCTTGTCGCTCCCTTCTTCCACTCCTCCGTAGCAAAACAAGTTGTCGACGGACTGGACTGTACGCGGCACCTAATTGCCATACAATAAGGTATCTCAGGTAGGTAGTATTATCGTCGAATGGTCCGGTATTTTCGTCAAGTAGTCGGCCGGCCCTAGGGGTGTGATTGTGTTTCACACTGGGCAGGTTGGCTGGACATCTGCCTTGTTCGCCATGATTTGAATCACGCGCCCTGCTCCCTACTCACCAGAGTACTCCATATCAAGGACACTGTACACTCTATCCTTTTATAAACTCACCTAGCCAGAAACTGAATCCACCGCATATGACCCAGGGAAATCGACCGGGAACTTGAGGTTTCACCTTCAGAGCAATCCGAGTCAACTACCCACCCAGTTTGTTTAGGACCGGGAGGATCGAGAAGAAGTCGACCGACGAGAGCGTGGCGCACAAGAAGCGGTCGCGGCCGCCGAAATTGATGAGCGACGGACCTGATTGTACACTTTCTGCTTGCCTGCAGGTGCCCATTTGTTTGCCTGACTGCACTCTGATCGGGGCGAGCGCGACTCCAATTCCCAATGGGATTACCGGCTACTTTCTCTTCTGTATTACTTTTGAATCGATCTGTCACCAGTGCCTTTCGAAATTGCCAAATGTCCTCCCACTCCTGCCTCCGACTCCTGCCTCGGATGGGGCTGAGCAAGCAAACAACAGGCCGCTTAGACGCAGGTCCACGAAAGTGTCCCGTCCTGCCTTCCCCGGGTTGGGAACCCTGTCACACCCCAACCGCTCCGTCCTACTTAGCAAGGACAAGGGTCCAGTAAGTCTTCCTTCGACCAAGCAGACTTCGCTTTTCTACACCAAAGACATCTGATGTGCGAAGAAGTTGCCCTGAGAGCGTGACGCGTCTCATTCTTTCATCTCAGACCACCTCAAGGAGGTAGGCAACCGCTGAACTTCCAGTTTCACCTAGCTTAGCCTAGTCAATCTCCTCGAGTTGCACTGCACTGGTCTCTTCTCAAGCCGTCAGTCCTTTCCTATGTCTCAGTTTAAGTACGACTCCTCTCCCGGAAAAGCAGAAGACCACTACTCCAGTGACCTAGGATGCAAAGGCCCATCTCTTGTTGATTCCTCCTACTTCATCGACCGCTCACTTGCTTCTGGAGAAGGACTGCAGTCGCCTTACATAAGCGCCAACCAGGTAGACCGGCGGAAAACACTCCTAGACGGAGACAGGAGCCTTCGATATCGATTCTCAAGAAAACGGGGAAAGAAAATGAGAATGAAACAAGAAGCAACCGGAAGTGAGAAAGAGGGCGTGGATGAAACTCCACCACAGTATGAGACAAAGATCATGTCGGAGGCAGGCGATGCAACTGAGGATGGGGGTTCCGAGAACGAGTACGACTTCGAGGAAACGGTAGACAATTGTATGGGCCCTTCCTTGAGCAGCCCGAACAAATATCGAACTTCAGACAACGAAGACGACAGTGACGAAGAAAACACCAGCGACAATGAAGACGAGGATGACAAAGGTGATGCTGTCACTGATGAAGGCGAAAATGAGAAGAACTATAGCACGGAGGAAAACACTGATGAGCAAAGTGAGGCGGAGTGCGGTGGTGAAGACGAAGGCAAAATTCCTTCCCAGCATCGTGGCAGCCAGCCATTGACCAGACAACCCTTGCGTAAATCCGACGAGTTCCCAGAAACAGACGGTTCTAGCGATGATAGCGGATCCTTTGAGGACGAGGAGTTCGCTGTCGACGGACAGCAAGAGCCACAGGCAGAGGTGTTGACCAACGGTGCCGAGGAAGAGGCTGACCAGCATGTCGTTAACCCCGAAATGCCACCTTCAGGTCAAGTTGTGCGGGCTGAGCGCCTAGAACAGATGGCCAAATCCAACGGCAAATCTTTCACCAAGAGACACCTAGATGAGGATGATGCTTTCCACGGCGGTCAACAGGCATTATCCAAGCGCCAGAAGATGACAAGGGGGATCGGTTCCGCAACCGGCCTTGAGAAAGGGGCTATAGGTCAAGCCAAGTCAGTCATGACCAGCTCGAGTGGCAACTGGCCACCTCTCCGGTCGACGAAAACATTCTCTAAACTCTCGCTGGCTGAGCAATCCCGTTCTTTGAAGGACTGGATGGCCAATGTTGATGACTATGTCAGTGTCATTCAGGCAGGGGCGATTCCAGTTTGGAAAATGTCCCGTTTTTTCAAACATATCAACAAGCATCTCGGTGCCGTCGCGGAGACGCTCGACAATGTGGCCCTTGCCACTCAACGCCAGGCCGAGCACCACAAGACAGCCCAAGAGGCAGTGATGACGGCGGACGTGGAAAGAGATGAAATCGGCGAGTTACTGGGGAGATTTGCACCCAAAAGTTCAGCTCCTGCGATCACGCAGAACGGTAACTAAGAATGAGGATGCAGGCTTGTCATTTGCCTGAGATGGTCAACACCGAGCAGATTCACCCTCAATACCAGCCTCTTTTACGGACTACAGCATTAGGACGTTCGCCAACATCTGTGCCGCTGCGTGAGGAGGATCCGTGGATGCATTGCTAGGACAACAGGATAATAGGACAATGCGTGGGCTGGAATTCGTACGAAAGTCTAGTATTGCCCTTCAACTGGGCTCGGTCTTTGTGTTTATACAGGCTATCTTGCTCACCTCTATCTCTTTGCGGGCTGTCAGTAAAATGGAGCTGGTTTGTTTGGAGCACTCCTAGGTAATATGAACTGAGGTGAAGTCATCATTTTGCCTAGCACATTGTAACAAGGCTTGTTAATTAACAAGAGAGATGTGTTTTGTTGTAACTGCATGTGGGCTCCGCCGACACCGAGTGCTTGCGTGTTTTCTGCCAGCACCTTGCTCTTCCAAGTGTTTGCTACTCAACCGTACCTGAAGTTACTTCACTCCAACAGCACAGCTGGATCGCGGCTTTCGCCTGGCGCCAGTTCAACTACTTGCCGGCCCTGCAACCCTCGCACGTGCGCACATAGAGACAGGAAGCCAACCAAAACATCGATCTGGTTCTGATCGCATCCGGCGGAACTCTTGCGAATTTTGCGGTAACTTCGGCGTACCTTAAAGGCTCGGATGGCGTAAAGGTGACCTCGTTCTTCCGAGCTACCTGGGGGTGCCATCATATCGGGAGGCCAAGCTTAGTCTGCGTTCAGCCCGACCCGGAGAAGCGGGGATTGCAAAGGTGACCATGTCCGGAAGGCTTTGGATGCTTGTTTCCATCCACCAGGAGAAACACCGAGGGAGATCGCCAGGTGCCAGTTGTCGGGCTTCAGTCTCAGGGCTGCGACAAGTCCACAATGGCAGCCCGAAAGTCCGTTCCGACGAGCCGATGTTCAAGCCCGGGTGGTTTGCCGGAGACCCGGATATCGAAGACCAAGGAGGCGACAGCGGCGACAACAAAGAAGACAAGTGTTGGTGCGGACCGGCTCTCGACATTGATGGCGGAAGCCTCAACTTCAACCCCTCTGATGAGCGAATACACGCATACCCGCCTTACCTCAATGTTCGTGGGCCAGCCAGAAGCAGAATATTGATAAAGGGCAGCACTTGTCAATGCGTCATGCAGCTTCATGCTCAAGGACTGCAAGCCAGCAGAATCGCAGCCAGAATCGCAGACAAAATGTATGCCGAGGTCTATACTCCAGCAGAGGTGTGCGCAGTCATCCGTTCTTGCACAATGTTAGGCCTCACTGGACAATCGCCGCTTGCAAACGAGAGTTGGGAGAACGAGTCAATTGAAGGCTGGTGGTTCAAGGAGGAGAGCTACTGCGAGGCATTGAGGAGACAAATCCCGGTGGACAAGGCCATATGCGGATATGACTGCGATGATGGCTGGTGGAAGAACAGGCAACACGAACGCAACCGAGACTGGGTCCGCTTTGGGGACAGGTCGATCGGCTCTGAAAGTCAGAGGAGAAGGTTGTGACTGTCAATCATAATCGGCTCACCTACCAGAAGCCCGGGAGGTGATGAGATATTAGGTGAAGGACTTGAGATAGGAGGTAATATGTACAGTATGGCAGGCCGCAGACAAGGTTGGGAGTGGGAATAGTACAGAGCATGTCTGACGAACCCCATTAAGGGCGCAGCTGCCTGTTAGGTGCCTGCTGAGGTGAGGTTAGCCACCGTAGTCTGTGTCCGTGGTGCTCTGCTGCTCTGTCAGACTGGCAACGGGCTTTCGGACGGCTGAGGCCCCAACATCGAGCTCATCTTCCTCCACCGGACTTCGAATCCAATCACTGTTGCCCGATCCAACCCCTGCCCCGGGGCAGCACCCATCCAAATCATCTCCGCCCAATCGTCACCACTGTCGCAAGGAAAGCACCTCTGCTACTGACGAGGCTCACCAAATTCCGAGCTGCGGCGGCAGCTCGCCTGGTCTGGGCCCTCCCTGCATATTCAAAGGCAAATCTTTCCCATGCGACCACGATGGGACGTCCATCTCTACCAAGTTCCAGCACCTGAACACCACTGCGATACCAGATATTTCCAACCCCAGATACAGTGGGTGAAGTGGACTTGGACTTGAACTTGATCATGCGACAGCTGCCCGCAAGATGAATGTCCACGAGCTTCGAATGCACGAAACCCACGAAGGAACCAAGACTCCCGGAACCCCCTTGCTTAACCCTCTCCATGAATCTGTTATCAATCGGCTCGATCCTGCCTTTGTCAGGCTATACAATGACTACATCGCAAATGGCCCTCCCACCTCTACCGATCTAGCCGTCGTTCGGCAAAACTACTCTGCCCTCTACTCCTACGCAGCAGCCCCCGCAACCGGTGTCGGTGGGATTGGAGAAACACAGGTGCCTGGTTGGGACAAATACCAAGGAGATATCAATGTGCGAGTCTATGTGCCGCCGGGAGAAGAGCCGGGACAGCGCAAAGTATGGCCGGTCCATTTTAATTTCCATGGTGGAGGTATGCGAATCCCTCCTTTGCGCTTGTGCACAGCGTATGTAATAACGTTCGCAGGATGGGCTGTAGGTGATCTCGAGACCGATGCACATGTCTGCCACCACGTCTGTGCTTCGGTGCCTTGCTGTGTCATTGACATCGGATATCGGTTGATTCCCGAATACCCGTTTCCCATTGGAATCATGGACAGTCTCAGTGCTGTGGCGCATATCCTTGCAAATCACAAGACGTTCTCCATCGACCCAGGTAACATGACTTTTGGCGGAGAATCTTCCGGTGCCACCATCGCTCTCATTCTGAATCACCTGTTTCGAGACGGCGGCTTCGGCGAGAAGTTAAAGGGCGTCATCGTTGGGACTCCCACCATCAGCGATGTGAGGAAATATGCCACACCCGACATGAGCCCCTGGCCAAGCATGCGAGAGGCCGAATTTGCACCCCTGCTAAATTGGGACAAGTTGAAGTGGTTTGACACTTTCAAATGGATCTCCATTTCAAGCCCGCGACCTACGAAACCCAAGGAGCAAAAACGGGATATCTCCTGGTTCGCGGATGCGATGAACGCTCCTGACTTCACGAACCTGGCGCCCCTGACCTATCTAGCAACGGCCGAGGTTGACCCACTAAGAGATGAAGCTGAAGCATATGCAAAAAAGATGAAGGAAGCCGGCAACAGAGTCGTCTTGAGAAGGTTCAAAGGAGTCCCGCACCACTTTATGCATATGGACCGAGTCCTTCCTCAGGGTCGTGAATATGTTCAGGATGTCATCTCACATATTCGACGGTGCTTATATCCCCCACTTTCACCTCCGGCTCCTGCCATCACCGCTCCGCCTGAAACCTGATGTTATCTTGAGTACATTGATGACATTTAAGTCTCGCTATGGATGGTGGTCATGTGCCTTCTCCTTTCCGCCGTAGGAAAGGTTTGCCTTCTCCCCCGGCACTATGAGGCGGCAATCCGACGACATATTGTGAAGACAAGACGGCCAGTCCGGGACAACCCCCGCCTGGGGAGGAGATGTCGCCCCTTTCCACTGTCGTTGCTTTCGCGTGTTGCGCACAGCATCTTCAGAGCTGAAACGGTCTCGCGCGGCATGTTGTGACTTCAGACGAATTAGTTCACCGCCTCCCGGTTGGATTGAGATGCGACCGATTGAACGGGGCAAATGACGGGGAAGCTTCACGGTGCCTGCACAAATCCGCTGATGCTCTCCCTCCTACTGCAGCCTGACGGGGGAAGAGAGGGAGACAAGGGAATTGCGACCCCCGACCGGCCTACACAATTGCTCCGGGAAAGGGAAAAGTCGGAAGGCAGTAGTGGAAGCTGAGGCGCTTTAGGAAGGAAATATTCGAACGATATCTACCATGTGTGGCGTATCCGACCCAATACTGGTCTCTATACGGAGTGCTGTATGAGAAGATTGCGTTTTAGACATTGCACAGCAGGGTCAAACTGAAGGAAGTGTGTCTACACTTGTAATAGTAATTAGGACTACGTAGAATCCTCCCATATGGTTCATGAGATCCTACGGGGTTCGTGGGCGATGTCTCCAACTTCGGAAGTGCTTGGATCCTCTCTTTACGCGTGGTTGGAGAACGCGTCTTGACGCGTCTCCATCTCCACGCCTGCGATTCATGTTACAGAGATACTAGTACTCCGTACTCCGTACTACAGGCCTTTCTCGATCGGCGAGCTCACTGTTAGATATAGCAGCACTTCAGATCTGATACTGATATCGGCATGCCTGAAAGACCTCCATTCCCCGGCCGTCCTGCTCAGCCTCCGGGGGCTACCTATTTGCAATACTCACCCGACGGGCAGAGACTGCTCGTTGCTGGCATTGGCAACTTCGCCCGCTCATTCAGGACCGGCGACAACAGCGAACCCGACTTGCTTCCCGAGACACACGAGGAGACATTCGCGGTTGCTTCAGGAGTATGGGACATACCAGACATCATATGCTGTGGAACACAACAGGCTGACGGAGGTCCAGAATGACTACGTGATACTTGGATGTGAAGACGGTACTGTCTGCGAGTACGAGGTGCCATCAGGGGACCTGAAGCAGCTGCTGGTCAGGACTACTCTCCCTATTAGAGATGTTGCTCTGTCTCCAGATGAAAACTGGGTTGCTGTTTCTAGCGAGTACGTGATCCGTCTTGACACCCTCTCATGTCTAACTGTTCTAGTGAACTGGAGATCAAGATTGTCGACCGCCACGATATTGAGCAAATCACCATCTTACGAGACCACCCGAAACCAATAAAACATTTAACATACGATCCCTCCGGCAAATACCTCGCCGCGTCCTGTACCAATGGGATAATCTACATTTACGCAGTGACATTGCCAGAACCTACCCTGTTCCGAACAATTGACGGCATCATCAAGCGCCTTGAGACCGCAGAGTCTGCCACTTCAAGATGCGTGTGGCATCCGGACGGACGAGCGTTTGCTTGCGCTACACCAACAAGAGACATTCAAGTCATTTCGGTGGAAGACGGGGCCCAGCAGAGAGTGTTCTCTGGCGCACACAACGGCGATATCACGTCTCTGGCATGGTCACACAATGGAGCTTTGCTGGCCAGCTCCAGTGCCGATGATCAGCTTGTGATCTGGGACACCAAGACACAGACCGTACTGAAACAATTCAACTACGAGAAAATCATCAATGTTACCTGGCAGAATCATGGCGAGAATATCTTTAACTGGACGACTTCCCAGGGCGAGGTATTCATCATCCCGAATTTTCTCAAAGACGAAGCCCACCTCAGACTGCTCAAGGGACCCAAAGTTCGAGCCCCTTTCTTTCACGATCCTTTGGACGAGAAGGCTGCAGCCATAAACGGCCGCAAGCCATTGGTCAATGGCCAGAGCAAACAGCGGGATGGAACTCCCGATAGTCTGGACGCACTTCTGGGCCCTGAAGAGGAGTTTGACTGGATTGAGGATGATGATGGTGCGGGCTATCTCAATGAAAATGGAAAGCGGCCAAACGGCCATCTTGGAGAAGCCGGTGGCCACTTACCCAAGAGAAACAGACAGGACATCTGGCAGCCACAGGTGCACGAACCTTTCCAACCTGGCGCTACACCCTGGCGTGGGAATCGCAAGTACCTCTCCTTGAACTTGATCGGGTTTGTCTGGACGGTTGACCAAGATACGCACAATACTGTCACTGTGGAATTCTACGACCGGGAACTATATCGGGATTTCCACTTCACCGATCCTTTTCGCTACGACAAGGCGTGTCTAAACGAGTTCGGCACGTTATTCGCATCACCTGCGAAAGATGGACAACCGGCAGTCATCTTCTATCGACCGCATGAGACTTGGACGGCCCGCTCGGACTCTCGGATCAACCTTCCAGAGGGGGAAGAAGCAAGTTGCATTGCGCTCAGCACCAGATACATTGTGGCCGTCACGAACAAGAACTATGTCCGGGTCTGGACGCTTTTCGGCACGCCCGTGCGGATCTGGCGGATGAAGAGCACTCCGGCGGTCACCTGCGCCGCGTGGGGTGACTATGTCATGACAGTCGGGAACGGACCGGTGGGCGCTGACGGATGCACACAGTTGATGTACAGCATCGACGATGTGAGGCGAGATGAAAGCTGCCAGAACGAGGACGTTCTCGCTTTGGGGACGGCTCCCCCGGAATCGGATGACGAAGAAGCTAGCCTGAAAGCTCTCTTCTGGAGTGATGTTGGCGATCCATGCATTTACGACAGTAACGGCGTGCTCCTGAGTCTGGTGCACTGGCGGACACCGGGCCAGGCCAAATGGGTTCCGCTGCTCGACACCAGGCTCCTGGACAGGTTGAAAGACGGCAAGAAGGAAGAGACGTATTGGCCTGTTGCGGTCGCCGCGGAGAGATTTCACTGCATCATCCTGAAAGGCGGGGACAAGAGTCCGTATTTCCCTCGGCCGCTGCTGACCGAGTTTGACTTCCACATGCCCGTGTGTCGGGGTGTGGAGAAGGGAGAGGATGACGAGGAAGAGACCAACGCTGCGGCCGGGGCGAGACTGGAAGAGGCATTCGTCCGGGCTTCTACGCTGCTGGGGCTGGTCGACGACTTGGTCCAAGGCCTCGGCGAGAAGGCCACCCACTCGCAGAAGACGGAGATTCTGAAGCGCGAAATCGACGTGGACAAGATCCTGTTGCAGCTCCTCGCCGTCGAGTGTCGTGAGGGCGATGACCGCGGCATGAAGGCCCTCGAGATCGTCGCCCTCTTGAAGGACCGCAGTGGGAAGATGGTGGAAGCCGCAGCCAAGGTTGCCGGACGATGGGGAAGGACCATGCTGGAGGACAAGATCAGGGAATATGCCGAACGCAGGCTGATGGGTCTGGGAGATGACTAGCCTTGCGATGAGATAGATATACTGCGATATGTACGGAGTACGCCATGTTGGGATAGGGGTGGACTTGTCGACTTGGTGTTGGTCACGATGCGATGACGGCGTTCAATGATAAACATTCTTCTCTAATTGCCTATTTGTCGTTGCATTCGCTCCATCCCCAACTTCCACGTTTTACGCTTCTCGTTGCTGGTTATCTTTATCTTCTGACGCTTCATCAACAACCACAACCATAACCATTACCACTACCACATCACTACCCTCAAGAAGGATACTATCTGTGTCCGGCTCTGCTAAGCTCTCTCACGCAGCCTTGTCCGAACGCTCACGCCCCCCGCACCCGCTGGCTGCATCACGGTTTCGACAGCAGCATGTATCCACCCAAGAGGGCGGACACGGAACTGGCCAGCAGATGCGACCTCGTCGAGCCTGGCGTCCCTTGCCGATAACATACCACGACGTCTCCCAGCATGGAGAGCAGATTGCAGCACAAGACGATGCCCGTTGCCTGGGGCATTCTCTGCACGGAGAAAGCAACGAGGCAGAGTCCCGCGGCGACGGTGCGGACTCCGACGAGTGCGACGAACGGGTTGGTCTTGTGCCAGTGCGACGCGGGGGCGGGGGCCGGGGCCACGACTGACAAGGAGGGCGAACAGGGCGGGCATAGCGAGAAGTGTTCTTTAGCAGCTATGCGATGCTCATCTGCCACCATCATCAGATCGAGCCGTGATTCGAGCGTTGAGGTTCGAGCTCGACCGCCCAAGCGAGTGGTGGAGCTAGATTTGGATGGGGAGGAGTAAGAGCACGAACACGAGCAAGAACAATCGTCCGCGCTGTCCAGTGCCAGTGGGAGACCGAATGTGGCCGCGAACGTTCGGGGCCAGAGGATACAGCGAAGCCCTGCTGCGATGGTGGCGAGGCCGTGGAGAGCGGTGGCATTGGAAGCGATTTGGCGCAGGTCCATCTCCATCTCGGGGCTGTACATTGTGCAAAAAGTCAAAGGTCCAAGTCACGTTTGTGGTTCTGAGGCGAAATGAGATGAGATATGGTGGAAATGAGGACGAGGACACTGGTGGATTTGCTCGTCTAGATGAGCGAACGAGTACCATAGTAGGCCAGACCTACGATAGTTATATGTGGGATAGACATGCTCTGACTCTGAAGTGGCAGACTGAATCGATATGTTATGTCGTTGCCAGGCATCATCGCATGCCGCCACCGCTCTGCAATGCAATGCTTGCCATCCATGACGGTTCACGGCGGTCGGACGCTCTACCGATTAGCAGTACACTTCGGCGTTGTCAAACCCTTGCTTTTGCTCGCCTTGCTTTCCTTGGGTTGCTTGGGTGGGTGCCGTGCTTGTGTGCCTTGATGGACTTGGAAGTGTATGTTCGTGTTCAACCTGCCAGGGTGCCGCAGTCGGATCAGTCGGTGTACGGACACTCAGTACTGCAGTGTATGTCCGGTCCCTAGAGCAGCCACAGTAACTGTGACGGTGTGACGGGTGACGGACTCCAGGACGCCCTGGATGGTGCATAGGAGAGAGGAGAGGAAGGGAAGGAAGGACGGATGGATGGATGTCCGGCGATGTTATGGTTGATGTCATGTATTTATTCTGGGACGGACGGACGGTCGGGTGGCAACAGCGCGCGACAAGGGGTTTGTGTATCCAGAGCTTCATCATAACATCAACGGTCTTGCAGTTCGCGGTCAGGCATAATGATGGAGGTGTTGAGGCCGTCAGACATCTATGTACCTAATTAGTTTGCATTGGTCACATCTAGGTACTCTGTACCACAGTGGTCGTTGCCGGAGCAAGTCTGATACCGTACTTAGGCAAAGTCCGATGGCTTCTGTACACACACGGCTATCCAGGTGTATGATGCCTATGTCTGCGTAAATGAATCTTAATGCCAAGTATCACCAGGTATCATATATCGTATATCGTCATACATGAGGAACAGCAAAAACAGCAAAAACAGATCCCGCCCTCCCGTAGGGGGCAGGAACAGAAACCGGTTCTTCCTTCTTCAGGTGGAGGGGTTTTTTTTTTTTTTTGTTAGGATACTGTACCTGCTGAGGCAGCCCAGTTCCTCTTCCGCCTCCCTTTTTTTGGTGGCAGGAACTTTTTTTTTTGGTATAGGAGACTGTACCTGCTAAGGCAGCCCAGTTCCTCTCCGCCTCCCTTTTTTTGGTGGCAGGTCAGGATTCAGTCCGGCCTTCATACCACTAGACCATCAGGGATGGTCATGTGATACTTCAAGCTGGGCTGATTCCCAACAGGAATTTGGCGAACAAAATATATTAAGGGTCGAAACGCGCTGCGCGGTGAAGTTGGGGAGAATGCTGGCTCCTCACTGGCCAGCCTCGTCACTAACACCGCGTACCAGTGGGTGCAGAGAACCATAACCAGCCAAGAACTCGACGCGGAGTACGCACACTGGCAGTGTGCAAAGCAAAGGGCTCGAAATGCAGATCTGACCAAAAAGTCAAGTCTCGGTGGTGTTTCGAACCTTTCGAATGACTGGCGAGTTCCCGCAATGTCTCGTGGACGGCCACCCGCCTCAACCGCATGACAAAGTAAGCCTCAACTGTAGGTGATTCTGCCGCGTCGCATTCCATCCAATCCTGGTCGCCCTTTATTGTCATAACACATCTTATTTCTTCTCCTCAACTTGTGGATTCTTCAGCACCGTCAGAACGAGCGCCGTGACTCCCAGCATCAAGCTTCCACCTAGCAGATAAGCGGTTTCTCGACCCGCCCACCAGAACAAACTGCAGAATACGACCGGTCCTAGCGCCCTGCCAAACTGTCCCCAGCTCCGCAAAGCCCCCAAGACCTGCCCTGTGTTACTCTTGTTTGCTTCAAAGCTTCCTAGACTGTTCAGCCCAGTCACGACCGTGGCCGAGGTGACTGCGAGCAACGCCCCGGCGCAATACAGACCTGTGGTATCACGGACTTGGGAAAGCAGGAAGAACGCCGCTGTGCAAGATACCATGCCCGCCTTTACCACAGTGAGTGGGGCCAAACGCCGAACCACCGACCCTTGAAGCAGAGATGCGATCAAACCAACAAATCCGAGCAATCGGCCATTGAGCTTGGAAGGTGATGGATGGTCGGGGAACAGGACAGAAGTGATCAAAAATGGCAGAGAAAACTCAAGTCCGGAGAACGGCAAGAGAAAGAGGAAGTGGACGGCGTTAAGGATGGCTGGGTTATTGGTGTGCCTGGCAGATTGTCGCTTGTCATGACGGTGGTCTGGATTGGCTTGCGTACGATGCGCAGGGCGAGTTTCGGGGAGCTGAAAATATAGGTAAAGAGTCTCGACAACAATTAAGAGCAGGGAAACCCCGGCCGCGGTGGCGAAAGGATTGGCTACAACCGTGGTGACGCTTGCCAGAGCCGCCCCCAGTGCCGGGCCAAAGGTAAATGCGATGCTGAAACATGCTCCCACGAGAGCCATGGTCGACCCGCGCTGGGCATCGGTGCTGATATCTGTTGCAATTGCAGTAGCTAGCTGGACGTTGCCCTCGCTCAGACCGCCTACAATCCTGCTGAGCAAGAATGTCCGGAAGTCTACGGCAGCACACCACAGCGCCACGCTTGCAATGTTTCCACACATGCTCCAAAGTAATGCTTTCCTTCTGCCATATTTGTCTGATGCACGACCGATGATGGGACTGGCAATGGCTTGCAACAGCGAGAACAGAGAGCCCAATGCGCCACCTAGAAGAACGATGTCATATTTGGCGTTGATGGGCACCGCGAAGGACTGTTTGTACGCATTGAGGTAGTGGAGTATGCGATTGAGAGCCGAGCTGGGCTTGGTCTCCAGGCTTCGGTAGAACGAGAGGAGGGAGGGAAACAGTGGGAGGATGAAGGTGAATGAGATCTGTTTGGTTTGGTCAGCAAGCGCAGGGCAGTTGTAGGTACGCTTCCTCGAACAACTGACCAGGTCCAGGAGCAAAGATAGAAAAAGAACTCGCAGGATCTTCTTTCGCTGTTGAGCAGTGATCGGGTCCATTTTCCTGGATGTCTATGCCGCCGGCAGTCAATGGTAGCAGGGGATGTAAGGCTGCGGTGGAAACGGCAGTACAGAGTAGTGTGTCGACTTTTCTACTCGGCGTGGATCAAGAGGTGGGAAAGGAAATGACTGCGACTCAGCGACCAGCGCCCTGCGCATGAGATTAAAATAGTATACGGAGTACAACACACACGAATAATGAAGGATTCGGTTGAAGCGAGCTGTGCGTTTGGGTTCGGGTCGAGGAATATTACTGTAACGTGATGATGTCTGTCCCCTTTTTTCGGCGGCTGGGCGGACATGCGGCAGATGGTTGATTGGTGGGATCTGGGCCAAGCCCCTTTTCATGCACAGCCTGCTGGAAGACAACGATCAGTGGGTTCAGTCAGTAATCGCAAGTACAATACCGGTGGCGTGGATGGAAGAACAGTTTGGATATTATTATCGTAGCAACTATCCGTACATGCAGCGTTAATGGTGCGCTATCATGTCCGCAGTCAATCACATACCAGTACCCCGTATCTGCCGCCGGATATACCAAGATTCAAAGCTACTACGACCTCCTCCTGCGCATTCTGACCGATCCCATCCGATCCACCAAGAGTAGGGGTAGGGTGTGCTGCGTACAATGCCCAAACTCTTCGTACGCGAATGACCAACAGACCACAGAAAACTACGTCTCTGAGAGAAACCAGCCCTCACGGATCATGATCTGATGTTCTGTGGCTCACAGTTGGTCGTCTTCATATCTTGCAGAGCATCGACTTTGATCGACAGGAAACTCTTTCGCTCCATTCTTCGGGTTTGGAGACCGCACACCTCCCAATCAAGACCATTCGTCGTCCAACAATCTGAGGGTTACCAGAAACTCCGATGAAAACAGGCCAGCGTCAGAAGGGAGCAGGATCAGCCAAAACCTCGCACCCGACACGACGGCAGACTATGACTCAGGTTGAAACGACAAAAAAAATCCGTGCTGTCCAGCCAAACGGAGGTCTGCACCCTCTGCTGTAGGGTGAGCTGGAGACCTGGCTTAACCATCACTGGTACTGCTTGCTTCAATCTACAAGCACGTTCCTCGGTGGGTGTTTGTTATTGGAATAGTCGGTGTGAGTATTGAACTGATGGCGGCCCATTGGCGCTGACCAGAGACAACAATGAATGTGGAGACGGGCAAAAACGGCACCTCTGTGACGTAGCCGAGAGCGTTGATCAGTACTCCTTGTTGTGATGCTAAAAGCTTCAAAGAGGCTTGTCGTATCTCTGCCCATAGGTGACTGATGGCAATAAAATCGTAACTGCAGGTGGTTCAACTTCATTCACGCACAAGTCCGTGTTGGTCATCGTCAGTTTTCAGCCCCCGCTGCCTGCCGCAAGCGTAGCTTTCATTCTCCAGTCTTCAAAGCTGGCGGACTGAGCTGCAGCCTTCCTCTCTGCCTCTTTCCGCTTTTGTTTATCTTCCCACTCACCTTCTTCCTGAGCAATAAGTGTGTGAAACCTTCCACCCTGACCTCTGCCAAAGTAGATGGCACCTTCTTCTCTCTTGGCCACGCGTTCAGTCACAAGGACGTACTTTACACTGCTTCCCGGTGCCTCGAACATTGCATCTCCGAGGATAGTCTCCATCTCGGTGCGGAGCGCCCGAGCTCCCGTTCCCATAGCTATAGCATTGGATGCAACGACGTGGAGGGCGGGTGTAGTGAAGCGAAGCTCGATCCCGGAGAGAGAAAACAATGTGACGTACTGAGCCACGAGAGAGTTGCGAGGTTCGGTGAGAATACGTAGCAGTAACGAATGTGTTAGGGCGGACAACGCAGCCGTCGTCGGGATACGGCCAACAAGCTCGGGGATGAAGCCGTATGATTGCAAATCAGCCGGCGTGACAAGATCGAGGGGATTGAAATAGTTTGGCTCCGGGCTGGAACCGTCCACTGGTGTGTGTTCAGGTGCTGGTGCTGGGGTGAAAAAAGGCAGATGTTTTTTGTAAAGAGCCTCTTCTTGAGAACCCGGCAAAATTGGCACAGGAACCATCGCTGTCGATTTCTGATCGCGGGCGTACGAGCGCAGATTCGAGCTGGAGCGTACGTTAGCTCCGAAACCAATGCTCCCTTTCGTCAATCGATCCATGATGTGCTTCTGAAGTCCGATGAAAGCACCGCTGAATATAAAGAGGATGTTGTCCGTCCTCACATTATATACCTCGCCCTTCGCCGGTGGTGAAGTAGCACCTGACGACCCAGAAGATATCCCTGCACCTAAAGGGTTGTTGCTTGGATAAGTTTGTGAGTGGCCACCTGCGCGAGGCGAGTTCCGCTCGGGTTTAGCCTGGACTTGGACAGTAGTCCCTTCAATGATCTTCAGTAGGGCTTGCTGAACGCCTTCGCCGGATACGTCCTTGCCATGGCTGACTTTAGCTGTTGCAATTTTGTCAACCTCGTCCAAACATATAATGCCATGTTCGGCCTTTTCGACATCGTAGTTCGCAGCGGCCAAGAGCCGGTGGACGCAAACCTCGGCGTCCTCGCCGATATAGCCAGCTTGTGTGAATGGCGTACAGTCAGACATGGAAAACGGTACTGATAGGACCCTTGCCAACGTCTTCGCCATCAAAGTCTTTCCCACTCCACTCGGTCCTAACAACAAAATGTTGGACTTCTCCAGCGTGAGTGGACTAGCGTCCACCAGTGGTGAGTTCTCACTACGGGCATCGAACCGAGACGTGGAAGAGTCTCCCAAACGTATGGTTGCTTGTTGACCAGGGAATTCATTCTCCACAGGATGTCTTTCCCTCCGTTCTCTCTGGGCCAGCATTTCTTCTTCCTCCTCTTCCCGTCTCTGTATCTCTTGTACCCTCTGATAATGGTTGAATACGGCGACGCTGAGAACCTTTTTCGCTCGTTCTTGGCCCACTACAAACTGATCGAGATGCTGTTTGAGCATTTTAGGTGTGAGTCGGAGAGTACCATAGACAGAAGCTCCGCCTAACGGACCGGAAGTGGGCTGGCCGGGCTCGTACATGCCCGTGAAGGGCTGGTTAGAGAAATCAGAGCGATGGAATTGAGATGACGATTGTGTAGAGCTGCTGGTAGAAAGTCGGCGCCTGCTCAAGGCAATGTAGGCGGAACGCAGGCGGCGGGCCGAGATTGACACGGTCGACGCAGCCATCATTCCATCAAGAGCAGGGCACAAATAAGTCGGCAATGGACCGATCATCTGCATCGTTGCTGCGGATTTGTGTGTATGGAGATGTGATGGACGGGCTGCTTAACTTCCAGCAGCAGTTCGCGGGTCCGTGACGATGTCGAGGATGAGTCGAACAAGTGCGGAGCTGCGATCGCAGCCTCCAGGCTGGGGCTAGGGGCTTGGGGGCCCCTTAGCCTTTAGGCTGAGGTGTTTCGGGGCTCAGGCTCCCCACGTCTCTCCAACTGCCAGTTCTAATAATCTTATGGATCACGTGTAGGGCATAGCCCCCAACATTGCTGCGATAAGAGCAAGTTCCTTTCTGCCGCGACCTCGACAGTATTACTTATGGGCTCCTCAAATGCAGCGATAACGGCCGTTTTAAGTCTCCCACTTCCCTTGGAGGGCTCGGAGATACTCGCACCCTTTGTGTAGAGCTTATAGACTCGTACTGCCTTACGTTTGGCGCTGGTTAGAGCCTGCATCAGCCAAGCCCAAGGTTTCCAACCTCTTTCCAGCGAAACAGACCTCTTCACGCGGGAGGCGTTTCTGGGTGAGTACGTAGCGGATGCTGAAGCGTCGCACAATAGATCTCAGGTGACGGCGGACAGTATTAGTCGATCCCTAGTTGATCCCATGAGGGATGCAATTGCTAAGGTTCTGGCTGAGCGTTGAGGTGGGTATCCGTATGGACCTATGTACCAAACCAACTGCAGCTGTGAGATGTGAGAGGTCGGTCGTCGGCGGAAAAACCGTCGGAGCGAGTAACGGATAATTAGTACCTATGAAGGTGGTGTGGGCTGCAACTTGTCCAGGGGGGAACATCGCAATCATTTGCTCTGAGTCGGCAAAGTAAAGCAGGCCAGTGAGCTTCCCCACATAGCCGGGCGCAGTTGATGTCATGGCTCGCCAGACAACAATTTCGCTCAACGGATAGGAAGATAACTCAGTAGCCTAAGCATTTGAAGTTGGATCACGCCTCAAATGTTCGACAATTTCAGTCACGTTGTTTAGAACCTTTCATAACCCTATACGTCTCGTTAGGAATAGTCAAGACTCAACACATCATCTTGCACTCCTCTGCTGCCGCTGCATAAAGACTGCCAATTCATCTGCTACCGTCCCCCGGTGCTTCACAGCTCTTGGAACCAACCCTCTGGCCGTTATGGCATCGAACAATGCTTCGGAGAACTCTGTGCTGGCACGGCCTTCCAGTAGTGAAGCTCCCCCCGATGGAACAGGTTAGGAGCTGCTTTGTACACATCCGGACTTGTCTAACTCTTCTCTTAGGGGTCATCCAGCTCGATCCATGGCTCGAACCCTACAAGGATGCTTTGAAACATCGATTCATAAAGACCCAGAACTGGCTTAAGACGATTGCCGAGATAGAAGGAGGCTTGGAAAAATTCTCACGGGGCTACGAGCATTTCGGCTTTACATTTGCTCCTGATGGAACTATAACCTATCGCGAATGGGCCCCCAATGCTGAGCAAGCCTTTCTCATTGGAGACTTCAACAACTGGGACAGACATGCTACACCTTTGAAAAAGAACAACTTCGGGGTCTGGGAGATCACTCTACCTCCACAACACGGGGTGCCTGCAATACAACACAACACAAAGGTGAAGATCTCTCTGGTGATTCCAGGAGGTGAGCGGATAGAGAGAATACCAGCATGGATCACAAGAGTCACCCAGGATCTCTCAGTCTCTCCTGTCTACGATGCCGTACTATGGAATCCACCCCAGTCCGAGCGCTATGTGTTCAAGAATCGCCGACCTCCTCAGCCGAAGAGTGTGCGTGTCTACGAAGCCCATGTTGGAATCTCTTCACCCGAGCTCAAGGTGGCGACATACAAAGAATTCACCAAGAACATGCTACCTAGGATTAAGTCTCTGGGGTATAATGTTATACAACTGATGGCTATCATGGAGCACGCCTATTATGCAAGTTTTGGCTATCAGGTCAACTCGTTCTTTGCAGCCAGTTCTCGATTTGGAAACCCTGAAGACCTGAAAGAGCTCATTGATACAGCTCACGGAATGGGCCTCACCGTTCTTTTGGATGTTGTACATTCCCATGCAAGCAAAAACACCCTGGATGGTCTTAATATGTTTGACGGCAGCGACCACCTATATTTCCATGAAGGCGCAAAAGGCCGGCATGAGCTGTGGGATTCGCGACTGTTTAATTATGGCCACCACGAGGTTTTACGCTTCCTGCTATCGAATCTTCGCTTCTGGATGGAGGAATATCAGTTTGACGGCTTTCGGTTTGATGGAGTGACCTCTATGCTCTACACTCACCATGGTATCGGCACTGGTTTCTCGGGAGGCTACCACGAATATTTTGGCCCTTCTGTCGATGAAGATGGCGTGGTGTATCTGATGTTGGCAAACGAGATGCTCCACGACATATACCCCAACAGCATCACAATTGCGGAGGATGTTTCCGGGATGCCTGCATTGTGTCTGAAACTGTCGCTGGGTGGTGTTGGATTTGACTATCGCCTCGCCATGGCGGTACCGGACATGTGGATCAAGCTATTGAAAGAGAAAGCCGACGACCAATGGGATATCGGCAACATTGCTTTCACCCTGACCAACCGACGACACGGCGAGAAGACAATCGCTTACGCTGAATCGCACGACCAGGCACTTGTGGGAGATAAATCGTTGATGATGTGGCTCGCTGATGCAGAGATGTACACGCATATGTCAACATTGACTGAACTCACCCCAAGGATTGAACGAGCAATGTCGCTGCATAAGATGATCCGACTGGTCGTCCACGGACTTGGTGGAGAAGGCTACCTCAATTTTGAAGGCAATGAATTTGGCCATCCTGAATGGCTCGACTTCCCTCGCGCAGGCAATGACAACTCCTTCTGGTACGCGCGGAGACAGTTCAACTTGACTGAGGATAATCTGCTACGGTACAGGTTCCTGAACGAATTCGACCGGACAATGCAATGGACCGAGGAAAAGTATGGCTGGCTTCACTCCCCTCAGGCTTACGTCTCGCTCAAGCATGAAGGCGATAAAGTCCTCGTCTTTGAACGGGCGGGACTGTTGTGGATCTTCAACTTCCACCCCACGAATTCTTTTGCGGATTATCGTGTTGGGGTGGAGCAGGCAGGCGTCTATAGGATTGTGATTGACACAGACGCACTTGAGCATGGCGGTTTTGGAAGGAATGCAAAGGACACGAGGTTCTTCACCACTGATTTTTCCTGGAACGGCCGGAAGAACTACACCCAGGTGTATATCCCTGCACGAACGGCTTTGGTAAGTCATCACCGCATCCCGAAGTTGTAAATTGCTGTTCAGTCTTTGCTCACTTTTCTACGCAGGTCTTGGCCCTCGAGGAGACTCTATGAGCGCTTCGATGTTCAAGTATTTTGCCCAAAAGCATGTCAAGAAACGACTAGGTCGATGATCATGGAGGACGAGTCCATTGAGCGGCCGCTTAGCTGGGCATGTCGCGGTCTGAATCTGACCAAGAACGTTGTACAGCAGATGCAGATAACGCCTCCTAATTCAGTGGTATGGCGATGGTTTAGGCCTTTGACGGGGAAAATTAGATAATGTGTCACGAAACAATTCCAATAGGACGCAATTAGTGAGAAAGCTACCACGGTCTTTACTATCGTGTTCAGTACAGCCAAGTAGTAACTGATATGTGCGTATATCTCGGCAGCAAGCAGATTCATGATCATACGTAGTGCAATGCCAAACCAAAGGAGGGAATCTTGAACTGATAGTTAATTTACATAATATTATCATTTGCCTCTTGCCAGGAGTGGAGGGTATCAGCAATGAGAAAACCAGCCTGCCTGACAAGACACAGAACACATCGGGGAGTCGTGTAGCCTGCCAACAGGAGGTATTTCCATGGTACAAGTCTGCTGCCTAGCAGAACGGAGGTGGCGGAAATGGTTGCTCCGTCGTTACAGGTCACAAACCTCTTCATCACTCGGCCATTCAATGAGGTTTTGAGAGCGGTCTCCGATCATTCCACTCATCCCGGCAAACTCTCATAGCAAGCCCGGGGATGAGTTCCTGCTCTTTTTCTCTTCCTTTTCCCCATTTCGCCTTGCCCAACAGCCAGTCCGTCAAGGTGACTACCTTGCTCGTCTGATCGAATCCATGGTTTTCATCTGCGTGCTCAATAGTATGGCTGGCTATGTGACCTTGCGAATCGAAGGTGAATATGAATAGGCCTGTAAAGCTATCGTCGTGGTTAAGATTGAAGATCGGTTTGTCGCCGCCGAGGAGCTTTGAAAGACCACGATTGACTCCGCCTTGCGAGGATGCATTTGTATCGGTAGAACTCGAGGCCGCGATCTCTGGGGAAGGCTTCGATCCGTCTTGGTTGGACTGGGTTTTCCATCTGACTACAAGCTTCTCCTCCATCAAGTCAGAGGCTTCATCCTCGGGTATTGCATATCTGAGCCCGGTGCGGACTATCTTCTCAGAGATGATTGTGAGCTTGACGTTGCCGACAATCGGTACACAGCCCCAAGCCACAGGAGCTGTCCAGAGGGCGGCACGGTATGCGACGCGACCTTTGACCACGGGCAGGTGAGGATGGGTAGAAGGGAAAAGATGGAGGGAGATGTTGGGCGACAGAATTTCGGGTGGGAGTGGATTTGTTAGGATGTTAGGTAGGAGAGGAGATAGTGTCCGCAATGCTAGAGGCAATTAGCAGTCTGGATGCCAGGAGGTGGTTCCAGAGAAGAATGAGCATACTCTTTCCCAGCTTCAGCAAACGCTCATCCGGAGGCTGATGATCTTGCGCGCCACCACCATTTCCGGGAGTTTGAGGACCGAGCAATTCATCTGCAGGACTGATTCTTGGAGACGAAGCAGTAAACCATACTTCAGAGATAGGCTCCGGTCGTACTTGAGCAAGGTGTCTCTTGGGGAACACCTGTCGGAAAGGTTGACTGGCAGCTGTTGTAGACCTCGAACGATGGAGGACACAAGCCCGGATGGGCGGATTGTGTGTCCATCGTGATGCTGCAGAGGGACAGGGCGCGGCTGCTGCAAGCTTGCGCATTGGCCTGGAGATCATCTGCGCGGAGGAAGCATTATTGAGATCCAGCCACTTGAGAGCACCCAGACAAGACCGTGAGGTGTATTGAAGACAGAAGATCGTGGACGTGGACCATGATCGCAGCTGTCAGTCAGTTGTTTGGTGAGCAGAGGCGTAAAAACGAGGGCGCGGAGAAATAATGACGTCGGCCAATGGGACACGAAATCAATCTCCACAGGAATTCAGAATTCACGCCTCACCCTCTTCAAGGCTGTTTGCATTTAGTTCACAAACCACTACAGGACTTGGCTCAACCAATTCATTCTATTCCCCGTGTAGCTTGTTATACTCGGGTGCCATTCATCTCCTATATGACGAGCGACAGAGAGACACCTGTCTGATATCAAGTCTAGAAGCCTAAAAGGCCGGAGACTTTTGATGCATTGCACCGTACTTAATTTGGCACCATTAGGCAACCATGACTACAAACCAGACTCAGAAACCGAGGCCTTCTTTCATGACTTCCGATCGATCGTGCCCTACCTACAATATGCGAGACTTCGAGAAGGAACCCCGTCCACGACGTGCTCTCCGTGCTGCCAAGCTACAATGCTTCTGTGTTGAAGGTTGCAAGTGACGGCGACGACACTACCTACGGTGCCATTAGGCGTGCTGCCAACCCAGACGATTTCAGAGGGCTCCGTAAGGTCCCTTCCTTCGGCCGAGTTTGATGCTGTCTGCGTCGACCCTGCCACTCTGGGGCTCATCCAAGGTACGGATCGTGAAGAATGACAATAGGATGTCTCGAATGCAATCCTTTCATAAAAACGGTGTTTTGTTTCCTTGTCCAATAGGTTGTTTGATGAGTGAACGAGATAGAAGACGATGGCCTGAGCTGAGACGATACAGCATTGCAGCTTCCCGGCGCAAGTACCGAGATGTATAAAGAGCGTCACAATCCGGATACTCATCAGGTCCAGCCGATGCATTGAGACCCACTGGCCAGAAACATTCACAGGCAAGGCACGGTGGCTCAGCCTCGTACGTGCTTGCGCCCCCGTGGCACACATCTTCTTGGCCACTATACCTCGGTAGCAGAACAAGTATCTTGGTCGACCAATGTCCACATGTCAGCTAGTCCAAGTGACTGGCACCGGCCACATCTGTTTGATGCCGTCCAACCCAGCCAGCATTCTGCTCCCCTCGAAGGACAAAGCGAGACCTACGTATGCAGGTACGCTGTGGCCTGCAAGGAGGTCTCGAGCAATTTCCCCCGGGACAGAATTCAAGCTCGGGTTGTTGTGTCGCAAGCTAAACACGTTGTCTGGTCTTGTAAAGAGCTGTACAGTGGTCCCGAAAACACATGAGGCTACATCCCCCCTCCTCACAACGAGCTATCTTCTACTTTGGGTCATTAAAATGAGAATGGGCCGCCCACTTGCTTTCCAGTGGCAGCACTGACATACTACAGGAGGCCAGACCGAAGCCGTCTACGATAGACCGTCGTACAGCGCGCAAAATAGGCCAACTTCGCAACTACGATGCTTGGCCCTTAACTACTTGTCAATATTGGCCGTAGTGGCAGCGTCCCGGCGCTTGAACAATACCATATCCACGGTGCTAGTATACTGACTCTTCGCCCACCGGATAGGAGCGGAGTGCTTGAATACAATCAAGTCTTATCTCTTAGACCCTTGGTGAATAGCCAGCATCTTTTGGACCGAGTCATTACCACCCGGCTATCTGTCTACATCGATTCGGCGGAGTTTCGCGCGCATTCTGGTTCCCTCATTCGGTACGCCTGCAGACCATTCTCCATATGTCTCCACACTCTCGCAGATGCCCAGCCTTGCCCAGCATCGCCCAATGCGAAGGCTATGCGTACACATGGAGATCGAGATAGCAGCGTCCCATATATTCACCAGCTATCTACCAGGTAAAGACTCGATCAGCCTTCCGACTATGGGCTTGGCCTGGAGCAAGGCATTGTTGCATTGCCCATGGACCTCCTCCACCTGCCTGCCGATTGAGAACGATTGGGTAAAGAGGCCGAAACAGCCGGCATCTTATCTGTTCACGTGTTGCAGTTCCACACTTGCTATATCAAATGATGTGCCTTCGCATCAGACCTCACCCAATTCAGCGGACGCGGCATTTCACACGAGACTCTGGGCGTACCGAGGACCAGTCTTTTGCTTTGGTCAACTTCGGAAGCTTGAAGAGCTTCGGCTATGGCACTGCCTTCGTGTGAACATAAATTCGCTGTCGGCCCTCCTCCTCGCGCTACTCGATTCAAGTTCCAACAGGTTCCCTATTTCCACAATGCATCTTCGCTTCCTCTATCTGGCATATACGGCCGGCCTGGTCGTTGGATCTGCCCTGCCGCCTCTTGGGTATGAGAGAAGAGTCTTTCTCGAGGCTCTCAGTAAGAGGCAGGCAAGCGGCGAGTCTTGCTACAGCGGTGATGCACCCCAGGTGAAGGCTCCCAAATCCAACGTCTGGGCGCCTATCAGTGCTCAAGACAATCTCGATGTGTGGACGCTCCTACATGATCCGGCTACAGGGCTGAACTTGACCAAGCCTGACGACGCCACAGTGACCGATAACTATGTCTACTGGATCGACACGCTTCACACGAACAAGTCGGCTGTGCTTCCTTACATCGATGGCGATAGTCCCGCGCCAGCTAAGTATGCAAGAGCAATCATTTTTGAAGGGGGCAAGGCAAACCCTGATTCCCAGGAATATATGATTGGACCTCTCCCGGTCTCCGAGTCAACGACTGTGCAAAAACTTGACTATGTACGTCCCATTGTTTAGACCCTAGGATCTGGTGCTAACAACGACAGATCTACAATGGTGGCAGAGGCGGATCTGTCCCATTCAACGCTCGATCTGTCGACGGCATCAAGTCCAGTGTTGTCACGCCACTGATCACTTCTGCCATGAGTAACATCTCCGACATAACTGCTGCGCTGTTCGATGGAGGTGTCTATTTTGGTCCAACCGATGATCGGACGACACTGACCATGACGTCTGGCACTCCGGTATCTCTGGATGGATCCCAAGGATTTCGCAATATCCTGTTCAGGCTTCCTGGGTCCGGCTCATACCTGAGCCCCATCGACTTTTACTTGTTGGTTGATTGCCCTGGTACCGATCCGTCACATCACTCGATCAAGGGTTACGTCACAAACTCCAAGTTCTACCCGGACGAGGCCTCTTTGAGAGCTGCCTTTGAGTCCGGAGAGATCTCAGAGACTTATTTCCAACCTGAAGACGAAAGTTGGACCGATGTCGACTACAAGCCTGAACTGGGTGTCCGAGCACTCGAGGATCAGTTTTCACCTCAAAGCATTGAGCTTGGCGGCAAACGATACAAAGTGGACCCGGAAGCCCAATATGTCGAGTACATGGGTTGGGGTTTCTACCTATCCTACTCGCGAACCTTGGGTATCATGTTTTACGACGTGAAATTCAAAGGCGAAAGAATCCTCTATGAGCTATCTCTCCAGGAAGCAATGGCTCAGTACGCCGGCAACCAGCCCAAGGCCTCCAACACGGTGTATCATGACACATACTACAGCTTTGGAACAGACATGGCCACTTTGGTCGAGGGCTATGACTGCCCATTTGGCTCCACTTTCTGGAACGTTTCCTTCCATGAGCAGAACCTCACTACTGTCAACCAGGACGCTATCTGCATCTTTGAGAAAGACACGGGAGTTCCCCTCTCCCGCCATCGTTACGGAAGCAGCGGCGGCAACTATCCTTTCAGCAAACTCGGTGTCGTCAAAGACTCTGCTCTTGTTATTCGTGCCATTGCCACTGTCGGAAATTACGACTACATGCTTAGCTTTAACTACAATCTTGATGGTTCACTCGAAGTGGAAGTTCGTGCAAGTGGCTTTCTACAGTCGAGTTTCTACTATCCAGACCAAAAGAAATTCGGCCCACGCATTGCCCCGGCAACCCAGGGATCTCTCCACGACCATATCGTATCGTTCAAGGCAGACTTTGACATTATCGACACGGCAAACTCTTTCGAGGTGAGTGACCTGGTTGTCGTAAATCAGAGCCAGCCTTGGTTCCCAGAACTTGGAGAGTTTGAGCAGTTTGAGATGAACATAAGCTATTTGGAGACCGAAAAGAGATTCAACTGGGCCCCTAACGCCAAAGCTATGTACGCGATTGTCAACCAAAACAAGACGAATGTATGGGGCGAGAAGCGTGGCTACCGTGTTGTCCCTGGGAAATCTAACCTGCACCTCAGCGTACTAAACTCGCCCTGGTCCTTGAAGAACTCGGAGATGGCTAAATACCACTTAGCGGTGACAAGGCAGCACGACACTGAGCCATACGGCAACTCGGTGCAGAACGTTAACCTTCCTCTCGCCCCTCAGCAGGATTTCTCCAAGTTCTTCGACGACGAATCCATTCTGCAGGAAGACCTGGTGCTGTGGTTCAACCTTGGCATGCACCACTTCACTCGAGCTGAAGATATTCCCGTCACATTGTACACGGAGGCTGTGTCGAACATCATGTTTGCACCGCAGAACTTCTTCGACCGCGCACAAGACGGAGATCTGCTAAACCGCCGCTGGATCAAGTACAATGCGACAACCGACGAGCTCACTTTCGACGCATATGGCGTTGAGCTGCCGAACTGTGCGATAGATATCCCTGAGCCTGTCTACGGCATCTCCCCCACCGTCAATGAGGAGTTGTAGGCGAGATCATCACTAAGCAACCAGGAATACCGGAGATCGGGAGGTTGTTCCACTTGGTAGCCAGCCTACTTAGCCAGAAAGCTCTCCTATACCCGATAATGGGATGGAAAGTGACACAGAGACGTGATAGACGATTAATAATGGGGAGGTTCCTCCTCTTTCAGCAGCCTGGTCGCTCAATTCCCCTCGCATCAACTCCCCCATGAGCAGAAGGATTCCCATTGGGGAACATGCAGTCCCAGAGCTCCGCTATTTTGTTGAACTTGCTAACGGTCTTGAGGGGAGGTTAATCGGAGGGACGACATGATGCGAGAAGCAGGGTCGGTCAGAGTGACCCTCGCTTAGTCCTGGCAAATCTACGAGCTGGTTCATGCAACGACTCTTCTATTCAGGCATAGAGCACCTATACCGATCCCAAAACAGTGCCGCTCAAAGAATGCCATCGACATGGGCTACTATGACCTTGACGTCGTGCAAGACGCTACAGTATGTTGACGCCAACCTCGATACGGAGGGGTCTGCTCGATGTCTGTCTTATTAGCCTTTTCACCTGCACGCTCGATATTCTAGTCTCCTAAATACCGCTCGTTGATATCTCTGGATTGCAACTAGAAATCGTGCGATCGCTGGCGTTGGCGCTATCCGCTGATCTCAGGTCCTCCAGGTCCACCACGTCGCTGTCCAGGCTGTTTTGTGGGTGCACATACAGCTCGATTCGATTCAGCGATTCAGCGCACGAAGAGGTGACAAAGCCACGCCCCCTTTTTGAGATTTCTCATTACAAGGGATGGTAGGATCTCCGTCGTGACATGTGAGTCAGAACAAAGAAGCAGATAGGAGGCAAGCATAGGTGACTTGGTTCTAGCGAAAACGATGCTGCTCTGAGCCGGCAACATCATCGCCAAATCTTAGTGTATTGGGTAGGGTTGAGCATCATTGAGCATCCTAGAGCCATGCCACCTCACTGTCGCCGTCCAGTAGTATTGCCAGTCACAGCTACGAATCCAGTTGTTCTTTCATATCCCCCATTCATCTCTCTTTATTCGATTTCCTCCCAAACAAGGAATTGTGGGGCATTCCGCTCAAAGCTCATGGTATGTGGCCTCCAGACATTTGCAGCTAGTGAAAGACATGACAAGACAAGACAAGACAAAAGAAAAGAAGAAAGAGATGACAGTTTGAAGATGATTTGAACATGACACATATATTCTTCCACATCACTCAACTCTGTCTGCTCATCTCTCCATTTTCAGGACAACAACCTACCACCTATCTCTAGCAGTCATACATGTGGCTCTCATTTTTCGCAATGTCAAGAGCAACATCGGATGATCAACTGAAATTCCTCCTGAGCTGTGTCAGACATTCCAACAACGGAAGGGTACTTCATGCTGCAAAGATTCTGGGCTGTAACTTGATGCTGACTGCGACAGGTGGACTTTGTGGAAGTTGCAAAAGAGTGCGGCGTCGTCAGCAAGGGAGCAGCGTAAGTCTTCTACTGTTGGCTTTGTAGCACAAGGCTGACTGCTCACAAGAGCCAAACGCTATGAACGACTCTTGAAAGCCAATGGAATCCATCCAAATGGGGTTCAAGCCGACAGCATTTCTCCAAAGACCCCAGCCCCCATGAAGCACAAGCGGAAAGACTCCCTTGGGAAAGTCACCTCGGCAAAGAAGCGCAAGATCGAGAATACCAGCCCGCGTCCCAAGAGCAGTGAGAAGGAGTCCGCCCAAAAGCCATCAGCAATGTCAAAGCGTCCTCAACCTGAAGCATTGGTCCGTGAAGTTCTCCCCGCCATCTCAGGCCCGACAGGCATGCCTCCACCACCCCCTTCGTTCTTTCCGCGAGCCATGCAGGGCTATATGCCTCCGAGTCCGGGGACAAGGCCAATATTTCCGCCATACCTGCCTCTTGGACACACTTCTGCCGGATCACTCTCCCCTGGAATGCGCGTACATGCTCCTTTCGGACTTCCTGTGGGCACCCCCATGTCGTTCGCGGCACCGCAGTGCAGTCTCCCCGATGGGCTCGACAAATTCAACAATCAAGAAATGTTCTTTCAGCCGCAATCATTACCCCTGAGCATGCAGTCACCTATCTCCAATGGGCCATTGCGAATGACTCTGCCACCGCAGCCCCAAGAGATTGAACTTCTGCGTCAGCCTAGGATAACTCCGGCCCCAAATAGTGCACGAGAGAAGCAGTCGGCAGGCCATTTTGTTATTGTGGAGTGAGTATACCAGGCAGGGTTTCGGACCGGTCCATGCCAGCGGGCAGGTGCTCAAAGTCCTTTGTGACGTGCCCATACACAAAAGCGGCCGTGTAGTCAATGCCTGGATCCTTCGATGAACGGCCGGTTGAGGGTTGAGTGCTACTTCGACTTTTTTATGCCAACAGTGACACGCCCTGGAAAGTGTCGAGATCATCTTCTTTTGGACAAATGCCATGGAGAACTCTGCAAGAGTGCAATGTCGTCCAGCTCAGACGAGGACAGCAAGTCTGCAGGCTGTGGATGGGATGTGGACGTGGACGTGGACGTGGAAAGAGAACAGCTAGCAGGACTTCTGCCGACGATGTCATACAGAGTATTCACAGCAGAAAGCATTGCTATCACATGTCGGCCTGTCAACAAGTTGTCGATGCAAAACAATGCACACCACACGTTGATCCTGCTACAAATATTCCCGGCTCGCCTGCACATTTCCTCTCATACCCCTGCCCACGCTCACACTCACGCTCGACCCAACCCTACCCTCATTCTTTCATCTCTCACTTCGCCTTCTCCGACGTAGAGCCTCCTGCTACTGAGTCAGTCTTTCTGTATTGCTTCTACCACCCTGGCAGTGACTGCGACTGCTGGAGGCATCAAGAACATCTCCTGTTGTTGTTTGGTAAGTCCGCTTTGCCAGAACCAATTCTTCTCCATAGATCCGCTCACCTCGATCTCGATCACCGGCCAACCTGCCAACCAGCCTCTCCTGCATTCACTCGTCTGTTTTCCTACCCGATCGATTACATGCTCCGGATACGCCGCGAATCCTCCACACGCTCCACACGCGTCTGATCCCTCGACACCTGGGCATTTGAACATAGCGCACCGGATCACCTGCCTCATCTGCCTCACCTGTCACTGACTCCGCTCTTCACCCCCATACCCTTACCCGACGTACATAATTCTCTCTGGCGGCTGCAAGAGTGTTTTGACTAACATGGCGAGTGAAGACGGTCTAGCCGAACCAAAAATGCCCAGCCGTAAGCGTGCTCCAAAGCGCAACCTGGTCCGCTGGTCTGGTAAGTCGCCCTCTAACAAATATTGTTGGCATACCCCGGCTGATAGCTTAGCAGATGATCTCGACAAAGGAGTTTTGCTTACACTTCAGTATGCTGCTGCAGAGTCGGGCATGAAGCTTCCATGTAAGTTCCAGAGCCGCACTCTTCTCCGGCGGTATCTTGCTGACCAGGTTAACCAACAGGGGCTAGGGTGGCTGAAATCATGGGTCCCAGGTTTACCGAGGGCTCTATTGTCCAACATCTCGCCAAACTGCGCACCATCATGAACGCAGAGGGCCTTCCAGTGCCGCCACCTCTGCGACGTGGTATGGTGACCAAACCCCCCTCGAAGGTGTACCCGAATGCCGTGAGCAAGAACAAATACGAGTCTGTTTCCCCAATGTATAGCGGATCGCCAGAGCCCATGACAAAGGACTGCTCCATATATGGCCGACCAAAGAGAAACCCTAGCGAAGATGCAGAAGAGTCTGCCAAAGGAAAGGGAAAGGCCCGGGCGAAATTTTCTCGTCACGGTATGAGTGAGGAAGATGAGGACGAGGAGTCTGTTCCAGAGCTGTATGACAGCGACGAAGACGATTATGTGACCAAAAAGAAGGCCCGAAAGTCCAAGGGCAAGGCGACCAAGGTCAAAGCTGAAGTGCAGGACCCTCCTTCGACGCCGATAGGGCAGACTATCAAGGCTGAACAGAGCGACGAGTCCAAATTCAGCGCAATCGCCGCCGAAGTCGTTGGGCCAGCAAGCCGTACGCGTGGTATCAAGCGTGACTATGCTGTTATGGAAGCGACCCCTTCTGAAGACGAGGCGGAGAAGGTGCAGACTGCGGCCGGTGAATATGGAGAAGATGGAGCAGATGGCGAAGATGGTGAAGATGGAGAAGTCGCCGATGATGCTGAAGACGAGCTGTCGAGTGAGGAAGAGACAGAGATCATGGACCAAGATGGACAGACCGCCGCTGATGTTGCCCACCCGGAATCCATGATAGACTTTACTCAGCAGTTCCCAATGGTGGCAAACGTCCCATACGGTCAGATCCACATGGTCGATGCCCTTGCTGCCAACGTCAACAATACAGAGGTACGTCGGGGCATCTTACTCGGATAAAGCAGGACCGTTACTGACACCCCAGAAAAGGCGTCGATGTTCCCTAACTCCGCAGGCTTGTACCATCCCAATTTTCTCGGGGCCTCATTCCAGGGACTTTCGTATGGTGGACCATTTGGAGCTCCTGCCCAATTCCCGTTTGGCGGATTGCCAATAATGAACCCGGTCGCGCCAGCAGCATACTATGGTCCTAGTCTTGCAGCCAACACAGTGGTCCCTTATGCCGATTCGTCCTATGGTTCAACCCGCAACAACTCAGTCGCCACTGCAAAGTCAGTGCCGTCTCTTGCATCTCAGTCTGATATCGAGGCAAGTCTCAGCGGGACAGCCAGCAACGATCTTGCCGGATCCAATCGCCAGGTCCAATCATCTGACGCCACTGGTAACTTTGACATGGCTGCCAGCATGCCATCGGAAGACATGGCTTGGAACGACAACCTTGGTACCGGATGGCTTCAGGACGATTTCTGAATGACCATGACCAGGCTTGGAAACATATGGTAGCAGCAGGATGCTACCGTTGACTTCAACGAATTTGGACCCAGCAACGGCAGTGGCAGTTCGCCTTGCGTGCTGTCCCGCAAGGTCGAGGGAAGTGGCCACTCGGCTTCTCATGGATGAAGCATGCGTGGTGTAGTCCGGGCAGAGTTTCTGACGTGAAGGAACGGGTTGTCACCAGGCTTGGGCTTGCTTGCTTTTACTTGTTTGTTTCATGCAACGCACTTATTCTATCGCACCGGTTGTCTTGATGTTACACATGGCTCACAATCCATCCATATCCCATATCCATAGGTTCTTTACCGGACATCGGCTGCCCCAGGAGATCGATCTGGCGAGATTGCTGGATGATGGATGATTATCGTCTCGCCGACACAAAAGATAGAGCTTGGTTTCGAATGGACATTGCGAACAGACATGGGATCAAGACTGCGGTCCCTGCTTCCCACTCCCGATCTCCGTCCGGCGCCTTGTGTAGGGACGGCGTAGAGACAGCGTAGCGACTTGGCTGCGCAGGTCGTCGGTTGGTCGTCGGCCGTCAGTCGTCGGTCCTCGTCGGAGCAAGGCTCGCGCCAAGAGTCATGTGGTCGGCACGCTAGACCGCAAAGGGAAGCGCGGCTGGATCTGCGATTCTGTTGCTTTCGAGAACTTGAATCTGGGTCCCCAAATTTTTTTATGGCCCTTGCCCCGGTGCTACTTTATTACTGATACGCGGAATTCCATCAGCTACCTACTCTTGTGCTTCTGCTCTCTTGTCTCTTGTCTTGTCTGTCCATTCATCCATCCATCCGTTGCCTCAGTCTCGTATCCTTGAAACCGTTCCAGCCGTCCGCCCGTCATGCAGCGCGCTCTCTCCTCCGTCGCCCGCTCCTCTCTCTCCTCATCCTCCCCATACTCCAGATCCACCGGCAGGAGTTTACAGCAACTGCGGTTCGCTCACAAAGAACTCAGCTTCGGTGTTGAGGGACGTGCTCAGCTGCTGAAGGGCGTGGAGACTCTGTCAAAAGCCGTTGCTACCACCCTCGGCCCCAAGGGTCGAAATGTCCTGATTGAATCGAGCTATGGCTCCCCGAAGATCACCAAAGGTAAGTAGCTACGGAGCGGGCCAGGATAGCTCTAGAGTTGAGTCCGCTAACTGGGCCTGCACTACAGATGGTGTCACTGTCGCAAAGGCCGTCACTCTAAAAGACAAGTTCGAGAACCTCGGCGCCCGTCTGATACAAGATGTTGCTTCCAAGACCAATGAAGTGGCCGGTGACGGTACAACCACCGCCACCGTTCTCGCCGGTGCCATCTTTTCCGAGACTGTGAAGAACGTAGCTGCTGGATGCAATCCGATGGACCTGCGAAGAGGTACACAAGCAGCCGTCGATGCCGTCGTTGACTACCTGCAACAGCACAAGAAGGACATCACCACAAGCGCAGAGATCGCACAAGTCGCGACCATCTCGGCCAATGGCGACACACACGTTGGTGACCTCATTTCCAACGCCATGGAAAAGGTCGGTAAAGAGGGTGTCATCACCGTCAAGGAGGGAAAGACGATCGAGGATGAACTTGAGATCACCGAGGGCATGCGCTTCGACCGCGGCTTCACCTCTCCATATTTCATCACCGATGCCAAGGCACAAAAGATCGAGTTCGAGAAGCCTTTGATTCTCCTGTCCGAAAAGAAGATCTCTGCCGTCCAGGACATCATCCCTGCTCTGGAGGCATCCACCCAGCTCCGCCGCCCTCTGGTCATCATTGCCGAGGACATTGATGGCGAAGCATTGGCTGTCTGCATCTTGAACAAGCTCCGAGGCCAACTGCAGGTTGCTGCTGTCAAGGCCCCCGGCTTCGGTGACAACCGCAAGAACATTCTGGGAGACATTGGTATCTTGACCAACGCCACCGTCTTCACCGAGGAGCTGGACATCAAACTAGAGAAGCTCACCCCCGACATGCTCGGCTCTACTGGCAGCATCACAATCACCAAAGAAGACACTATCATCCTGAATGGAGAAGGAAGCAAGGACGCCATTGCTCAGCGATGCGAACAGATCCGTGGTGTCATGGGAGATGCCACCACGTCCGAGTACGAGAAGGAAAAGCTGCAAGAGCGTCTTGCCAAGCTGTCGGGCGGCGTTGCCGTCATCAAAGTTGGAGGCGCCTCTGAAGTCGAGGTTGGCGAGAAGAAGGATCGTGTTGTCGATGCTCTCAACGCTACTCGCGCTGCCGTTGAGGAAGGCATCCTGCCCGGCGGTGGCACTGCTCTGATCAAGGCTTCTGCCAACGCCCTGAAGGACATCAAGACCGCCAACTTCGACCAGCAGCTTGGTGTCAGCATCATCAAGAACGCCATCACGCGGCCTGCGCGCAAGATTGTCGAGAACGCTGGCTTAGAGGGCAGCGTTGTCGTGGGAAAGCTGACGGATGAATTCGGCTCCGATTTCACCAAGGGATTTGACTCGGCCACTGGCCAATACGTCGACATGCTGGCCAGGGGTATCGTGGATCCCCTGAAGGTCGTCCGCACTGCTCTCGTGGACGCTTCCGGTGTTGCGTCTCTGCTCGGTACCACTGAAGTCGCCATCGTCGAGGCTCCTGAAGAGAAGCCTGCCGCACCACCGATGGGAGGCGGTATGGGTGGAATGGGAGGCATGGGAGGCTTCTAAGCTCGATTTTGTGACCCGAGCCACGAGATCTACCTTCCTCTCATTGCATTCGCGACTTTGCAACTTCCTGCGTTTGAGCGACTTTGACTGCATTGCATTTTGGCACAGAGCCCTCCTCTAGTGTCACATACCTCGACAACCCATCAGCTCATGCCGCTGACCGCTTCCTTGGCTCTGCCTTGTCGAGAAATGCGGCTCTGGCGGCACTTTCGGGTCTGATGGGCTTTGCCGACTTTTTTTGTACAATTGCGAACTGCCACACCACTCCACTCAACTTTGAACCTGTGTTGTTCGTCTCCCCGAAGGGGCCGGACATACACACTGGGACAGGGACTTGTCTAGAACCAAAATAGAAAAAGCCGGAAGGAGTCGACTGGGGATGGACTCGCATGGAGATGTTTTGCGAGAAAGTGGCGGTGCTGGCTGCGCGTGGAGAGGCAGGAGCATCGACAGAGAAGAGCCCCGAGGTGGCAGAACTGGGTTGTATCATAGTAGCCTCAAGTTGGTTGTAGTTATGTCAAGGATACCAGTGTAATAAAAGTACTTGATTGTGACACTTAACCAAAAGCCGAACAAACAAAACAAGGTCGTCTTAGAGAGCAAACTACAGTGAAGTTGCTATTTACACTCTACATGGTCCCCAACGCGAATCTCTCGGGTCCTCATCCTACTGGTACCATGACTTTGGCATCTGAACCCAAACTAGACGACCAAATGTTGACCGAGGCACCGACCCCTTTCCACACGCGCCCATCGCCGTATGGGACAGCGGCCCCAGGCTTATCACTGAGGCGGCCACTCCAACGCGCGTGCAAGATGTCAGAATCATAGAGCGTGGAACAGCATGTTTCGTTCTCCGGACTTCTTCGGACATGTGGACGACACCGTCAAATCCCGCCGCCCGAGACCTCACAACGTGAATTCTGCCTAACTACGACGAAGATGATGAAGAGGATGACATGCAGGACAACAGTTAGCTCCAACCACGGGATGAGCCAATAGATATACATGTTCATCAGGCCGACACTGATCAGTAAAGCCCACATGATGAGCTTGAGGTGCCATTGTTCCGCCGGATACTTCGGGCATGTTCTCCTGGATCAAAGCTTGCAGAAGGGCGGCCAAGCCAGATGTGCTACCAGCGAGGGCAGACACCCAGGCAAACCAGCCTACGGTGTTTCAGCAAGACACTGCATAGCGTGTCGTGCTTACCAAGATACAAGTAGCTGAGTAAACCTGAAAAGCCTCTGGACCAGTCTCAGTAATCTGAACGGCCAGCAAATTCATGGAGAAACCCTACCTTCAGAGCACCACATTTACATTGCGACGGAGGAGGGCAGGCCCTTGCAACGTTCTTCTTGGGGTATGTTGTCGCTTTGGGCTCATCCGTCATGGTGTCAACGGAAGCCACCGAGTCTTTGCTGTCCTCACAAAGCTCCATGTTGTCTGTCTCGTTCTGATTCCCCATGACGAAGAGAGCGTGAAGGATCGATCAAACACGCAGTGAGAAGATGAAATATGAGAAGAAAATTGGTCGCAGCAGAGGAACGGACTTCGTAGGCCGCCTTGCGGCAGAGGTTGGGAGTGAAGATCAATCCAGGATCAAACTGACAGGTGAACTGCGCAACGAATTCAAATAGTTGCCATGTGGAAACTGAGGAGGAGATTCGAGAACGTGAGCATGGGCATGAAGCCTAAAGAGCGAGAAGCACATTTCGCTCAGAGGAAGCGATGCAGATAGGGGGCAATGTGAGTCTGGAGGACCTCGCAGCGCTGTATATGTGTTTGAAGTGCTATGAGAGCAGCAGTTGGAAGCTTCTCTGTGGAGAATAGCCATGAGCCGATGAAGGCCGTCTCCTTAGTCAGAAAGGCTCAGGATAGCCCTGTTTTGACAAGGAAGCAAATGGTCCCCCGAAAGCGCCCTTCTCAAGGATCAAGTGTCTTGTATCTTTGTGGAAGCTGGTCTCAGAGCGAGTGTAGAGTTCTGGATAGAAGGGTCAACGGCGCCAGCTCAAGGATCTGCCGCACATGTGATAGCGGGATAATGGTGTAGGAAGATGGGATTTGTGTAGCCATCCGGGTTATTCGTCTAATGTCAAAGGAAGACTCTGGACCCTGGTCTACTGAATAGTTCGTGCATGGGGGTCCGTTAAGTGGTGCAAGTCATCCAAAATCGCAATCGCAGTTGAGGGCAGTTTCACCAAGCATGATCGTCGTCCATAGCCATATCCGTACCAGTACGGAGTATGCATGGATGGCAGGAAAAAGATGCGTATGTTAGAGCAAATAAACCTATCAACTGCAGTTCTTCTTTCGCTCTGTCTTCTGTGTGGAGAGGTGCTTGACACTCGACGGCCCGCTTAGACGTGACAGGCGGTCTTCAGGGTATGAATGCGGACTAGGAAGAGACTATTAGTCTGGAACAAAAAAGGGCTCGGGCCTGATGTTTCCAGTGGAGCTCGAGGCGATCCGTGTGCGGATGCACCGCAGCGCAGCGACTCTCTAGGTGACTCCCTAACTTCACCTCAGCAGAGGTCCAGCTCCATCGGCAGGCTTGTATCGGCCGGTGGGAGAGAATGTATTCGCGAGGGAGCAGACAGCAGACGGCGACTATAGTGCGATGCTGGATAGAGTAAGAGTAACTGACGTTGGAGGTGCTGTAGAGAGCTGAAAGACGGCAGATAGTAGGGAGGGAGTTGGAATGAGGGAGGTGTGGCGTAGAGTTGTACTGGTCTGCTGCTCCGTAGGTACTAGGGTAGTATGTACTCCATACCTGGGCGATCATCACCATCACCATCACCATCACCTCAGGCTGGCTTCTGTATTTGTGCAGCATTAGCCAGGACGATACACCCTCCGTCCCTACCTCAGCTAGGTACTAACAAAGAACCTAGCGGCCGCCGGAAGACCAAGGAAGAATGTTTCCATGGGGGATCGACCTTTACATTGTGCCTCTGCTGCGCTTCTCCCGGCCTGCATCGAGCTAACTATCGGTGCCGGCGTCTAGATTTCTTCCCCGAGGCCCCAGGAGCCCCGTTCAGTTTCTACTTGTCCGAGTCTGCCAGCGACACCTATTGAAGAGTCGACGACCAAGGCGGCCAAGAAGACCGACCGGCTGAGGTGCTACAGAATCGTGCATCAGACGCCACTCTTTTAATGCGAGGCCGCAGGTTGAAAAGATAAAGAGGCGGGCAAACGGCTGAGCAAGAGCACACGATGGTCACAGTTCGAAAGTCAGCGGGAAGCTGCCGGACCAAGCAAGCCAGGTCGAGAGAGACACCCTGGGCTCGCCTTGCCTAGCAAATGCTACTATACTGGATTCAACGTGTCCTTCCGTGGAATAGCGCGACGCTCTTCCTGTTGTGACAACAAGTCCCATTCCCTGCTAAGGTCTCAGCTGTTGAAGCCAAGACCTGCAATACCCAATCCTTGCTGCTGATCCTCGATGTTTGACAATATGGCCTCAGCTTCAGCATACGGGGTACGGAGCACCACCCTCCGCTTCATCCCTGTTGCCTTTGGAACTAGAACCTTTCCTCCTCCCGCGGCTCCCCTGAGTTTCATAGCGAATGGTTCTCGAATTATGGATGATCCGTTTCGCTTTTCGAAATCCTATCAATCAATCTTCTGCTGCATTTGCCCACCACAAGATGACTTGGAGAACCGGTGTCTTGCCTATAGAGCAGCCTCGTTTACCCTACTCATGGCGGGCTTGGAAGCTGCGTCTGTGCAAGACTTGACATTCAACGCACTCAGTTGGGACCGTCTCCTCTAACTGCTACCCTGATCCATCCGACTCTTCTTTTGAGCCAGGTTGCTTCCCTTGAAACATCGTGCGAGTGTTTACAAGAAGGGCCATTGACCATTCTGTGTTTAATCGACTTGGGACATCAGCCCGGAGACAGAGATTAAATTGGGTCGTGTACGTTATGACTTCGGCAGACTTGGACAGCGATCCTGTCGATGCACCCTTACAAGGCCTCACAAAAGAAAACCATGGCCCTTGGGTGGTTGTATGCGCCTACATCTTCATCCTGTTGACATTGATGACCATCTTCATAAAGCTATTCACCAGGTTCAGATCCACGAATCATCTGACTGCCAATGATTGTTTTATATTGACGGCCGAAGTGAGTGAAAAGCGCCCACTATTGCGACAGACCATGAATTGCACCAGCTGACTCTGAGTCCAGTTTCTCGGCTTTGCACAAACCATCACCATCACAATTGCCGTCCACTTCGGTCTTGGGCAACGCCGGAAAGCCCTCTCAGATTCCAAGTTCGAGTCTTTTGAGAAGGTCAGTGTCTCCAACGAGGACGTTTCTTCGCTCCGACATTGAGCTGACTATGAAGACAGACTATGTATGCTTCAAATATACTTCTGATCTTGGTACTAGCCGCCGCCAAAGCTTCTGTCACTCATCTGATCATCACCATCAATCCTACACATAGATTACTTCTCTCCTGCTACGGAATCTTGGGCTTCGTCAGCCTTTGGGCCCTGGCCAGCGTCCTCGCATTGGCTTTCCAATGCAGCCTTCCGCACCCCTGGGACTTCGAGGACAACAGATGTGTTGACCAATTTGCTCTGAATGCGGGAATCCATGCCGTGAACATCTTAAGTGACGTGCTCATTGTGTTGGTCCCCTTCACGATGATGCTGAAAGTCCCAGTGTCAAGAAACAAGCGGTTTATTGTCACCGGATCTTTCGCCTTGAGGCTAGTGTATGTATCTCTCTATTTCTGCCAATTGCGTCCGTAGTGCGTACTGACAAGCCGCTTGAAACAAAGTGTTCCTGTCTTCACCGTCACCATGCTTGTATATCTGCAGAAAATGTTCCACTCCAGCCACCCGGATCCCACCTGGGACTATGTCGTTCCCCAGATATTTGCACAGATCATGTTGAATAGCTCCATCATCGCCTCCTGCATCCCGTCTCTCAAGCGTTTCCTCGCCGACATCAAGCCTGGCCTGATCGTGGTCAACGTTCCCGAAGACGGGCTCACCGCGTCCTACGTGCGACATACAAGAAGCCGCAGCAGGGCCAAAAGCCGCTTATCCAGGCCGGGAGCAGGCATCTTTCGGCTCTCAAGCAAGTTCGGTTTTGGGGGCCACGGCGGACATGCCCTGGCCAGCAGCAGCAGTGGGAGTTCTTCTGTCTTGTGGCGGGAGAAACAAGAGCAGGCTCTTACCACCATGGAGCTAGGATACAACAGACCTCAAGCCACCAAGGCGAGCAGCAAGGTGGAAATAGACCGTAGCGAAAGCATCGAGGGGCTCACCGACGACGTCATCATGCACTCCATCGACTACAAAGTCGAGTACGAAGATGCCGCGCACGACCCGGACGTGGTCACAGACCAGTCCAGCGGGAGTCCAAGGAGGACAAGGGAATGAGATAGGTCCAAGGACTCGGAGGCAATATGATTCATGATTCCTGCTTGGTGTCATACATAAGGGCTCAGGGCGGCTGTCCGAGCGGTTCGCTGGACTCTAGACATCAGTTGGGTGACTCCTACAGCACCTCTGGATGTAGGAATTGGGATCACCCAACCGTCACCAAAGCACTTGACTGTAAATCTGAAGAAGAAGAATTCCCAACACTCAGCACACCTCACTCCCACCATTGCTTTTCCGCACGGCTCATTGTGTAACTGTAACAGTTCCCTTTTCAGATGTCCATCAGGTCATCATCACTGAGCTGCGTACATTGAGTCTCGGCAACGGGCTCTTGAATGTGGGCGTGAGTTTGGTCGACTAGGCTGGCCGTCGGGTTCGGGTCTGCTTGAATTAGCACAATGTACTCAGTAGCTTGTAGTGGGGAATATGAGAGGGATGAAAGGCCCTAGTCTTACCAACGAATAGACCATCCTGTGCTTGCACCACGGTGTGATTGGTATCTGCAGTGGTCTGGACCGTCTGGGACATCTTCTTGGCCTTTCGTGGCTTCTTCGACTTCCGCCATGGCTGCTTCGACTTCCGTGGCTTCTTTGGCCCATTGGTTCGTGCATTGTTCAACTGGTTCAAGAGTTTGGTCCGTGCCTTGTTGATCGCGTCGTGGAGTTCGGTCCGTGCCTTGTTAATCGTGTCGTCCTCCTCGGTGATCTTGGCTGTTTCTGTGACCAGCATCGTGAACTTGTCTCTGGCGAATAGGGTTAGTCGTGGCCCTCGCAGGTAAGGTTGAAGGCCTATGTCTGGACTTACTGGCAGGCCTTCTCGCCTTCGCCCACAGCGGCTGCGATCTTTGTCCATTGCTCCGGAGTTGGGGCTGTTTGGACTTCGTGGAGGACGTGGGCGAGAAGGAGACACATCTTATTCCAACTCCACACGCCTTTGTTCTTCGCTCCACCTCCACCTCCACCGGGTGTGTTCTTCTTCGTCCTCGACATGGCGCTGGTCGGACGGCCGGGCTTGGATAAGTACCTTAGAAGACAATGAAGTCGAGGATTCTGGTATGCGAGGGACTTGCAATGGATGTCAAGGACCAACAGTGTCCCAGGAAGATGATCCAGGATGGAGAAGAGAGACAAGAGAGACAAGAGAGAGGGGAAACAGTGAAAGAATTTTGGGACGTGAAATAAGACCATTTACCATGTGTTAGATGACACCCGTGCCAGATGGCGCGCGATAGAAGGCACCATTCCGGGCTGCTCCGCCAGCTTCCTGAAGTCAACCAGGTGTCGACAACAGGTTTCATTCGTCGGTTGTCATTAAGACCAGACAGAGACAGAAGAAACGGGAAGGAGCAGACTGCCACTGCCACTGCCACGATTCCGTACCCTAAGCGCCTGGGATGTATCCGTAATGTCTGCCAGCTGCCACTGGGAGTTTCCAACCCACGTCCTCCTCTCCTCCTGAACCAGACAAAGACAATACTTCAGACAATGCCTGGCGGTTACAGCTGAATTGGTGTGATGCTACAACTTGAATGAGATCCCAACTATCAAAATGGCAGATGATGTTGGGAGAGAGATGCCGAATTTTTACCGAGCATTTCCTAGCACAAGTTCACAACAACATAAGGTACTCTAGAGTCTAGCTATACTATGCGCAGGACTTCGTAGTAGGTACAGAGGAGAGGGACTTTTGTCCTGTCGTCCCAACACGCCCGAACAATACCATTCCGTTATTGTAATCTGCAATCTGGTTTGGTAGTCGAACTACCATGCTACTGACTTTGCAGAGTTTGAGCATCGGATACCTGCATTGAAAGCTTGTGCTGAGCATCTAGATCTTGTCCGATGTTGTTTGGTCCTGACACCTGCCCGGTAGGACGTCTTTTACGCCGCTCTCACGACCCTCGTATAGGTTCGAGTCATAGTTACTCCCGCCGTTTACCCGCGCTTGTTCGAATTACTTCGCTTTGACATTCAGAGCACTGGGCAGAAATCACATTGCGTCAACACCACTTTCAGGCCATCGCAATGCTACGTTTTAATTAGACCGTCAGATTGCCCTTGTCCGTACCAGTTCTAAGTCGGTTGTTAATCGCACACCGAACGGCCGAAGCCTGCCAAGTTGAAGGGTGTCCGCCTCGGTGTTGGGTGCCGCCGGCCGGTTGCCCGGCTATTGACTCCCTGCTCCGAAGGGCCAGGACTCAGGAGGGTTCCCCCCAAGGCCTCCCGAGGCATTGATAGTGCTGATAGCATTCCAGCATCCTTGCCGCAAGATCTGGCTGGCTCCAATCCTGGCCATTCTGGCAGTTCATTTTAGGTACATCCCAATAGCTCGATAAGTCGTCTAAGGTAGGGAGTGCCATGATAGTTTACGTTTACAGCACCACGGAGCTTTTTGGGTGAGATCCATGCAGATATAGCAGAGCCGGTTTCTGGTCGAGTCACCCTGCATGTACCTCCCACCATCCCTGGCTCAAGAATCCTCTTTCTCCGCCTTGTCACTCTACAATCACTATAACATGGTGGGTTTGCTCAATTAGCAGTGTGGGGACGTATATCGCAAGCCGTGAGAAGTCAGGACTCTCTCGTGCCTACTGACAAGACTCGATGCTCGAATCATCATCTTCCACTCCACTCCCCGATCTGCATCGTGACAGTCCTACTTTATAGCAAGGGCTGTATAGACGCATTAGTTGATGCAAGGAAATAAAAGGAACCAAGAATAAGAAGTATAACAAGGTATTGAGCAACGAAATTTTTGAAAGGTTGTCAAATGTACAAGTCTTCTTGGCCACTCCCCCTGCTCTGCGTAGCCCTCAACAAGCCGACTACTTAGCCTCGTGGATGCAACAGATCTGGCTCACAGCACGGTTTTGCTGCATTGCCTTCTACCTGCTTCCTCGGCCATCTAATTCTTTTCCAGTTCGGCCAAGATCTTCTCACCCTTCGCCCGTGCGCTCTCAAAGTCGCCGACCATGTAGAATGCACCTTCAGGGAGATCGTCACCCTCGCCGTTGATGATCTTCTGGAAGGAACTGATGGTGTCCTTGAGGTCGACCAGCTTACCCTCGATACCAGTAAAGACCTGGGCAACAGTGAAAGGCTGGCTCAAAAATCTCTGGATCTTTCGAGCACGCTCGACGGTCAGCTTATCGGCTTCGGACAATTCATCCATACCCAAAATGGCGATGATGTCCTGCAGCGACTTGTATTCTTGCAACATCTGCTGGACTCGGGATGCGGTGTCGTAGTGTTCTTGACCAACCACTCGGGGATCCAACATTCGCGATTTGGAATCAAGAGGGTCGACGGCAGGGTAGATACCCAGTTCTGAGATACCACGAGACAACACAGTGGTGGCGTCCAAATGCGCGAAAGTTGTAGCAGGAGCAGGATCGGTCAAATCGTCAGCGGGCACGTAGACGGCCTGCACGGATGTGATAGACCCCTTCTGGGTGGTTGTGATACGTTCCTGCATCAGACCCATGTCGACGGCCAGTGTTGGCTGGTAACCCACGGCAGATGGGATACGACCAAGCAAAGCAGACACCTCAGAACCGGCTTGAGTGAAACGGAAGATGTTGTCGATGAAGAGCAGCACATCCTGGCCTTGCTCACGGAATTCTTCAGCCACGGTCAACTAGAAACAAGTTAGAAAAAGTTATCACAGCTTAGAATAAGATGGGAACGAGGGGTGCTTGAGGCTCAAGAATGGAGTCTGTGCCAAGTCTGAGAAGTGAGGCAGGAGTGGCTTACCCCAGTCAAAGCAACACGAGCACGAGCCCCAGGGGGTTCGTTCATTTGACCGAACACCAGCGCCACCTTGGATTCGCCGTCAAGCTGGATGACAGAGGTCTCCTGCATTTCGTGGTACAAGTCGTTGCCCTCACGAGTCCGCTCACCGACACCAGTGAACACAGAGTAACCACCGTGAGCCTTTGCGATGTTGTTCTAGTCCAGTTAGTGCTTGCCGCAGGCAGGTTATGGGGATACCCACAATCAGTTCCTGAATGAACACAGTCTTGCCGACACCAGCACCACCGAAGAGACCAATCTTTCCACCACGAGCATAAGGAGCCAAGAGGTCGACGACCTTGATGCCCGTAACGAGTACTTCGGCGCTTGTGGATTGTTCAACAAATTCTGGGGCATCGGCGTGAATAGGAGCAAATTTGGTAGCTTTGATAGGGCCCCTCTCGTCGATGGGATCACCAGTGACGTTCATAATGCGGCCCAATGTGCCTTCGCCGACGGGGATACTGATGGGAGCTCCAGTGTCGGTAGCTTTGCTACCTCGGACAAGACCCTCGGTACCTAGAAAAATTTAGTCACCACGGTATAGGCGGCGTATGTGGGTTTGCATACCATCCATGGCAATGGTTCTCACGACACCCTCGCCCAAATGTTGCTATTAACGTCAGTATCCAATTATTTTTCAAAGCTTTAGATTGTGTTCATACCGCAACCTCCAAGATGAGCTTGGAACCATTGTTGTCGGTTTCGAGGGCGTTAAGAATGGCAGGGAGATTTTCAGAGTCGAATTTGACTAGATATTTCCCGTCAGCTCTTCTTTCTGATCAATCACTTTCGAATGGTGCCGTTGCCGAGCTTTGTGGGAGCTCCCATGCGGAGTGTGGACCAAGTTTTCATACCGTCAACAACAGCGCCGATGACCTGATGGATCTTGCCCTCCTTGATGGCGTCGGTAGACGCCCATCTCTGTGCAATGGCAGGGGCACCTTGTCTTCGAAGAGGTTCAAAGGCGCGTCGGGCGATTGAAGGTCGAGCAAAGGCAGACTTGCCCAAGCTACGGGCGATGCCGCTAGTCAATCAAGTCAGCAACGATCAGGCATGGTGGTTAGAGCTGTGCCGGCACATGTGCGCTAGCTTTCATACCTCTTGAGCATGTTTGCAGATGACGAGAAGGTGAAGAGTAGAGGTAGAGGTGAGAGTTGTGTAGTTTAGGAGCAAGAAGAAGTAGGTTGCTCGAGGATGAAGCTGTTCGTTCCGAGCAAGAAAACAGCTATACCTAAAATGGCATAGTCCAGAAAAGCTCATTCAATGATTGCATCTACACGGAGCATCCGCCTCACGACTACCCGATGGTCGATCCAATGTCAACCCAGCTGGTTTCTAGGACTGCCACTTATGCCCGTGGTGCAGCTTTTCCATATGAGCGGGCTCAGGCACCGTTGAGATGCATTGTCACAATTGTAAAATGCCGATTGGGAGGATAACCGGCGCCACCGGGTTCGACTACTATCTGCGGGCATCTATGTACAAATTTGAAGAACCCCTGGCGCCTGTTCAAATCAAAGCAGACTGTGATATGATCTTGTATTCACAAACCTGAGAATTCTGCTTTCTCGCGATACTAGTGATAGAACAAGGAGACCTGGACTGTACATTTGGGGACCGTGACGACCCCTGTTTACTCATCCGGCTCCAGCTTGATGCCCTGAGCCTTGGCCGACTTGCTCTGAACGTGGCCCTTTCCTTGATATCCTTCACTGCTGATACCGTAGATGGGGTTGCTCTTCTCGGACTGTTCATGGGATTATCAGCATCAGGGCTCCCAAGAAAAATATACCAACGAGCTGTCACAGGTGTGGACATTGTTGGACAGGTCCGGCTTACCTTGAGATATTCGTTGGTCGCTTCCTGCCACTCTTTAGTCATGGTGCGTGGTGGCGGTCTGGCACTTGTTTGAAGGAGGAGGAAAAGGACTGCGGATATTCCGACACCAGCTGCGGTGTATAGCCAAACTTTTGTCCATTCGCCCGGTGGCGTCTCTGCGCGAGGGCCATGAGGTCCAAATGCAATCCACCATGCTATAACGCGTCAGTAAATACGGTCACTTGCATCACACAGCTTATTGCCCGGCAACTCGTGGATCAGAGTCTCAGAAGAACAGTGTCCCTAGCAGGCGCGTTGAAGGAGCAGAATGTGTCGTACCGGCTTTCTTTTCTTGCAAAGTTAATTCATGCCAATCAACCTTCATACGATCTCTCAGCTGCATCCACAGCTCAGCCTGTTCCTGTGGGGGCAATCCTTCCCATCTCTTCTCGATCCCGGCAAGTGTAGGGTTGGAGATGGCGTGAGCGGTTCGGCTTTGCGAATGGCTGGTCATGGGAGGCTGTTGAGCGGCAGCAAAAATCGGAGCCAAAGACCGTGCCGAGGATTGGAAGTTTCGAGTCGAGCAGGAGGCAATTCGCGTGCATGCTTTCGAGGTACCTGTTGAGGCACGAGCAGCACCGGGAAGGGAGCGGAGAAGCATGTTGCCGGAGTGCACGAAAGGCGGCTCAATACATGCAAGAAGAGGTGATCAATTAACCTGTCGAAGCCTGGAGCTCCGGGGCCACTTTCGCAATTTCTCGAATGTAGGTTGAGCTTGATCGAGGGGGGTTGATTGCTTGAAGGTCGTTGTTTCTCGAAGTTGACGACTGACCAGGAGCTTCAAGTCTTGGCATTGGGCAAAATTACCTTACCTAACTTGCACGCCCCAGCTGCCAGTTGCCGTCACACCACTCCTATCAGAGCCCGTGCCTGGACCTGATCTCACCCAGTGCACTGGCCGGCATTGGCCCCCAATTGCCCCGGCCTGTTAAACCTGGCGTCGCATTCGCGACCAACCTGATGAACATGGGAAGCAATCTGATCGCATTTGATCTTTTACGGGTGGATGAAATCGCCGCTACGAATTGAATGGGAGAAGAGAACAACGAAAAGACGAGAGGACGTATCAGCATGGTACATCTCTCCTCCGAGATAACACTGACTATGAGGCCGCGCAAAACTTCTATCTCCGGACAAGGATACGAGTCGGGCAGTAGAATGTTCACCTATTTACTTAGCGAAACCACCTATTAAGCGGTATTTCCCGCGCCAGGAAAGCCTGTCAATCAACAAAATGGGCGAACCTTGTGCACAGCTAGCGTTGTGGGTTGAAAAGGTGCTTTGTTTTGCTCAAGTCCATCTATCTCGGATTGTGCCTGCTGCGGCCTCCATTCTCATTGCAGCATCCTATATCCGGTCTCTCCAATGGCGTAGAACCACAACCGTATGCTCTTCTTGTCAAGGAAAACGCCAGTTCGCTCGAATACAGCAAAGATCGCTGGCTGCCTCTGACTTGGTAGCTGACTGCGGCATTGTGCAGTGTTGTCCAACTGAACCAATTTCCAACTCTAGATTGTGCCTTTGCCTTTGCTTGCCTCCTTGAGTAGGTCGGCCCATTCCAACTCGCCCGGGTCGTTCGCCTGCCAGTTCATGGCGATGCCGTTAAGTGAATTCTTCAAGGTCTCGCGGGAGCTAGCATAAACCATGCGCGACTTTGGCCATTAGCTCCGGTTTGTCCATAACTATGATACGACATACCTTGACACCTGTGTTGTCTTGGTTGATGTAGGTGATGAACGCAATCTTGGACCTGGAACTCTGTGTAAGCGCAAGCACCAACGCCTTTGGCCAGTATCTCCCATTTGCACGCACCTCTTGCCTTCACCGCCCTCAAGTTCGAACTCTACATCGTAGATGGCATATGAAGGCCTGTCTTTGCCACTCTTCTCCTTTTTCGAGATGAGCTTTTCTCTGAATGCGTCGTAGTCAGGTTCTTTGCCGATCTCATCTACCACAATTTCTTTCTGGTCATCGGAGATCTTGTAGATAATGTATTTCGGACCGCCGCGGCCGAGTTTCAGCTCATTGAAGGTAGAGACGCACTCCGGGTTGACGGAAAGTCTGCAGGGTTGGAGGTATTAGCAGTGAGGACGGCGCAAGGGGACACGACCCTTGAGAGGAAGCGCAAAACATACCCGGAAACAGGCTGCGCGAAGTTGTTAGCTCGGACGGGCATTTAGATTGGCATGAAAAGACTCACCATGGCTGAGGGGTTGAGGATCCGATGATCTAGGCTGCGGTGCGATTCGAGTTGGAGCTGGCGGGCTCGTCAGCTTATAAGGACAATACTGTTGCTGAAGAGAAATGTGCGAAAAGAGGATGAGGGAAGATATGAATCTGGCTGGATTGCTGTGCATCCGTTGAATCGGCGGGGAGGCCTTCACAGCACAGAGGATCCACGTACCTAGTTCTCACGGCGACGACGTACGATTATCAGGTGCTGGATGAAGAAAATCCGGGTGTCGATAGGCTGCACAATAAGTGTAGTAGAATGGTGGGAGAGGATGATTACACAGGTTAGACTGTGTAGAGGGTATGCGGGAGCAACGGTGGTACTGTGGAAGTAATGTAGCAGAAAGCATGGTGGGGGTCCAGGTCTGGAATCGCAGGCAAATATGACACGAGGGTGGCTTGATTGCCAGCCTGATCCGCCGCCGTTGGCCGGTGGACGGACGACGTGAAATGTCTTCGTCAGCGCCAATGCCCTAGGAGCCTACAAGTACGACTAGCTCGTATAAGATATGTAGGTACCTAGAAGTACCTACCTGTACCTATTAGGTGCCTATATACCAATACTACCGATTTCTGTACCTCAGGCTGTACGGAGTACTCCCTATCACTATATTTTACTCCTAGGCTCCAGCATACAGATACTCCATCCGGTGTACTCCGTACAGATTACATGGATCATCGATCATCGAATTGCTTTCCCCTCAATGCCTTTGCCCAAGGTACGAGTACTGACTGCCCCCATCTTCGAATTCTCTTTGTGCTCCTTTGATCCTCTGCGACAGTGCCCCTGTGCTTCTCTTGCTGCCTGAGCAGCCGCCATTCCAGGCAGCCGTCACTAGGTCGGTTAGCCGTGGTGGAGTTTGTTTCTGTGGCACGCAGGCTGAAGCGCACCGCTTACTGTCTGCCCCGAAATCTGGTGTCGCAGCCTCTTCCACCGTGCCATATCGAATGCGGGACGCTGCATGGTACCACCTGGTGCTCTGACTTGATCATTCCATCCTGATCCAAAATGGTGACATCGATTTGATTGCCTCAGTTGAGAAGTTGGCTGCCTGGGGCTCAGATCATCAAGGACTCCGTTCGATTCCACCAATTGGTGGCCTATGTTCAGGGTTGTACAGCTAGGGTTCTCACTCCCTAGCTCTTGTGGCTGTTTAGTCCGGTCAGGGCTCTTCAGACGCATCTAATTACAGGGGTAAGCACGTCTACCCTGACGCGTGCCGGAGCGTGTTGTGACGCGGTGGCCATATGCGTCAAAATTTGGGTTTGCCTCAAATTGGGAGACTGACTTCTGTAATATCACCGCTGACCGTCTGTCTGTCCTTGTCCACTGCCGCCGTCCTCGCTATTGTGCCTTCATCCCCAGCAGAGCTCCAATTTAGTGACTAGCCATAAGCAAACTCAACAACGAAGAATGTCTCCTGATGAGATTGATTTATACGATCGAAACAAAACTCTTCAAGCAGAACTGGACAAGGAACGGGCTAAAGGGAAGATTTCGATGGCATTTCTTGCTCACTGCATACCCGCCGTTGATAAGATCTGCCTGAGCAGACCACAAAAGGCGAAAATTGGGAGAGGGCTCAGGTTAACCACGTCACAGGTATAGTGAGTCACTCATAGATTGGCTTGATATATGTGCAGCTGCTCACTAGACCAGTACGCGATGGAAGAACTTTAGGAAGGAATTAAGGGATGCCCGAAGAGAGCTCGAGTGTCAGCCGGCAACTGGCCAGACTGCATCTCGACGAGAAGAGCTAGACGACGACGGTGCTGGGACTGAGTCTGGTTCCCGGTTCAGTTCCGAAACTGCGGGTGATGAAGACGCAAACATTCTCAGTGCGGTCAAACCAAAGCGTCTTCCCAACGATCGAGTTACCGTCGAACTAAACGGCAAAAGCTTGACCCAGAGACAATTGGCGAAATGGTATCGTGGCACCGATATGGGGGCGGAGACAAGAAGCATCTTTGATGCCAAGAACATCGAGATCAACCGGAAACGCAGACGGCTTAATGGCAACTAGCAGAGGGGATGTTGTGGCATCAGCTTCAAGTTCTTGAGATCTTTCCAGCCAGACTTCTTTCTGCAGCCATTTGCTCAGATCTTCTACTGCATTCATCTCAAAACACTGTGCCATTGAACATCATCTCTCCTGAACACCGATATGGCATCGAGCAATTGGAACGATCAGCTTGAAAAGCTTCTTCTCTATAGTCTCATGGAGGCCCCTGATACTGTCCCTCGAGCCAAATTCGAGGAAGCCGCTGTGAAGCTCGGAAATGGATTGAGTTGAAATGCCTGTCGGTGAGTAGCTTCGTCTCGTCTCGCTTTCCGGTCTTTTACTGTTCTTTTCTATCTTTCTCTTACTTCCCATCGCATCAACCTTTCAAACCTTTTGAACCAACCCTTAAGCCCCTGTCATCCCTCTTGAACGCCTCGTCTATCTCTCACAATGCCTTGGACCGAACACGAAGACATCACTCTACTGTTGTTGGTTCTGGATCTAAACATCACCGTCGGCCGTGAAGTTTTCGAGGCCGCCGCCGTGAAGATGGGCTGCCGAACTGATCAATGCCGGTGAGCGCCCCTAATATTTCCTTTTATTTATGCCCACGTTGAAGCTCCCGTCATTTTGCCATTTATATTTTTCTTGGCGGGAGCACATGCAGTTGGTTTCGCCTCACTTTCCCCTTGACCATCCAACTTCCTTTTCTTTTCAAGTATCGTGATCACATCTTCCTTCCTGTCACACCTACTCGTTCAACCGCTCCGCATCTCACAGCTTTATACCAATGCCCCCACCATCTTAAATCATCCCTTCCTTTTGCCATCATGCCTTTCAAGTGGGACTCCGAAACCGAACGGAACCTACTCCTGTTCGCCATCGGCGAGATGTCAGGACCTCCCGCTGCGATCTGGCCTGCCGTTGCCGAGAAACTTGGAAGTGGTCTCAATGCCAGTGCTTGCAGGTAGCAATACCTCTCCCTACGAACATTTGGATCGCCCATTTCAACTTATCCTATTTGTTTTATAGTGTCGGAACATCTACTAATCCTTGGATGGTGTAGCCAGAAATTTTACAAGCTCAAGCGAGAATCAGAGAAGCTTCTAGGTGACAATGATACCTCCACTCCAAAGACTTCCAAGGGGAGCGCCCGCAAAGCCAGTGGATCTGAGAGTACCGCCACCAAGCGCAAGAAACCCCAGTCTCACGATGAGGAGGACACACCTACCAAGAAAATCAAGAAGACTGCAGCTCCCAAGTTCGCCGTCAAAGAAGAAGAAGCACCTGAAGAGAAAGTCCAGGTCTCGGATGATGAGGATGAGCTTGCTGCTATGTGAACTGGGGCTCGTTGTCACAGTGAGTATATCCATGGATGGAGTCAAATCTTGGACTAATCCCATATATCTAGAAATCCATGTCATCATTCATAATGCTACTGGCTCAGGCTAGAGATGATGGAAACTTGTGCTGGAGGGGGGCGACTGACTTTGCATGTCCACAGGGACGTTGAGAGAGAAATTCTGCCCACGTCATGCAGATGATGACCATGATTCATCAGACTCTCTTCGAGATGACAGGCATCATCATGGTTTTCAGGAGCTCTAATACTACGTAGCTGGACTCAATTAACAGCGTAGAAAGCTCACGATCATTCTTCTTTCCGGCTCGAGTTAGGCTGATTCAGCTTGCATACCGGGCATCCCATTTTTCATTGTCTCTTGCATGGAAACCTCCCAATCACCTCGTGGTAGTCTGATCGACAGTACTAACAAATCGAGCGCGTCTCAGGACCGCAAAGGCAAATGTGGTGGTGGACTATAAGACATGTACGTTGAAGTTCTAGATTATCACCGCCAACGAACTACCATATATTCGACAATACCTAGATGGATGACCCAAACTTACTGCTGGTAGCGCAAATCCGTATAGGTCCACAGAGTCATGCTGCTTATATGTTACCATCTCTCCTCAATCTGAGTCCCCTTTGTTTTTGGCTCCTGTTCGATTCGCTTCGAGTCTTTTTGTTCGAGCAATCCCTTGCTTCGAGTTGATCGAGCTCCGCTGTAGTCACTGATGCTGTCCTCGGCCATCTGTGTGTATCGTTGATGCCTTCAGTAGATGCGTCATTCCTCTGGTCACGGACTCGTACATATAGTGCTGTTCACGGGACCAATCAACCATCCCATTGTTGCGTAGCTTGGACAGGCTATCTTGATAGACTTGGAGAAGCCACTGCAAGAGTAGCAGGGTCGAAGAGAGCCTGCTCTCGAAGTCCCGGTGGTTTCTCTGTTGTCAGTTGTCTACCAATACTACCTGGTAGTCATATAGTTCTTTGTCCACTCGGCTAGCATCTGCCATCGCCTTGAAATTGGGTCAAGGCTCTCCCTAACCGCCCCCTTGGATCATACCTAGGTAGACAACAAGGGATTCTTTGAGCACGTCGTAACATAAGATCAGAGCCGCTCAGGCCTAGAAACATTTCTGCCCGCCCGGCATGCGACCGGTGAGTATCTCTGCCGACAATGTCCGTTTGTTGTTTCTATCGCCGCGGGAACAGGTTAATGCAAAGACATAGTGCCAAGGTCCACGTTTTCTTAACAAATAAGGCGAGCAGGGCCATAACCTGCCAGAATACGGGCCTGATGGCCCAGTGCGTTATCTTGACTTGGATATGATGATCGAAAAGGAAACATGCGCTGAGACTCACCGACATTTGTGGTCCACATTTGGTGTCCATTCTTGTGGTCGATGCAGCAACTTTAGCACTGTTCTGAACAAGTCCCATTCTTATTACTTTTTTTTCTTTTTTTCTTTTTTTCTTTTTTTCCCCTTTCTTTCTTCTCTCTTTCCTTTCTGTTCTTTTGTGTCGTTGGAAGCTATCATCTTTTCCGTGTCTTTTGTCAAGACCACCTCCCTCAAATACCTTTTTGGCCGGTGAGTTTTGCTTCCCACACACAACTCTAGTCACGGTCGCCACCCCGACACAAGGGGGTGCGGGCCCGACGAAGCCCAATACCATCATGATTGCTGTAATGGCCTGGGGTGCTCTGGGCAAGTCGATACGGGATCATTCATCATTCCTGTCACCAAACATTCTGGAAGAATTCAAAATGTCTTGGGAAATGCTCCTCCAAGATGCACTTTCTTCGGTGTGCAACAACAGACCTTTCCACTGGGTGCTTGCTACACACCTCATTGGGGCTATACCTCTGGCCTTCGACCAGGACGAAAGCAGACGGCATAAGTGACTAATCTTGTCAATTTGGTTTCCCTTTAGACGGCCTCCCAACGGTGTTATCCGGCAATGGTGAGGCGGTGCGAGAGTCGTTGGCTTCGGCCTGGTGCGGACCATCCTACTGGGGACGCCATCCTGCACACGAACAGAGAGCAGATGGCAACATGTACAACCTTTGCTGTTGGTCGTTCGTTCCCTGAGGATAGCCGTTGGAGGCCTGTCTGATGATTGCGTGGGCAGTGCCTAAGTCCTGGTGGCCCGGAAATAGCCCGAACCAGCACCATCTCCTTCAAATTGAGAAAGAAGAGAGACCTTCTCGGCTATCTGGTGGTAGCCCAGAATCCTGTCCAAGTTCTGTCCAATCTGCAATACAGGATGTGCGGCTGGGGCCAGCTCGTACGGCATTGCTTGTAATGACAAATACAGACAATAATACACAATACACGGACACCCGACACTTGACACTTCCAACTTCTCTCGACCGCAGCCAACTTGAAGGGGTGGAGCTGCAGCCTCGCCTTCCACCTTTTCCACTCGCTTCAACACTAATGTACCTCCTGCTGTCCATACACTGCCCGCAGCCACCCCTCCTGTCCTTCTCTCTGAGACTGTTAGCCCCCTTGCTGCAGTCTCCCATGGAGGATGAGGGGGGCCTTAGGCTGACCTCCGATCCCTGCAGTCTTGTTGTGCGAGTGTGTCCACCCGTGCCATGGGCCCCCTCTCTGACTGTTTTTCTGGCGTAGTTGATGGTCGATTGTCCTTCCAAAAGGAGCTGGGCCGTTCCTAGGCGAGCCAGGATGACTGGTCACACCAAGCTACGGCAGATTCACTCCCAAGTCCTCCCACATACCTGAAAAGGACCCCTCGATTTCACAGAACGGCCTACCTGGAGCCACGCTGCTGTTCGCCTCTAGCTTTACCCTGACGAAATTCCTCCTTCCCTTCCCCCAACATACTCACCGTAACTCAAGGACATCCAGAGTGTTCGATCCAACTATACAGCGAGAAGTACTCCTAACTGTAGGATGGCCATCAACTGGAGGCTGAGAGACACAGTCTTCCGACTGCTCGCAGCCGTATACGCTGAGTTGGGTGAAGAAGCTGTAGGAAACATTGCATCGCTTTAGGCGACAACGAGTACGCTGACGGAGCTGTAGTTCAAAGGCCGATACGTCTCAATTGCGCAGTATTTTGGACCAGATGCTACATACGACGCAATCAAGTCCTTCTTCAGCAAAGAGGTCTCGCGGGCGGCTGAACAGCTCATGGCCAAAGAGCCTCACCACCGCGGCTCGGGTCGAAGAGCGCCTCAGAGACGAGATGGGCGGCAAGCACGACCGCCATTTCTGTACTTTGACGACGAGGACATCAGCATCTTGACTGAGCGAGAAGCCGAGGCGCATTTCAATCATTCTCTTCGGGCACCCGCAAAACGACCTCGAGTCGTCGCAACATCCCCTGTGCCATCTGCCGTACAGGACGGATTGCTCCATGCTGTAGTCCCAGAGAGGACACCCGTCAACGCACTCCCCAACGGCGGCGGTAACGAGGACCGAGTTGCAAGTCCACACGAAGCCTCTGCAGGCCCATCGAGTTGTCCATGTCCATCCTCAAACCCAGGCCCTAGTTCATACTTTACACCAAATGAACAAGAGGACCACACTGCGCAAGAGAAGGAAACAGGAAGCAAGAAAAGACCCTTCTCGGCCTTGAATGACACAGCAGAGAAATTACAACACCTATCCGTTCGACCTAGCGACCATAGCACTCCAATACCAGACTCCTTTGGCTATGTTACCAATCAAGGCCAGTTCCGCTGTGCTCTCTGTCTGAGCCAACTTCCCAGTCAAGAGGACCTGGACCGCCATGAACTGTTAAGCAGGGAGCACCGGCGAAACCTCCAGAACTCATTGAAGTTGTCTAAAGGTCGGGAGAAGCTTGCACAAGTCACTTCCGTCTCGAGAATTGGGCCACATCTGTCCACTCCTGTGCCTCCTCAGCCGCCGAGACTGTGCGGCGAGGACAGGGGTGTTGTGATCAGCGCGAACGGCGGGCCTTCACAGGGCATCATACAAGAGAACGGGGGTGAGCCTTCTCGGCCTATACACCCGGAACAAAGCCCAAACCACTGCGATACGCTTTGTGATACGATTGAAGTATTCAGTCAACCAACCACCCTTGTGTGTCAGCCCGAGCCAACGCAAGCCAGAACTGCAACACCGGCCTTCCAGCCCGAGACTCTAGATCAAAGAGTCGACAAGGGCAAAGGGCGCGCTGCATCGCTATCGTCTTCATTCTCGGATCAAACTCCGCAGCAATATTCCCAGCCAGGCCCGTGTCCACCGTCTGAAGAGGCGCGTGCGGACTCTCTCCACACAAGACCAACAACAGCACGAACAGAGATCGGATCAATCACCCCATCCAACTCGATGACCGGGCAAAATCCGGGGTCAAATGCTGGGACGGCCCCCCTTTTCTCGGCTACTGAGATTTCCGAAATCATGCGCTCGACGGAGGTGATGATACGGCTGATGAGCTATGTACAGAAAGAAGCAGTGGCGGTGGTGAAAGCAGATGCCGGGGCTGGTGGCAGTGAGAGCAGTGCTGAGGCTAGGCGTATGTCAGACGGCGCTCCAAGATCGCCCTTACAGTCCCTGGAACCAGGGCCTGTTGCGCCTGAGGCCAACCACACCGACGGAGCGGTTGAGACCAACATCAAACGACGACGGCAGCAAGGAAGAGTGAAGGCTGAAAGGGCAAAGGATACAGGAGAAGAAGTTTTTTTCATAGTTTTGGATTGACTAGACCGCTACGTGCGGTGAGCTTGCAGCAAGCAGCCTCGGCCGCGAATTCAGCAGGTCATGTTGGAAGCTCTTGAAGAATGCGGTTGACAAGCTAAGCTCCCTGTCTCTCCGGGCCTTGCTTCAGGGTCGTCTGATTGCACCATTCAATTGAATGGCTCGATTTCCAGCTCATTGTTACGTTCTCACCCGAAGTCCAGAGTGCTAGAGGAGCTGGCTGATCACTCTCTCTCGTTGATCAGGTCCGCTTCAGTCTTGAGTTTCTTAGCCTTCCTACCAGGCATGTCATAGGCTTCTTCGTCGTCCTCCGAGTCGAATTTCCTCGCCTTCTTGCGAATGACTGGCTCGTGCTCAACGTCTTCTGCCTCAGCACTTCTTGCCTTTGCACCTCCTGCCTTGGCCTTGCCGTCCTTGACGACACGGTCCCGCTTGGCATTCACTTTAGCTTGGCCGGCATCATTATTGGCGCCCAGAGTCAGTTTGGAACCCTCAGGGATCTGGGTGGTGGTGACGATGTTCAAGTTGTTACGCTTCTTGATTTCAGCCAGTCGTTTTACGATGGTGTTTGGCTTCATATTTTCCTTCTCGGCGTACGGAGCAATACAGATCTGCACCACGCAAGAGAGTCAGTCGGGCCGGAAACAGCAACACAAAAGTCAGGTAAGGGGACCAACGTCAGGCCGTGATGGGCCCGTCGAGCCAGCATTGAGAGGAGCGAAGCAGAGTGTGGGGCCTACTACAGTAGGTACTAGGAAGGGGCTGGATGGCTCGATTGCTTGGTTGGGTGGTTACTTACCACGATCGGGCCGGGTGATTCGCGCAAGAGTTCGAAAAGGAATTCAGCATCCTTGACAAGCTTGGCTCTGTCCGCCGGGTCCATCTTAGTGGTGGGAGCCATTGTTTCAAGACAATGGTCTCTTGTTCATCAGAGTGGAGGGATGGAGTGTCTCGAGAGGATCAACTTGAATGATGGCTGGGTTGCACAAGTCGTTGTGGGTTGTGGTGGAGCTGAGAGGAAAGAAGAACGAAACTGACAGAAGTTTAAAGTCGCCTCTAAAGCGAGAGGAATCGGAGAAGCCAAAACATAACGAACAGGGCGACTAATCGAGACGAGGGGTACGTTTACGTCCGGCCCAACTCAGCTCGCTTTGTCTTTGCATCGCAATGCCATGCGCACCGCGTGATGAAAAGCACAGTACGGACTGCTCTACTCACGGTATACACCTCTACGGCCACCCCTGCAACGACTGATACAACTCAACCTAGCCGAGCCCAACCAGGGCATTGCGTCTGCGTATCCATGCCAGTGGACCACCAGGATCGATGGTCTCCTGGGCCAGAAAACAAGGAGGCTGGGAACTTCAACCACAACTACGGCAAACTCTGAAGGGAAGGGACAGGATAGTGACTCATTGTCCTGCAGGGTATATGCATGTGTGAGAGAGAGAGTGTGTGTGGCCCGTCATCCTGGAAGCAGAATGCTCGTCCATCGGAACCTCAAGTCGGTGTAGACAAAATACAGCGCTATCAGAGCGGGACCAGACATCCGCCTGCTGTAGTCACAAAGCATAGGATTTCCATTACGCTAGACTACACGACTAGGAGGATGTACACCGTGCATAGCTATGTAGCCGTACGTGTACGGCTGAGGGAATAGGTTCCCCGGTGCGCGGTCAGGTAGTCAGGCAGACGCATGGCCGCGCCCTGTTCGAACCATGACACAACCCTGTCCTTGTCCAGGACCATGGGATCCGGAGCTGAGAGTGGCAGGAGGCCCAATAAACTGACTTGGGCTAGAGACACCAGGTATAGAGTAGGGTAGGGTAGAACTGGGTGAGAGTGTTGGGACACTACGACTACCCACTTGAGACTGGGACAGAGACAGGAACAGGACAGACGCAGGCGCGATGCAAGGAGCAAGGCACAAGACACAGTCTTAGACACACTGGCAAGACACACTGACTGTCCAGATGCAGACCATGCCGTTCAGAGTAATTCCCGCCCAAACCTGAGAACCAACAGTGGCACTAATGTGCCGCCTGCTATCTGCCACCAATGGAAGGCAGAAAACGGCAGGAAAAAAGACGACCAGGGCAACTGACACCGCTGCCGCTGCCGCTGCCAGCGCCGGGATTTCCAAACAGCATTGAATGCCTGCCCTGCACTGCACTGCAGTCGACACCGAAAAAAGATGCGTTAGGGCTGCTGCCAAAAAGCACGCCTCCACTTTGCGTGGCACGGCAGCCAATGGAACGACGTGATTTGCACGCTAAGGCAGGCCAAGGCGCTAAAACACAGCATAAATGGACGACAAGTGTCGCATATACAAAGCCAGGCAGACATGTTTATACACGCTTTGTTCCCTGCCCTGCCCTTCCCATTATTTTAATTCAGGAGGCTGGGATGCCCGCCGTGCAAGAGTGAAAAATGAATTCGGTGGCGTCGTGCAGGTGCAGCGCCATCCTACTCCCTTCCCCGCTTGCATGCCATCGCTGCGCCACCAAAAGCCAATCACATGCCAGTCAGCCTATCATTTCCTCCGACAATCCCGTCGATTGACACCCTTCTCACACGCTGCTTCGGACTAGCAAGCATCCCCCTCCTGTCACTTTGCCTCACTTTTCTCTCTAGTTTCCCGTCCCATTTGCGTTTCCTCGACTCCCGTGCCCTTTCAGCCCAAGTAGTTGTTGTTGCTGCTGCTTGCCATGCCGCTCTCGACTTTGAACTGACTGTTCACGGGCATGAAGTAATCCGTGGGCATGAATGGTGCCTGGTAACTGGAAAAGGGATCGACGTCGACGTTGGCATTGATCGCAGCATCCTCGGTCTTGACTTCGCCGGGGCTGCTGCTGACTTCCGACAAGGGCACACCGTCCAGGGGCTCACGTTTGGGCTTCCTCGCCCGCTTCGAGGGAGGAGTCTTCTTCTCCTCTTCATCCGGCGAAGCCTTGCGCTTGGTCGGCGTCCTTGGGGCCGAGCCTTCCTGGCCCTGGAGTAGCTTCATCGACTCGTTTCGAAGCTTGTAGTACTTCTGGCTGTCTAAGAGTCAGCAGGGTCTGACAATGGTCAATGGTCAATGGGCAATGTTGGCCAACTCAGAACAGTGGGGGCAAAAGAAGAACGGTGATGCAAACCTCACTGCTGACGCGCTCAGTCCTTCACCAAGAAGGGCGGCAACCGCCTCCCAGGTGTCGGCCGAGGGCCTCAGGTTTGTGCGGGAGATGGCTAACAGAAGCATGCGGCGTTCCCGCTCTGCAGTCCACTGGTATGGCATCGTGGCAAGTAGGTACGTGGGAGGAGAAATAAAGGCAATCGACTTTCAAAGCTGGAGCAAAGGAGATGGAGATGGGTGGAAATCAAGTCAGAGGACCGAGGGAGACCAGCACCATTATAACCTGATGATTGGAGTAGATGTAGCTTTCAACCAGAGACGTACCGGCATGCTTCAGTGCTAAAGGGTGGACCCATCAGTTGAGCGACCTGCTGCCACGGAGGAGTAGCTTTGGGATCGATCATGCACAGGAGCAGTTGTCGCTCCGTCGCGGCATTCCACGGGCTGGGCATGACGCAGTCGCTAAGGGAAGAAGGGAAGGGGGGCTGGGGCAGAGTGTCTGAACTAGAGAATTCGAGGAGGATGTCGCTATGGCGGATGTCGACTGTCTCGAAGGTTGGTCAGAGCAGGTATTTGTAGACAAAGGCCAGACGGCCCGTGGCTTTGGCTGGCGCACATGGCCTCGCCAGCAAACCCGGAGGGTCAGGGGCTATCTGTCTACCCTAGTTCCGGAGAGCGGCCTGATCAAAGTCTACTAATGTGAGAACTGGCGGTGAAGGAGGCCTCGATGTGGCATGGTGCGTCTCAACCACCTAGTCCAGAAGTCCAGGGTGGGCTCGGTCGCATGTGTATGGTGCTGTAAATGACCGTCTTGAGCGAAACGCCCTCGAACAGAGTCGGCTGTGGCCCTCTGGTACCGTCCGCTACTTGCATCTCGAGAACCTCTGGCACCGCAGCTGACTGCGTTCTGGGAGCTATAAAAAGCCGTCGAAGTCACTGCCTCCAGCGACTTGATTCTGTTCTCCAACTCCAATCCATCCTCGCCACCCGTTTGATTTCCTGCTCCTTACAATCCACTCATCAATCATAAAGGACATTTGTTCCAGCCAGCCCACAGCAGCACTAGATAGACATGGCTCAGAGTCAGGTGAAAGACTCGGACATTTTAGTCCTCATTGCAGCCATTCAGAGCTCGATTGGTCCTATCCAGGTCAGTTACAAGCCCAACTCACCAGAGGATCAATACCAGTACCTCGCTAAATGGCGTGTGAAGGTCGACGCCGAGAAGGTGGCCAAGCAGCTGGGTATGAGCCTGTCGACCATCCCGCCCAAGTTCACCGCCATCCGCAAGCGGTATAACATCGACATCAAAGTCGTCAATTCCGGTGCTTTGCAACGAAACCGACCCAACGGCAGTCCGAGGAAGAGACAGGCTGCCATCGGGTCTGGGGTGGCCAGATGTGTCCACCCTCGAGCCCAGCTGCAGGCTCATCATACCGTTGCAGTTGCAGATCCAGGCGAGATGTATGCGAGGCCTGGAGTCGAGCAGGCTAGTCAGGCGCCATGAGTGGCTTGGTATTATGAAATTCCCACAAGGGCGTTGGTCTTGGATATCAGATGCGGACATTTTGCTTGCTATGTCTTGATGATGACGATGACGATGACGATACAGAAACGAGACTGCAATGGCGGGCTCTTCTCGGGAGGTGTAACTTCAAGGGATGTCTCTCTGCTAGACAGCTTCCAGTATCAGACAGGACACAAAAAGACCTCCGTGTTGTCGTTTTGACTCTTTCCCAATGCCAATCTAGTCTTGATGATCTCCATGCTTCTTGATCTACATTGCTGCTTGCTGAGGCGGCCGTCTTGGAATCATCGTCGTTGTCCGTTGCAGCCAGCTCGATGTTTGTTTGTGATGTGATATCGGCGGCGAGTAATCATATTCAACATCCTTCTTGTCATCTATATGGCCATCGAAGTCTTGCAACGAGATAGTGCGGGCGGCAGCCGCGTAGATGTTTGCTTGTAATGCAGTGTTGAGAAGGTTTCCGCCAGCGATGAACGGCTGGGCCCGTAAAAAATGTGAGCAACAGGGGCGTCCTGGCTGTTTGACTCCTCGTTGTGGGAAGAAAGGACAAAAACAAGGAGGCGGCGTGTGTGAAGGTGAGATCAGGGACGAATTGTCTTGTCACTCTATGAAATATGCGGGTGGCTATACTGAACAGCGTCAGTGCATCTGTCATGACGGAAATCTGCTTGTCGCTCGGTTACTATGTAGGATGGACAGCCTGCCCTCTCGCAGGTGGAGCACGTCTACCAATGCCTGGGGCTTTGCGTACAGATCTCTAGACTGTTGGGAAAGCCGGTGAGATCCTTACAGACGCTACGTGAGTGTGACTGTGACTGGCCATGCTGACAGCTACAGATTCAGATGCAGATGCAGACGCAGACGCAGAGAAATGCTCGCAAGGTGGTGTGGATATGGGTGTCTAGAGGCCGGGGCTGGCTGCTTGCTGTCTCTAAAATTCAGCTGGCCTGCCCGTACAGCATCCATCATCCACAGCATCGCCCTTGTCCCCAGAACAGAGTTGCCCTCAGCAATTGCAATGGCAATATCCCCCTGGTTGTGTTGTGATTGTGGCTGGAGCTACTTGATCCGACATCCAACCGACGGTTGTGCTTTGACTGGATAGCCACGGGTTGAAATTGGTTTGATTACTTACCTACCAGGTACATGCCCTTCAATATGCGTGCCCAGCCCAGATCCGGCCCTTTGCCGTTGACAGACAGACACTTGTGTGACGACTGGGAGACGACCAAGAAGGTCAAGTCTCCTGCATCTCCATCTTGCCCGGTGGCAGTCCAGCTCCCGCTCCAGCTCCAGCGTGTGTGGAAAATGATAGATGGAAAATCCACACCCGCGTATTTGGTATTTGGCCAGCGTGGATTTCTATTGGGACTGCATCGTGGACCTGATCTTTCCTTACCGTCCATGGTATCCGTACTTCGAAGGTCTTATCGGAATCACCCGGCTGCATTCAGCATAGCATAGCATAGCATAGCAAACAATGTCTCGATGTGCACGAGTCTCATCCCATCCCGTGGCTGGTAGTACTAGTACGGAGTACTGCAGGCAGGCTGGTGGACCCTTGTCAGTCGTGCCTGAAGACGGAAGGGGGAAGGGTTGCTCACCTCGCCTGACTGCTATACGCGATACGGTTACACAGGCAGGCTGATAGGTGTCCGCAGCCACGTTCAGAGACGAGCCACGGTACGAGTACCCCCCTGCTTGACGCCTCGTCGGCTCATCCTGGCCTCCCCTGCTAGGCAACTCGTGCTTTCCCCCTTGCTTAGGCCTGTTGCCGTGTTATCAAGTCTAAATCACCATATTGCCGCGAAATGATCTATCACATTGCGCAGGCAGCGGCAATGCTGCTGCAGATGCCCTCGAGAGACGCGCTCGCTGGATACAGCTACGAGAGACTGGACAGTCTTCGCATTCATGTCGGCTCCGCGTGCCTCTGGAACGCGTCCTCGTGGCACTTTATGATGCGGCGAGTCTGTCCTCTTCATGGTCTAGAGACCCTGCCTTGTTGTATCTCTACCATCCTCAAGCTCTCCCTTCGAAACTTTTGAAAAGATGCCAGAACTTGAGCCGATACTCGCCGCCCAACTTGGGACCGCGCTCCTAGTGGCCATTGGCCAGCAGGTAGGATTTCCCCTTGGTAGGCCATCTCTGTGCATGACTGACTCTATCCAGATCACCAAGACGCAATGCGAAAAGATAGCCTACTACATGAATATCGGATACGGGCGACAAACAGATCTGGCCGAGATCAAAGGCCTGCTCCAGGCAATGAATCGAGAAGCTGCCAATCTGGTCTCGCGGGCAGTAGAGAATATCACCTCGTCGCAGGGTTTCAGCTCAACACAGGTAAGTCGGCCGCAATTATGATAGCTCTGCAGAGTTCAGACAGCCTTGTATCTTGAGGATTCTGACAACCAAGAAACAGGCTACCTTGGTCGACGAGGCTGGCGACTCGGACGACACAGATCCTGATGACAGGCCTCTCAGTCGAAAGCGGAAACCACCTACCTCGTCCAAGTCTGCCGGTAAACGACGGTGCGATCGAACGACGCCCTCCGACGACACATCAGACAACCATCCCCAGCCTGCATGGCCTCGACATCGTATTAGTGTCGAAATTCCTCCACCGGAGAACTCCTCGCCCGAAAGCTCCCCCATATTGCCACCCTTGTTGCCCTCTCAGCGATATCGCAACACAACAGGAGGAGTTGGCCGAAGTAGACCAACAAACACCCGTGCTGAGCGAGACAGGACTCCAACCATCGCTAGCTCTTCGACCTCCAGTCGCGCGCTTTCGGGAAACGGGGGTACCTACCAGTCTGGAATTCCCGGACTTGGAAATGGGGAAACAGTGACACGTTCACTGCTACCCAGCAGCAGTGAAGCCCAAATTACAGCTGCTCCGGGGACTGAACGCCGTCTTGGAAAGATGGCCAAAAAGAACGGTATGGTTGGCTATGAGCATGAGCACAACCTCGGCCGATCTGAGATGAGACCGACCAACTCCGCCACTGACAGCTACGAGCCCCTCTTCATATCGCAACGTAGGATTGACGAAGGGCGTCGAATGGTGTTTGACAGCACCAGTCTGGACGACCTAGATCAGAGTGGGAGTGGACATATGCTGTCTCCGTGTTCCATGAGAGGTCGTACTGCACCTAGATCAGGCTCTGCGAGTGTGGATGACTATCTAAATGATGCAGCTGCTGCGCAACAATTGAGACGAGAAGCAAACAGCCAGCATGACCGAGCAGGCCTAGCAATGGGTAGAGCCGCAATCTCTACACAGTCCAGGCATGGCTCACGACACCACCCCGTGGTAGTAAACTCCGATAGCGACACTGAGCAGCAGACACCACCACGGAAACGCTCCCAGGCTGACAGACCTGTCGCCCGCGAAGGAAATCTGAATAAGAAGAAGAAGAAGAAGAAGGACAAGCAGCCAAGACAGCGAGAGGTGGTTTCTGGGGAGGCATCGAATGCGTCTCGAGGAGAAGAGGACAACTCGTCGTCGCAGTCGACGCAGAACTCGAACCAGATGCCTCCATCGACAACTGCCACGGGGCAAGGAGAAGAAGATCGTGCGCGAAGTCCAACCGCAAAGAAGCGAAGGCACGGCAAAATCAAAAAAGAGAAGGAGAGCAGCCCTGCCGAATGCCACGCCTTGACTGAGGGAAAGCAGGAGTCCGAGGTAAAGATCAAGAAGGAAAAGAAGGAAAAGAAGGAAAAGAAGGAAAAGAAGGAAAAGAAGGAACGGAGAGCGGCGAAGAAGCTAAAGCGGCTCGCTGGCAGCAGCACTGGATTGGATCCCACTCCCTTTCCAACTCCGCCCAATTCGTCGCAAGCCTCAATGATAAATGAACTGCCTCCCTCCGCTCAGCCGGAGCAATCGGCCGACTACGCCGTCACGGCTCGCCAGAAAGCACAGTTCCATGGCGCCCTCCGGCGGGACCAAGAGGTACGCTCGTCCGCTCCCGCCCCGGCTTTCATGACCAGGCAACTCGGCCTCACGGAACGATCCAGTGGCTGTGGCGACGAGCTTGCAATGGATTCCACCTTCGATGACGGTCTTCCCGAGGGAGCAAATGGAGAGCCTCTGGTTGAAGCTGAACACTCGCTGACTTCTCCGCACAACAGGCATAACCTCCTCACATCAAGCACTCGACTTCAACGTCCACCTCCAACTCAACCGGGCTTCATGCCGCAGCTCCATCGTCCTTGGCCACGTCAGCATGGGAACGGAAATCCACTGGTACTCCAGCCACCAGGGATCGACAACATCCTTGGAACCATCGCCCCCTTTCGTGCAGAGGGACAGACGTTCAACGAGCGCATGATCGCCAGCCGAAAACAATGGTCGTCCAAAAGCCAAGTACGGAAGGGAAAGACATGTCTGCCGCAACCGCAACTGCAAGCACACTCAAGGCCGCTGTCTCCTCGGACCATCAAGCAAGGCGCCTATCGACCGACTCAGGGCTTCTCTCAAGGTCCATCCCAGACGCAGGCGCGGCTGCCAGCCTCTATCCCGCGCTGGCGAAGACCCTCGTGGTCACGCCACTCGCGCAGCCCGTCTGGCGAATCCACCTACGACTTATGGGGACTGTTCCGCATGCGCACCACCTGGGATGACGATGAAAATACTATAGTGGATTGTGACTCTGACCTGGAGATTGTGGGCGTGCCGCGGCCGACGGGTTGGGATGACTCCCCCGCGGGATCGTCCCAAGCAAAGCCATGATATGGCGAACGCAGTATTGTGTTTCAATGGGAGGATCAAGAGTACTGTTCAACGCGCCGCTGTGCCATGGCTTTTGAAATGGGTAGAGAAAAGGGGTTTCCAGACCACACGGGTGGATTGATTCGAGTCAACCCTGTTAACGCCGGCGATGCTTTGCAAGCCAAATCAAAGCTCCAACTCGCTCTCGCTTTGCCTTTCATATCAATGCAATGACCTTCCAGCCTTTTTTTTCGTGTATGTCCCATGAATATATTCCAAAGAACAAAAACACTTCCCTAACCAGCCCCATGAAGAACTGATTAGCGAAGTGAAAACTAGAATTGAATCATATTTTTTTTGCTAAGGGTGGTCGCTAAGCATTCCCTCGTGTTGGTCGCTCTGATCAACTGGTCCTCGGATGAGGGGACAGATGGCCTCAGAAAGTCGGTTAGTCCTCGCCCCCTCCAATTCTAGACCAAGTGACTTAGTGTAGACCTGTAGGCCTGCTTAAGGCGGTATGCTTAACCACTAGGCCAATAGGTCTGGAATTGTTGAGCGGAATTCTGCGACTTCATTATATTACCTGCACGAATATCGGTCGTCAAGAGATATAGTTGGTGTTGGTGGAGCTGGTGTTGGTGAAATTGGTGTTGCAAAGCTCCAACTTTGTCAGCTAGCCTGGTGTCGCCGAGTAATTTATATCTTGGGCAGCAAATACAAAATTCCGTGCTTCAGATGATAAATTGCTCCTGGCCCTTTTAACGCCATCACTCCTAGAAATGCTTGCAATCGCTTTCTGGGCGTTCGACGTACATAGTAGCGTCTAGTTTATCCACACAGCCGTTTCGATCCCAGTCCCAATCCCGATCATAGACTCGCAGCTTGTCGTCGCTTCCATAGCCTGTAGGCCCAGAAGGCGATGCCGGCCGCGAACGAAGTTCGATATGCTAAAAACACAGCAATTGCAACGTTAACGCGGTCATAATAGCCGTGAAGAAGTTTCCCAACAGCATGCTGAGGGTCTGAGCCCACGCCCAATCCGCCGATTCCGACGCTATGCTTCTCAAAGGACAGCTGCTTTGTGAGGGTGAGGGGTTCGGCTTCCGAGACCGTGGATGGCGGCTCAGATGCCGTGACAGCCGTTGCTTGCGTTGTCGCGTCTACGGCTGTCTGGCTGGCCCAAGAGCCTGAAGACAACGACTCTGCAGAAGCTTTTCTGAACTGGCAGGTCATGAGATAAACAATCAGGCGAAGGTCAGGGACGGTGAAGGTGGGGTAGCGCCACAGTGCCACAGCATTGTAGGGCGGGAGCTGGTCGAGGAGATCGGCCAGGACACCGAGGGTTAGGCCCCAGAGTAGAATGGGCTGTTGATGGGAGAGGGACTGAGAGGACGAAGGAACGCCAAATGGTGCTTGCGCCCAGCCTGATATCGTGGGCGGCTTGTCGATGCCTTTCGTAGGGATGAAGCCGGGGATTGAGCTGGCATAGATGGACTCAGTGGGAACAAGCCGGACTGCGCTGAACAGCATCTTGCCAATGGTCAGGCGTATCAATCTGTGTAGGAGCGGGCCGACATGTTTGGCCATTCTACTCGAGATATCCACCGCCTCTGTGGTTCGGAGTGATGGGGATAACAGTGCACGCAACGAAACCCAGTGTACCGACGCCACTTCTGTAGGTTGGGGTTGGATCCAAGGAGAGGTCTTCTCGGTAAGCAGGAATATGTAGGGACAGAGAACCATCAGGACGTCTTTGCCCCACGAGGTGGTGACCAGCCTCTCGGGAAGATTGCCTGCGTGGAGACAATGCACCGTATCCAGGTCCAACCCGACTTCTTCTCTTGTTTCACGCACCGCAGCAGCCAAATCATCTGCGTCCTCCGGGTCTCGCTTCCCACCTGGCAGTGCCGTGTGCCCGGACCATCTGTCTCCAGCCCGACCAGCACGTTTGATGAAAAGGAGTTCGGGGTCGCCTTGCTGGACCCAGTCTTGTGAAAAGAACTCTTCGATTGAGGTCGGAGGAGACGCGGGCTGGCTGACTGCTACGAGCGAGTCGTTGGTAGAAGGAACCGGGCTGTAGGCAGGCCGGACGCGAATGATGGCGGCGACACTGGCTCGTTTCTTACAGCCTTGCGGATTAGGGACATGGGGATAGGGGTTCTCGCTGAGGCGGAGTAGGACTCTTTCGAGGGCTTTTACGATGGCACTTGAATCTTCCGCCATGGCTGAGGTGGGACGCGTGAGGTTGGAGGTTGGGGCAGGCCGTTCAGCGGACTCTGCTGTCTGTTGTCCGTCTGCATTCAGTGCAGGCAGACTCGGAAAGAATGAGTCGAGGCCGCCTGCCGAGGCTGCAACCCCCGAGAAGGCCGGGATCGGAGAAACCAATTTGCCGGGACGTGACGTAGTGGCGACGCGAAAAAGACATCGACGAGCACGAGGCCAAATGGCGGCTCTGATTGGGCAAGAACGATGCCCGTCTTAAGAGACGCTGCGGTGCAAGTGCAACACTCGGAGCTGGTGTGCCATTGGCACTGACTAGAGAAATCTTCTGAACTTTCTTTTGTCTTTCTCTTATACTAGGTAGCTCAGGTGTATGTCTACGCTTGCATCTGAATTTCGGCGTCTCGGTGCCATCTGATCAGCTCTGTGCCGGCCCCATCGACATCAACATGCGTTTCGGCAAGACTCTCGCAGACTCCATCTACCCGCCATGGAAGGACCGATACCTCGACTACGAGAAGATGAAGAAGCTCCTGCGCGAGGACGAAACCTCGCCACAAGGTCGCGGCGGCGAGGCCAGCTGGACCGAGAAGGATGAGGAGAACTTCGTCCATGAGCTCACCGTTGTCCAGCTGGAGAAGGTCAGCCAGCACCAGGCCGATACGTTCAACGCCATCCGCGAGCGAGCTGCCGCATGCGAAGCTAAGCTGCCCACCCCCGAGACCGAAAATGGGAAGAGTGAGGAGGAGTGGAAGGCTGTCGCAAGAGACATGCTGAAAGAGCTAGACAGCATCTCCAAGGACCTCAACGAGCTTAGGAAGTTCAGCCGGATCAACTACACCGGGTTCTTGAAGGCAGCCAAGAAACATGACCGCAAGAGGGGCCTCAAGTACAGGGTGCGGCCGATGCTGCAGGTCCGCCTGTCTCAAACACCTTTCAATCAGGAAGACTATTCGCCCTTGCTCTTCCGTCTGTCCGCCATGTACTCGTGGGCGCGCCAAAGGCTCGGAGAAGAGGACCCATCCAAGGAGCCAACGTCGGACGTGAAGCCCACTGAGACCTACACCGCACACAAGTATTGGGTACACGTCGACAACCTGCTCGAGGTCAAAACTCATATCTTACGCCGTCTTCCTGTCTTGGTGTACAATCCCCAATCAGCCAAGGTGTTGGAAACTTCCCAAAAGGATCCCACCATGACCTCGATATACTTTGACAACCACAGCTTTGACCTCTACCAGAGCAAGGTGGACAAGAGCACACCCGGCAACTCGGTGCGCCTGAGATGGACTGGGCAACTAGAAGACAAGCCTGAAATCGTGCTGGAGAAGAAATCCGTAGGCGATGGCGTGGAAAGTAGAGAGATCAGGTTTCCGATCAAAGAGAAATATATCCAGCCATTTCTCAAGGGTGAATATAAGATGGAGAAGCAGATCCAGAAGCTCCAAGACCGTCTTGGGGTGGACTCAGGAGAAGTCAAGAGTCTCAAGTCCAACATCGAGGAAATCCAGTCGTTTATCAGAGAGAAGGACCTAGAACCGGTGTTGCGAGCAAGCTACACCCGCACTGCGTTCCAAATTCCTGGAGATGACAGGATCCGCATCTCGCTGGACACCGACCTTGCCTTTATCCGGGAAGATGCCCTGGATTCTGACAGGCCCTGCCGCGATCTCGACGACTGGCATCGCACCGACATTGACCAGAATCAGATGGAGTACCCATTTTCGTCGATCAAGAAAGGCGAGATCAGCCGATTTCAACACGCAATCCTCGAGATCAAGGTCAAGGACACCAAGTACACTAGGAATAACACTTGGCTCCATGACTTGATGAACTCCCACCTTATCAAGGAGGAGAAGAGGTTCTCCAAGTTTGTGCATGGTGTAGCTGAGCTTTTTGAGGATTATGTCAACATCTTCCCATTTTGGCTGAGTGATTTGGAAACGGATATTAGAAGAGACCCCGTGACGGCCTACCAAGAGGAGCAGCAAAGGGAAGCTAAGCAAGTTGAAGACGAGATAGCCGTCGGAAGCTTCTTGGGTACATCGCGGCTATCATCTTCCAAGGGAAAGACCGGATCCCCGAGCAAATACCCGGAGCGAAGAATGTCCGGCCAGATCTCGCAGTCCGTCCAATCCTCACGATTGAAATCAATTGATCAACTCGAGCCCACCGCTGAAGAAGATGCCGATGGCGATGGCGACGGTGACGCCCGTCCCCTGGTCAGTGATTCCTCAACAAGCGGCCTGCGGTCATTGCTCCCGGCCTTCTCCAACTCTCGTTATGCCCGCCGTCATCGTCGGGGCACGGCGTGGGACGATGCTCCGTTGCCTCCCGGCGTCAAAGACCCCGGCGTCTGGATCAAGGACCGGGGAAATCCCAAGGTTGAAGGCAAGGTCTGGCTAGCAAACCAACGAACCTTTATTAAGTGGCAGCATATAGCCGTCCTGCTGGCGACACTATCACTTGGCCTTTTCAACGCCGCGGGAGTGAATAACAACGTCGCTCGAATTCTAGCACTCGTCTACACTGGCTTCGCAATTTTTGCCGGCGTGTGGGGATGGGCTGTTTATATGTGGCGAAGCAAACTGATCACGGAAAGAAGCGGGAAGGATTTTGATAATGTGTTTGGACCGTTTGCAGTGTCGATTGGATTGGCTTGTGCATTGTTACTCAATTTCGCCTTCAAGTACAATGCGATCGCAGACACGAAAAGAAATGCGACTGCCGTGGCACTGCAGCCCCTGGTCAAGCTGCCGCCTGATCACCATGTCCTGGAAGGTCTATGGACGCCAGAGCTTTAGGCCGCTAGGAGGTGAATGGAGGACATCTCCAGATGCAATGCAAAAAAATAACAAATATTTACATTGGGCAGCTCGGCCCGAACGAGCAGCCGGAAGAGTTCAATAGTCGGTCAGCAGCCTGCAGCAGCACCAGAACAGAGCCGCCTATTCAGGATCATTGTAATATCCTGTAGTAACGAGCGATTGATTATAGACGTCACAGACGTGTTTAGGCAAAGATATCATCGTCGTTGAATGTGCTAAGACGATTGAATATGTTCAACACAACTCCAGACATGCCCTAATACGAGAAGGATTGGGGGACTAGGACTGGAATTGGGAGCGGCGCAATAGGGCCTAAGGCCAAAGAGTGCGCTGGTGAGAAACAGGGGTTTATCTAACCGGGACGACAATCCTTGTGCGAAGAAAGATGTAATTGAAGATGTTGATGTTGATGTGGAATTAAACAACTACTTCACTGTCTCGCCTCCGTGACCACACCTTCGTAATCTCTTGCCCTGATATAATCCAACGTCCTGAAGAAGTGGCGCTTCGGATTCTCCAATGCCTGGGTGTTGCCGTCCACGTTGGTGGTGGACAGGTTGGAATGGATCAACTCGATGAGCCCGTTCAGATATTTGGTCGTGACCTTCGAGACTGTCAGCGATGGGAATGAGAGGCGCGCGAGCGATTTTGCTTACCGTTTCGTTTTGTTGGTCGAAATAATATACATATCTATTCAAAATCTCGACAAACAGCTCCACAGACACGGCCGTGTCCATGCACGCATCGGCCACACGCAGAGCTCGTTGAAGACATTCCAGAACACGCTTGCCATCGCGATAGAGCTGTTCGAAATGTCAGCAATCCGGTACTGGGCGGACGGGTGTCGTCGGAATTACTCACACTCTTTGGATCCTCGTCCCGGCCTGGGATTTCAACGCACCACCACAGGTGACTCGCCAGGTACACGGCGCGACACTGGTCAGGTTTCTTCAACAATTTGGAACCATGCAGCGCAGCCTTGGTGATCAAGGTGTCGTAGTTCTCCTTGCCAAAGCCTCGAGTCATCTGAAGCGCGCCTGCAATAATGCAAACGGCCTGGAACTGTGCCCTGGAGTCGCTGATGCTATCCTCGTAGATAGTGAATGCTTGGGCAAAATATTCGTACGCAAACTCCTCAAACCCGCATTGATCGGCAACTTGGCCGCACGAGACGAACAGACGGAGACATAACTCGGCTGCCCCAGGATTCACTCGCGTGTAGAGCTGGGAGAGTGTCTGATGGATAAACCGGTATAGGGTCGAAGACTGGTTTTGCCAGTCGTCCTCAAAATGCTCCCGTGATTTCAGTTTGCGCGCAAGTTTCATCGAAGCAGTGATGATAGCTGGCGTGGTGTATTTGATTCGCTCGTTGCCGGCCTCGTAGGCTTTGCGTGTTTGCTGGAGCAGTTTGAGCTGTGTCTCGTTGTTGGGTCCTTGGATGAAATGAACTATCCGTGCGAGCCAGCCTTGCTCCTCAACGGTCTCGTCAGACTCACCACCTCTCTGGCGGTTCAATCCAGGATATCCAGTCGGCTGCTGGAGGCCTTCCTTGATAATCACCTTAAGCAGCGCCATCACCCCTTCCAAATGCTGCGTCGTTGTGATCTTGACTCGATTTCGGAGGATATTCTTGGCCACTTCGCCGGCGACGGCACGCCTTGTAGCGTACGTTTGCGACTGATACAGAGGGAGGTAGTTCGGCAGAGCCAGGGCTGTGAAAAGAGAGTAGTACGTCCGAATGGGTGATAGAAGAAGGTTGAGCATGTTGGCTTGAGTAGCGGCGGAATGAAGATCGGCGGAGTCCATATACTCTGCACCTTTCTCGCGAGCGTAAGCCAGAATTTGATCGGCGTACTCTAGTCTCTCTGGATAAATATTGCTGCTTTCCGTCAGAGGTCTAGCTTTCCAACACAACACCGTGCAACTTACAGAGCGAGGTTGGCGAGCGAAGTCAATAGAGCCATAGTATCTTGAATCGGTAGACCTCGCGTCTTGACGAGGTTGACCACTTGATCGTAGAATATTTCGAACAGCTTGACATCGCCAACACGACCAGTTGACTTCTCGCCGTTGGTTGACGGGGTGGCAGCTGTGACCGGTTCGGACTCGCTCGGTGGTGAATCCGTTGGCGACTTTGGGTCAGATCCATTGGTGTGAGGCGTATCCGGCGCAGCTTCCGTTGGAGACTTCGAATCTTGGTTCAGGTCTACCTTTTCAAGCATCCGGATAGCCGCCTCCTCTTCTGCTTTTCGTTTGTCTTCTGCTGACGCCCCTTCCGCCTCACGCTGGGCGTAGGTCGACAGACGATCCATTAGTCCAATAACGATTTTCTTCATGTCGACATGCGGATTCAATCTGGCAATGGAGGAGAGCAGTTGGTCCAGCGTGTGAAGGTGATACTCATCGGGAAAGACCTTGGTGATCACTAGATGGCTGTCAGCATGATGTCCGGGGCCAGTGCGATCATCCTACCTTCAAGGAGATATTCTTGAGCCAACACGTCGCGACATTGGACGACTTGTTCCAGCAGCGGTTCAACGATCGTGGCTTTGTAGGTCTCCAAATCAACGAGTTGGCTGAGTCTGACCAGGTTGCTTCCAACGAGCAGTTCCAACTCTCTACGCTCTTGAGTTCTTTGCTCCCGCTCTCTGGAATGGCCTTGGTGTTGCCAGCGAACCCATAACTTGTTCATTTCGACGAAATTTGTCAGGATGAAGTTGATCGAGTCTTGCAGGTTCCCCTGCGGTCCGTCCTCCTTCCCCGTCGGCAGGTGATCCCGTGCTTGTCCGCTCAAGTAATACCGTAGAAAGAGGCCGCGAATGGGATGCTGTACGCCGCGAGTCATCTCCATCATGTCTTTCATGATTTCCTTGACGGGAGCATCCTCGACTGCCATGTACACCGTCCCCACAGTGACCATCAAGTACAACCTTGGGATTATGTTGCCTGCATACTGCACAAGTTCATAGAGGTCTGCGAGGTGGTCGACGGGGTGGGAGTCGCGAAGGTAGTCGGAGAGGTAACCGAGTGAATCAAACACAGCCATGTATAGTTCGTAGTATTGTTTTGGTCCAAGGCTAGGGGTTCGCAGTTCCGAAACCAGCGTCGAACTACAAGTCCCTCTCAGTCAGCATATCAGGCAACAGAGGGGTTTCAGCGACTCACCCGCATTTCAAGGCGTCCATCAGCTTTCCAGGCGTTTCTAAGCATTTGCGCATCTGCTGAGATTGTTGGCGTACGACCCCCAGAGCTTCCTCCAGCAGCCGGCCCTGGTCCTCGACGGTGGGCGGGCCTGCCGCCATGGCGACAATAGTTCTGGTCTGCGACCAGGGAGCAACAAAAGCAGACCAGGCCGGAGAAACTGGGGTGGAAGCTTGACACGAGGGCCTGGCAGTCTGGAGATCTCTTCAAAGCAGAACACTCAGTATCGAGGGACACGGTGGAACAGCATGTGGCAGAGCTGCTTCTTTGTGACCGTTCAACCTCTCCGCCGTTGGTGGTTGAAGCGGCGGGCAGACTGGCCAAGCTTGGCGCCTAACAGAGTTCACGGCGTGCTTGTCCGCCATCTGCTGCTTTAACCACCGTTCGCCCTCGCGCTCTTCAGTGGACCATCGCAGGTTGCCATCACACCTGGGACCTGGGGCAGGTTGTCGTTTCTTCCTCCCAGATTCCGACTTGGACGTGCGTCGTGTGTCGCCACGCTACCAATGGGTGCCTAACGAAGCAATGCGAAGACCTTCCCTTGCGAGCAGAGAACACTACGGAGTCCCTACCCTGCATTACATGTACTTGTCCACGGCAGGCCAACGGTCCCTTTGGGAAAGCCCGAAAAGACCAGCAAAGTCTAATAAGAATGATTGCAGTACCTCAGCCAAACGACCTCCACTATTATTATTACTATAACACCTACCTACCTAGGTACACAAAGGCAGAGTACAGAGTAGTACAGATACTGCGCCAGTAGTCCCTGCGTGTCAGCCTCTCCTTTCGTACGAGCACTAGAATGGGTCATCGGAGTGATGCCCCCCGGCCCCGATCCCTGATTCCCAACTCCGACTCCGACTCCGACTCCAAATTCCACGTGACGCTGACACAATGCATGAAATGGTCGGGGTTACACACAACCACACACCACACCACACACCACTGCACACCATAATCACCGTCACCGTCCCCGTCACCGTGACCATCAACCACCGTCAAAAGTCTAATATACTGGCCGATCCCGAGGCTGACTTTCCGACCCATCCCGAGTAAGATACCTACATACCTACCTCTGCTGTGATAAGGTACCTCTAGGTGCCTCTCACCTCTCTCCTTTGACCTCTGACCTCTGGCTCTGGCTTCTGATGTTGTTGGACTGGCGTCGTGGTCAATATTCGATCCCCGTGCCAATGGGTTCGGTGTCGCTTTTCACTTTCACTTTCACTTTCACTTTCACCTTTCACTTTCGGGACATGCCTGCAACTTTCATACCCAGCACTCCCGCCTACCCGCTGCCCCCTACACTCAAATATACCTAAACATGCCTCGACGAGCCTAAACCTGCCTCAACACGTATACTCTACACATTAACTTGGAGCTAATTGGGGCTAATTGGAAAGACGCGGTTGATTTAACAGATTGATTCTCCCTCATTGACTGGCAATGTGGCAGTGACACTGCTCACAACTTGGCACTGGTAATTGTGATTGAAGCTGCAGAAGAAACCCATCTTGATTAGAGAAGACTGATGGAATATTCCTCACCACAGGCAAAGCTCCAAGGCAGGAGAAGGAGAAGAGAAAAGTCAAAGAAAGCAAAACCAAAATGCAGCAAAATTCTCCCCCTGGGGTCGTCGTTGTCTCATTTCTTTCATTAATCCTGAAGTCGCCTCGTATTAGCTCTGATTGCTGAAATCATCGTTCTACTCTCGGTCCAGCTCATGGAATGGTCCCCTGTGGTGGATTCTGTCGTGCCACCCCAACGCCTGGAAATAACGCATCCGTGGTAAGCCGTAAATAATGTCCTGGTCTAAGCCGAAAGGGCTCTGCATGGGCGTCGTAAAGTAAAACGCCCCATTATAATCAGATGCTGCTTTGCTGGCGTTCAAAATAGTCTTCAGTCTCTGCTTGATCATATCCCGTTGGAGCTGCGCACTGTGCCAGAGCTGCATCAAGCTGTCCAAAGCTTCCAGACCACTCGAAATCAGTGACATGGTCCGACTTTTATGGTCCATGACGTCGGACAAGATCCCTGCCGCCGTAATAGTGTCAAGCGCCGAGGTGATGGCATACCCACTAAATGGGCTCGTGGTGGTGAAGTGGAACAAAGCAGCATCCCGCCCCTCATTGTTGCTCAGTTTCTGCACGATTTCCAACATCAACCGCGCGTGGTCGTATGCGCCTTGCACATGTATGTTGATCTGCTGCTGGCCCAAATGGGCATGTCGAACGTGGCGATGGAGCAGCAGTGCCGTGTAATGGTACAGGATATGTAAGCCATCGATGGGTTCAGTACTGTTGCTTTTAAGGCCGTGTGTCTTTCTTAGATGCGTTCTCAAATACTTGTACCACAAGTGCATCTTTGTCATGGTTTCGTGCCGGAACGTCTCCAAAGTCGTACGGTAGTTGTTCCGCTCTTGAAACTGCGGTCCACTGATTCTGCTGACCACCTTCTGGAAGATGGTCGCGATTTGGGCAGCGTAACCCAGAAGTCCGACATGAGAAATTTGTTCGGATAGTTCGCTTGAACCCTCATTGCCGCTGGGGCTGATGGTCAAGTCGAAGGCCGTAGGCGGAATGTTCCCTGACTCATATGCGCCTTTATTGCAGGGTAAGCGTAGATGGCATTCAGGGCGGTATGTTGATTGGACACAAGTCGAAGTGCAGTCACTGAGACAGTCCAGAACGTACGTCGACCAGAATGTTCTTCTCCGGCATTCAACCAAGAGGGGATAATCCAGATCAAAGTCCTGGTGCCCAGGGTGGCCAACCACCCGAACACCCTCCTCCGTGTTGTAACCAAGCTCGTACGCCGTCCGCAGCGCCACACTGGAGAAATCCCATGCTTGACGGTATTCGCCTTGAGAGAAGGCAAGAGATGCTAGAATCAGCCGGGTCTGAATCAGTTGTAGGCTTAGTTTGTCGCCACTTTTCATAACAGCATCGTGGACGATGCTCATAAAGGACGTGCGATGAGCATCTCGACCAGGTCGGCGGACGAATGCCGTCCCTATAGCCAGGATTGCGTAGAGTACCATTTTGTCCTCCAACGACTTGGAAGTGCAGTTTACCACCCAACTAGTAAACTGTTTCCTGGGAAATATGCAATATGCCGTGTTGTCAAAACGCGCAAAGTACTTGCCGACATAATACAAGGTCAACCCGCGATGGACCTTATAGGGGTCTGCCCGCCATGAGAAGGCGGGTGTGGAGGCTGGCCATGATGTTGTGTTCGACAGCAATTCAACGCTAAGACAGTCGGACAGACCACCATCTGAAACAGGCGGGGGCGATGCTGACATTCTGACCCTCTTTGATGGCGGCCTCCCTTCTAGCCCATTGTCGTTTACGTTGTCATCATTCGACACCGGAGATAAAAGGCTCTCCAGTGGGAGAGAAGATCGGTTCCCAGGCCTTGACAGGGGCGATTCCAGCCCCAACAAATCTGTTGAAGCTGTTGACTCTCTTCGGAGTGGAGGAGCCCTTTCCGACATCTGCTCTATGGGTGATGAGTACGACGTCGAGTATGCCGAGGGCAGAGAGCCTGATCGTTTCTGGCCGGTTCGAGGACTGCTCCCAAAGGTCAGTGGACGCACTTCAAGGGAAGCATGAAATCTTCTTACCCGGGGTCAAATTTGCACTCGCGCCCAAACTTCTTGCACTGGGCACATTTGGGCACGCCAGGGTCACACTTAATCTTCTTCTCCCTACAAGTGTTGCAGGCCTGGCCTAGACGTTTCCTTGGCTTTCCTGCCTTGGTGGTGCCCCATCGTGGGTTGGCACCATCGCCGTCGGCATTCTTTTGACAAACAGTGCCATCGTCGTAGATGTAACAGATGCCTCTGCCAGGTACTACCTCCTCTCCCACAATTGCCCGACTACGGGACTGATCCAGACGTTGCCCGGGAGGGAAGAATCCGAGGGATGGAGCAATCCTATCCGAGGTGTCTGAGTTCGTGTATGGCCAAACCCGTGCCTGAGTCGGGTCGAGGTGGTGGTCGTATGTTCGGGAGTTGGGACCGGATAAAGAAGCCGGCGGTAGTCTATCGCAAGGCGGGTACGGAGTCGACTGAGTAGCTTGATGGGTCACTGCCTCGTGGTTCACGGGCAGACCACCCCATCGACTTGGTCCTGGGCTAGGTTGTGCGAGGTTCAGGTCTGGAGGCACAGTCCCCGAAAGAAAGTTGCTGAAGGAAGGCAGACGGGGTTTGTGTGCGAAGGCATTCCCACGGTATTCGTCCGCTTTCGGTGACTGAGCCATTGAGGTCAAAGGCAGGTTCGACAGTTGTCGGATGGTAGGACAAGGGTGGATCAGGTTCTGAATTTCGTGCCTCTCTTCCAATCGCAAATCCGGCGCCAGCACGGCGCCTGCTGCCATGAGGCCACCCTCGGAGTTGTTGAACACTTGAGTCTCAGGGAGATCTGGCACTTGTTGGACAACACCTCCAATTTAGGTCAACGGCGTCGTCCCGAATAGCTGAAGGAATGTTGTGCGCGTTTGATACTAGCTTGGGCGTGGAGGTCGACAAGGGACCAGCTGCATCGACGAGCCAACGAAGGTTCTTCCCAGAAGTGAGACTCAGTCGACGCCCTCGTCCCGTAGATCTCTACTCCAATTAAGATGCAGGACGTGCTGCATTGCACCACGTTACTCCGAAATTCGAGACGGTCGCACGGCAGAAAGAAAGAAAAGATTCGGGGCAAGATGTTCTCGGGCAGGAGGATTGTGCAACCGAGATGGGACCGTATGACATATGTGAGAGTAAAAAAGTAGAGGGCAACCGGGGCCAGTGCGGGCTTACTGAGCGGCTGACAGAAGGCTGGATAAGTGGTGACGAGGAAGGTGGGAGCAAGAAGGGGGCAACCAGTGACAGATATGTTCTGTGCCGCCGTCAAGGAGCACAGGGCTAATAATAAGGCTCAGTTTCCTGTCTCGTGAGCGCGATTCAAGCATCAAATAAAGGGAAAGAGGAAGTGTCAGGGCAGAATGGTGGCGTCCATAGAAGAAGGAGGGGGTCTGCAACTAGTAGTAGTGGAGGGTGGTCATCGACGCAGTCTTGGGGGAAAGACCACATAGAGCAGATCACACAAGATTGGAGCAGGGAGGAAATATTGGTGTGAGCCTTTTCATCAATAGAGTGGACGAATATGTGGTTCTGGGGCAGACAGTCAAGGTGATGGACTGGGATGGTGTCTGCATCGACATGGGTCGACGGGAGATGATGGGGATGGCGGCCTCGTGGGTTCGCACTGTTCTAACCATGTCCCGGACACCCATGATCCATACGCATGCCATCTGACCCTTGTCGATCGCTTACAGGAAGGGGAGGGACCGTGACGGGACGCGCGCAGGGAGAGGCCCTGGTGGAGCTGGGAGCCGGGCGGACCCAATTCAGGAATAGACGGATGGTAAAGGCAAAGGCACTTGCTCGGGTCGCGGCAGGCGAAGGACCGGCAGGGTTGGGGGAGCGGAGAAGGTCTGCGACACGGGATAGGACGTGGGTGCCAGGTGCCGGTGGGTGGTGGTGGACGTTAAAGGTGGACGTGGATGTGAGAGGCGTCGGCCAAAGGTGTGGTTTTTTTCGATCATCTGAGGCCTGAGGGCCTGAAGGCCTGAGGGACATTCAGAGTGTGGGGAGGCCACTAAGATACAGTAGGCGACCAGACGACGAGCTAAGAAATGCCTGCGGCTAGCTTGCAGTGAGCAGCGTCGTACTCCGTTTTCGCCTCTGCCAGACTGCCACAGCAAAATCGGCGCCGGTGGATTGCCGGTGCGGCGGCGGCGGCTCCATGTTTTGCTCGATACGTACCTAGGTACCTTCTCTGTAGTCTGTGATACAGCGACACAAGAAGCGAGGGAGAGAGTGGAGATGGCGGCAAGGCACTGCATAGTGCATACCCAGGGTCGATGCCTTGCTAGTTGACTTGAGTTGACCGGACTGGGCTGGAGCCGGGAGCAGAGCAGTGGGTATTTTCGGCAAATTGTACCCTTACATGGTCGACGTTGCTGCTTGCGCTTGGTACAGACAGGCAGGAGGAAGAGCCCGGTACGGAGTATGGAGCAGAGTAGCAGAGTAGGAGTACGAGTAGGTGGCAGAGACACAAGAGGTGTGTGCGTTTTCGGTGGCGCAGGTGCAGGCGCAGGTGCAGGCGCAGGCTGTCCTCGAGAAAGAAGGTGTAGGTAGGCAACGCACACGCCTGGGCGGCTTGTGTTGCTACCTACTCCATACTCCGTAATTCCACTGCGCAGCTCGAAGGAGACTTTTGGGTAAAATTACCTCCTTACTAGTATCACTATTGCGCCTCAAAATTTCGACCTTGACACCTAAGGTACGGAGTAGGAAACTTCTCTGTAGGTACTACGTATCTAGCGGGTAACTTAGGTAGGTCCTACGGTGGTTATTGCCAACATCGCCCCTGAACTGCGACCTCTGTTCTCTTTTTAGCGGCGCTTACTGGCAACCCCTCCATGACTACTTAGACACCAGATTCTAGTAAATCATTAGTTCGTATCATCGTTCAGTTCCTGCAAAAGTCCAGGTCTCGAGCTTGATCATAACAGGACTAGCAAACAAGTTACCAGCAAGGCCACCCTCCCAACACCAAACCCGCGCGTCTCAAGACCGTCACAGGCTCGCACCACCGCCCCGTTCCCCCATCGCCCGCCACACGGAGTACCCGATCGACTAGGTAGTGATAGGCATGATGGACAAGAGGTGGAATGCTTGACACTCACAGGACTACACATGTACTCTGTGCAGTTGATTTTCCGCTAGACCAGGCATGGGCAGGATAGTCGACGAGTCAACAACCCACGACTCTGCAGATGGAGCATAACGGACGATCCTCAACGAGCCACAGCAAAAGAATCATCAGAACGCCTGCCAGCCTGCTTGCACATGAAATACACGCCGAGACCCTCTATCCCATCGCGTCCACGCCACCATTCTTGATATCTATGCTCCAGATACGACTAGTACGGGTTTAATGGCATACATTGCGTAACCCTTGGTACTAGTAGCCTTGCTCTACGCCTTGCCGAGCTTTCTCAGCCTGTCACAGCCCTCCCCCGCTGGTATTGTCACGAACGGGCTGAGAAAACGAGCCATGGATAAGACCTTCTGACAATCTTTACCCTAACTAGTCTCTTCAACTTGGACTTTGGGCTTGTCAGCGCGAGCGACCCCTTCTCAGAGTCTAAGAATACAACCACCTACGGAGTACGCTTAGCTCTGCCCTCGAGTCACCCTTAGCACCATCCGTACTTGCAACAGGATATTGCCTGGCAGCTGGCAAGAGCCGACAGTGTCATTATTGTGACAAAAAAATCACGGTTTCTGATTGACCCGGCGAGGCCCGCTCCCGCGCTCCCACTTGTGAAAGATACTCACGGGCTACTACTAACAGGCCCCTCAGGAAGGCGACCGGGAGCGACAGCCCCAGAGCTGGGCTGCGATGCTGGAATGCCTCCTGACGTAACATTGGAAGCCTTCTTTCCGAGTCGGGTATGCAGTATGAGCTGTGTGTGGGCATACCTCATTGCTTGGTCACACCAACTGTGCATTAGTGGCTTCAGCCCACCCCTATCCCCTTGGGCGACAAGAACCTTCAAATTAGAAAAATTGGCTTGCTCTTTGATACAGCTTGATTCATGGCGGCAGGAGCAGGTAGCCACAGGAACCACCGTGCGCTAGTCGACAAGCCGGTGCTGTTAATACTCGACCTCCAGGATCGGAGGGGTTTCTTGTACGGATACCCTGATCTTCAGTGCTGGCACGCATTTGACTCCTGACACGTTGGAGATTTCTTAGTGTCCAGCTAAAAGGTGCACCAGCCATGTCGGCATACTGTTCCGGTGACCTAGGCAAGAGGGCCGGCGCGAAAATCGCAAGCAGCCACGCAGGTCGGCAAGGGGCATGCTTGATGCCATGGACGGGGTGAGCTGATCTACCCCCAGATTTTCAGGATCTAATCGCACTACGGATATTGAGTCTTGTAACCTCGCCGAGCCATCCTCACTGGTCATCACGGATCATAGTCTTACCTTGACTGATCGCGAATCTATGCAAGGACGAATGTATGAAAAAGAAGGATTGAAGCATAGTCTAGACCTGCCGAGCCTCGCGATTTGCCTACTCCAGAGTACGGGTTTGTCGCGCAAGTCCACCGTCTCATCAGTCAACACCCAGAAGTGCCGACAGACGCCTATCAAGTCATTCTCACATTGGCCCTGCAGAGCGATGGGTCCCTCCGCTGACAGCTAGCTGGCGTGCTGATGTGCTGCCGAGGCATACGTTCCACTCCCGCACTTAACGGCCTAATTTGTTTTCACGGTCTATCAGCCCTCGTCTTTGGGCGCCGGATAGCCTGGGCTGCTACAGACCACGGCCATAACCAAGATAGAGATATTCGTGGGGGCACAGCAGACGTCCTACAAGCCCTTTGATGTCAGTTGTCGCTGTGCAAGGCGAGCATTGTACTGTATGTTCGTGAAGCACAGCGAGCGGGTCCGAGACCTCCGCCGCCCCCGGGAGGTCTACTCTGAAAGATTCAGCCCTTGACAGCGCCACAAGCGCTGAGAGTGAGAGAGTGTAAGGGTCGGCCAAGCTACGATCAGGCATTGCGAGAAGTATGCCGGCAGCATCCTCCAATCTCTCTCGATGCTACTTCGCATCCTCCGTACTTCACGCACAGGGTATCCAAGCAAGCAAGGCCATGCAACAATGCATATACGAGGCATGGGGCACCCTACAGTCACAGTCCTGGACTTGGTCCTACCATCAGACTCCTTACATGTTTTGATGGGTCACATGAACGGCAGTTGCTCCTCTCCTTCCCCCTCACTCGATGTGGCGCCGTTAACAACCTGTCAGTCGCTGGTGGGAGACATGGCGAATCAAATGGTTCCGACTAGTCGCAACCCTTACGGAGTACGGATACTGGGACAGGAACACCCCTTTCAACCCCGGCTAACCACTCCTGGACTGTGCTCGGCCGGAATGAAGTCATAACGAACGAGAGCAGTTTGTCACTACTGACCGCGTGGCACGCGTGGCACCCATGGCATGCATGGTTTGAGCCCGACTGACACCTGCCATTACCGTTCCCGCCTGCTATTGCACTGAGTCACGGATGAAGCGCAAGCCGCCAAATAAAGGAGTATAGCACACGGTGAAGGAGCGAGGAGGTGATCAACAAACCATCCATCCCTTGACCCGTTGGTGCCGTCAAGTAGGCAAGGTGACGTTTGACGTGGCTTCGACAAAGTATCAACCGTGGCAAGGTGAAAATCCAATCTCCCGCAGTGAATTTTGCACCACCGAAGTCCTGTGGCAGATGAAAGTGCAGGTCGTTGCCGCGGCCCCCGTTGACATCTGT